ACACACATACAAAAGCACAGAGGCAGAGTCACAGACAAACAGGCAACCGGGAAAAAAAAACCATAGAGACAAACATAGAGACAGACAGGCAAACACACAGAGAGATAGACATACAAGCGGAAAACAAAAGGCAGATAGGCAAATAGGCAGACAAGCATAGCGAGACACACAGGGGCGTATACGAGTCGTACACACACAGGCACGTGCAGACACACAGGCAAACACATAGACAGATAAACAGACACGAACAGAGGCAGGTGCTTTACACGGGGTTCTAACCAGGTCAAAATAGTAGGGGGGGGGGGGGGGGGAGGAGGAGGGAAAACAGTTACCCCGTAACTCATTTTTCCATTTTCAAAATAACTGTCTTGCAATGCGAAATGCAACGTACGGGGCGAACACCTGACTTCACCCCGACAAATGTGCCTTTGTGAACCCTCTAGTACTGAATATCGACTGCAGTTTCGTTGAATGGCATGAAAAAACACAAAAATCAGAAAATGAGCAGGGGGGCACTTTTTCACAGGGGGACGTGCAAACAGAGTGGGGGGGGGGGGGGTGCTGCGCCCCCTACCCCCCCCCCCCCCTTGGCTAGAACCCTGTTTACATGTTACTGAGAATCTCACGAAGTAATCTTCTCAATTGCAGCAATTTCTGACTGGACCTGTATACTTCTGATTTTATATGACTGCATTAGCACGTTGCCAAATTCTACCGTACTTGTAAATTCGTACTGTCTGTACCCGACTACCCGTACATGCTAAAGAATGTGAAAAATCCACCGTGAAAAGTACATGTAGCAATGGAAGTTAGGCTATATTCGTAACTCCCTCCAAGAAACATGCGCTCCCAGCTACCAGTTGGGCCAATGCAAGTGATGTAATTAATACTGATAATGATGAATCAGCACACAAGCCCCCCCCCCACACCCACACCCACACACATACATGGGTTCGTCTTGACAATGTTGACACCCACGGAGGGAAAGAGCAGCAGGTTGAACAGCTGCAGGCGCTGGAGAAAGGCGGCCACAGAGCTGGACAGGTAGCGCTGAGACGGATGAGAAGAACAGGAAGGCAGAAGAGAGTGTGAGCATCGTGACGCACGCACCCACAATCATGATCAAACACAATGTACACTTTTCTCAAAGTGCGAAGATTCCACTGTAGCCAACCACTATACCCATACATCTTCACGACACTCTCCAAACGGTCCCTGGGCTACACCAATCAGTAAAAGAAAAGAAAAAAAGAGATAAATCATTCGAATTTCAGGCCTTTTGGGTGCAATGCATACTACACTAGTAAAAAGTAAAGTGCGCACATCCGCATTACCACCGGCCTACAATTGTGTTGAGAAACACAACCAGCTTTAATAATAGAGAAGTTTCGCTCGTGCCAGGCCACTACACTACTAGTACCCGTACATACTCCTACAGACTCCTACAGACTCCTGCCTGCTTGGACATACTAATACAGTCAACTTCACGTATAACGACACTCGGTGGGGCATCAGAAAAGTGTCGTTATTCGCGAAGTGTCGTTATACCCGAAGTCTCATTACCGTAAAGTCGCGGATAAAAGCCGGGTTTGCATACAAGCACATCGCGGATAGAAGCCTGAAAATCAAACGGGTCAAATGCATATAAGCCTGTCGCGCGTAGAAGCCTGGCTTCTATGCAAGCGCGGATCGGGTAGGTCAAGAGTGCATGCGCTATGTACAGTGCATAGTAAAACGGCCGCCATACCGGTAGTCAGTGGTAGATCTACGCGTGTCGCGCGTAGAAGCCTGGCTTCTATGCAAGCCCGGATCGGCCGATGTGCATACAAGCCTGGCAAAAATATCAGTGGTGCATATAAGCCTGGTTTGCATACAAGCCTGGTTTGCATTGAAGCCTGATGCAGAAACCGACTTATGTGCTTATAAGCCCGGCTTTTATCCGCGACTTTACGGTATATGTATTACAGTTGGATGGGACTTTGCTCTGGGCATGGAAATGCTGTTCTGATTCGCGAATTGTTGTTATATCCGCAGTCGTTATTAGCGAAGTTGACTGTACACTACAAAGTTTGGGCTGGGTTCAATCAGGTCACTCTTTCACCTGTTTGCAACACTCTGCCATCTCTGCCGGCTGGGAACATTGACAGTGGATCAAACAATCTGCCAGATGATCATTCATGCACTGAAAAAGACAGGTCCAGCGTGGTCCTGATCAGAGATAAAGCCCATGACCAGAGAATACTGCGTAACCAGAAGGTGGACAAGGAATGTGTTGCTACTGTAATCGCAATGCCATGCTCCATGTGATCCTTACACAATACTAACGTGTGCCGGCAGCCAGGAAAGTACAGCTCCTACACTCAGCATAGCCATGGTACGTGGTGGTTAGACATGGTGTTGGGGGCGTTGAAAATTAACGCCAATTATCAATGGGATAGTGGGCAATAATGCATGCGCATTGTACTGCACATGGGCAAACTGTCACTGAGCGAGGAGTGTATAAGAACTCAAAGCTGCTTCCTTGGCAATGAACAGACATAGCTTTCTACACAGAGAGAACTCACTTTCTCTGCAAGAAGTTCAGTGCAGTACATCATCTGCACGAAGACGGATGTGCCTGGAAACACGCGCCACATATGCAAACACACATACACACGCACGTTTGCAAACAAACAAAAAACAGACAGAGTTTCATTATAGAAACGAATAGTTTATCATTGCAACATTTTACGTTTACTGCCATATCTTACATTTACCGGGACAAAAGACAACAAACATTCTGATGCGATTTCTCCACCAGAACAAAAACAACACATGAAAAGACTTGACAGGTGTTCTAGACAAAACCACGCACGCAGGCTCCATGTTTCTCATACATGCGTAAGTAATTCATTAGCATCTAACACAGGTAACAGCCATCATCTCATTGAGCACCTTCCATGATTTGCATTGTGTTAGCATGAACTTAGTACGGGAGGTTGTTGGACTATGCAGCAAGTGAAATCCCATAGACCATGAACTTGAATCATCACAGAACGTGTACAGTGTACAGTGTAGAGTGTAGAGTAACAAGACACGGCAGCATGGCTTACCAAGTAATAACATAGTGCAGGGCCAGCGATATGGGTCCTCCCAGAATACAGACAGCCATTGTACGGGGTCTATCAAGATACCATATCTACACCATGCAAGCACAAAGTAAACACACGCATGCGCACGCACACACACACACACACACACACACACACACACACACACACACACACACACACACGCGCGCGCACGCACGCAAACATGCACACACAGAACACAGGGAAGACATTTAAAAGTCTACTATCGAGCTGCTCCACCACTGTAGATACTTCAGCATTGAAAGAGACTCGTCAGGTACAAGCACGAACATGCATATCAATGAATAACCAACCCAACCAATGCTGTAGAAGAGCGGTGCATGCTATGCCAGAATACTGAGAATAGGCAACGTGATTGATTGTCTTTTAAAGAGAATTTCTGACACACACACACACACACACACAAACACTGACTGAAGGAACTGCAAGGCACCAATGCAAGAACTCACTTTATTAGATTATCCAATGCCAGCCGGGAATTGGAGAGGATCTGTCGAAATAATTGAACACATACATGTACGTGCATGCACACACATACACGCACACATACACGCACACATAAAACCACATACACCCACATACACACACATGTGCACACATGCAAACACACATGCACGCATGCACACACCATTGGACCATTGGATGATAGCGATTAGGGCTCAAACGATTAGTCCGATTAACCGGTTGCAGACCGGTTACGAAGAATTAACGGTTAACCGATAAAGATAACGGTTACGCAGTAACTTTTCAGTCAATTTTTCAAGTATCAGGTCGTTGCAAAGTGTGCACTTTCGCGGGCTGTCGCACGCGTACGCATTTTCTGGGCTGTCAACTCGGTCATATCTGGTCTCTTGGTGTGAGAGTATGCATGAATGAGCATGCAAGAGAATGTACAAGTGTGCGTTGTACTGAATAGGGTACATTTTTTGAATGAGTATAGTCAAATATACGGTTAAAAAAGAGTCCGCAGGATTGCCGTGGCTTATAGGTTATAACCGGTTAACCGACCGTTAGCTTAGCAGTTAACAGTCAGGGGTAAAACCGTGACCGTTTGAGCCCTAATAGCGATGCTACAGCAGAAGCCATAGCAGCTTGTGCTGGGATTGCACCATTCAACAGCTTGCAAGGCTGAAGAATTGACCTCCACTATTCAGCCTGGTCTACACCACACAGCTATGAAGTGGCTTTTTCTGGCCAGTGAATCCCTACTTTTTGGTCTTTTTTTATTTATTTTTCCCGCACACACATCACACCACATACTCCGGCATGTACTGGCTGTTGGTAACCACCCAGGAGAATGAAAGAAAAGTCAGGAAGAGTCTGAGAAAGAGAAGAAAGACGTGTGTGACCATAATCGTCGGGAATCGAACCCGCAACCTACACACACACACACACACGCACACACACACACACACACACACACACACACACACACACACACACACACACGCGCACACACACACACACATGCACGCATGCACACACACACACACACGTAAACACACACACACACACCACACTCTAGTTGACCAAACTGATCGTCTGCGCTGACAAAACCCACAACCTGTACGCCATTGCCACCTTGCCAAGAACAAGTACGACAACCCACCGCTCAGCAACAGTGGTGCCATCAACATCAGACAACAAACTCTTCGTTGCCAAACGATTTCACCCTACAGTAAGATCGGGCGCCGAAGAACACCTCGCCAAAGAACACCCAGGCTGGAAAACCGGCAAAATTTAAGAACAGTCCAGGCTAGAATTATCAGATTTAAGAACACTAGATCTACATTGTACGTAGATCTACATTGTACATGTATGGGAGGTGAGTACATGTCATGTACACGTGTAAACAGTAACTGCTACATGTACAGTCATTCCCATTTACGACACCCACTAGTTTAGAAGTACTACACTGCACTACATGTACATGTACATGTACATGACAAACGTCATGACGTCACTCGACTCGCCGCGCGCGTGTGAATAAGAACGGTCTGGCTAGAATCAAAAATTTAAGAACTTTCCTAGCTCGAGCCCCTGCGTTCTTCGGCGCCCGATCTTACTGTAGTAGCCCTATGAACAAAATCTTCATCAAGAACAGTGTCACAGTTAGCAATGCCCCCATTATCAAACAGCCCCAACAGCCCCAACAGCCCCAATAGCCCCAATAGCACCGCCCAAGGGAAGTGAAACACCCTCAACAGGGACCATGAGGCCAGAAAGTGCAGCTGCCGAGACAAGGAGAGGTGCCCGCTCACAGGAGAATGCCTGACACCGAACATAGTCTATAAGTATAACATAAACATCACAATTGGAAATGGCGAAAGAGAGTGCTGTACACCGAACTAACTGAGGGCCTTTCAAGCAGCGATTCTACAACCATCGACAGTTCACCCACTACAGAAAATACCAACATCCCAGTGAGCTATCGAAACAGGTCTGAAAGCTAAAGGATAAGGCACACAACATCTATCTGTATTCAACTATTGCGACAACAATAGACCGATGGACATAACTAACGAGTTGTTGATGATTCATCCAACAGCCTAAGTATGAACATTATTTGTTTCTGCTTGCAGAGGTTAACACAAACGGCTTCTAAAACATATAAAAATTTAGCACTACGCACACACAAAGCTGGTTTTGTTTCTCGACACAATTGCATAGGCGGTGGTAATGCGGACGCGCAAACTTTACTTCACAAGTTGTAACATAGAAGAAAAAATCCTCTGAATAGAGTGCACAGCGCGACATTCAGGATGGTCACACAAATTATTGGTAAGACATTGCACCTGTCTTGTTTGGCTTCTTCACAATTGCACCTTTTCATCACTCCGTCAATGTGTAGGAGATCATGAATGTTGCCGTGCTGTTTTTGGCTACTATGCTTTGCGCTGGTTCTACCACAGCTCTGCTGGACAAAATTTCAGTGTGCTTCCTCAGTTTCTGCTTCCAGAATTAATAATAATAATAATAATAATACCACAGCACGCGTAATAATATAATTATGTGGGTATAATTATACGTTCCGCTTCTGTCCTATCTCCTATGATCAAATTCCATTATCAAGGTAATTATTAACACGGCGCACTGATGACCTGTGACGCCAGATCATGGATTGTCGGCCAGATTTCTCCATGTAGGCTTGTCCAGAGCGATGGCCCTCACATTCCCCAGCTGACTGCTGCGCTTCAAGTCGATGTTCCTCCTCTGTAAGTCGCTTGTGATGCGCGTCGCCTCACATCGACAGAGGTCTCTGAGGAGCTCTTTGCGGGCAGCGAGAAGTCAGCGTAGCCGACTCGGTCCGACAGCTTTTTATGTTTTCTCAGGAATTCGTTGAAATATTTCGACACGGCGAATTCAATTCCTCCGTGGTGACCCGCGTCCTGGCCAAAGCCCACAAGCCTGTATCCGTCGTCGATAGACCTGTCAAACGGCTCAGCAATTTTTAGCTCCTGGAGGCCGCAGACGTCCACTCTGTAGGACAATAGGTCTTTCGCTAGCTGTTGTTTCTTGACATTTGAAGTTAGGCCGCGTACATTGAACGTTGCAATTCTCGCTTTAGCGAGGGTCGGTGAACTACGAGCCAGCATGCTACAGGCTGGCATTTCTCACAAGGATAGGCGTTGACAGAGATAGGTAGAGTAGAAGGATGAAGAAGAGAGACAGGAGAGAAAGGGAGAGAGAGAGAGAAAAAGAACGCTGAGCAGTCAGCCCAACACCAAAGAGACTTCCAGAATTCCACTCGATGAAAAGGAAGCGAAAGTACATCAACTTGTGGAAATTTTCGGCAATACAAGTACATGATTGTATTACTTGTGAGGGACCTGAGGCTTGCTTTCATCTGTCTGTACGATAAGAGGCAGCGCGAAACAGAAAATGCCGTGATTTAAAAAAAGAGAAGTAAATTCGCATTGTGAACTAGTGTGAGATTGCGCAAGATGCAAAAGTGGGCGGATCATTCCGTGAGTTGCACACTCGTCAACCGTATGTACTTAGGTGTCCAAGGTTACCAATAATATTTTCAAAACGAAAGGTTTTCGTTTGGGGGTGGGTGGGTTTGATAGAGTTTCGTTTTGAAAATAATTATTGAATGCAGATGGTGAATGCCCAGCTGCTTCTGGTTGTCGAAAATTGACATCAATATTTTATTGGAATTCGTTTTACCTGCAGAAAAGGTGGGTGGTGCTGAAAAATACTAAAACTTTTCGTTTTGTAAAAACAACCGGTAACCCCGGACGGCCAATTATGGCATGCGTATCGAAGGCCCGCTGTATAACATGCGGAATGCAGATAAAAAAATCGACCACGCCAGGATTCGAACCTGGAATCTCCTGATTCGTAGTCAGGCGCCTTATCCGTTGGGCCACGCGGCCAGGACAATACACAGAACTTACCAGTTGTCTGATGATTGGTTTTTGCCATGAAACTCTGAGTTACAACAAAAAACAGCCCTATTTTAATACTTCCTTTTGTGCACCTCTAGCTCTTGCGAACTTACCAGTAGTAACAAGAGCCAGTTGAGCAGGCCACGATAGTTGCCAAATCCAGAGCCGGTATGGAGCAGGGAGTCGCGTACCACATGCAATCTGAGCACACACACATACACACATGTACACACATACATACACGCACACACATACACACACGCACACGTACACGTACACACACACACACACACACACACACACACGCGCACGCACGCACACACACACACCACAGATAGGACATGGCAATGTTGGCAAACTAAAGCAAGAATCTTGTGATAGGATCGCACCATTCAATAGCTTCCCCTTGTTTTCGAACTACAGTATTATTAAAATATTACTGTTTAAAAATGGTCAACATCATTATGAGAATTGCACATGTACATCCGTGTGAGGCATGTGACCGCATCGACATGGTCATGTGTGTATGTGTGTTAATGCATTTACTGTAAAAGCAGGAATTTGCGGTGGTGTTTTATAATCGGTAACTTCGGTGCCGACAATTTTTACCGAAAATTAGTGCTGAAACGATTATATCGATTACTCGTTACTTACTCGATAAGAAATAGATCGAGCGGTTATTTCGATTTTATCGGCTAAACGAGTAGAATGGTACATGTACTTACACTCGGTGTGGGATTTCCCCCCTTTTGGGGTCGCACAAAGCGTGCATGCATCGAAAGTGTTGCGAGTACGACACGAATATGACTGTCCACTTGCAACATCGATGTACGTGTAAAGTACTACAAGCGCGATCTGAGAAACATCGACGTGATCACCGTCGTCGTCTTTTGAGCTGACTACTTTTCTTACCAATCCCGAAAAGATTGTTGGAGGAGAGAGAGACTTTTGCTCGCCGAGCTGAAGCTAAAGGATTTGATGGAGTCCTGCCAGCAGCTAGTCAAAGGACCTTCGGTACCTTAGGCAGACCCTGACGGAGTTTGGAGGCCAGCTAGCTCTCGGTGAGGAGAGAAACATTCGCGTGGCGATCGACTCTCCGTAAAAAAATACAAGCTACATAGCGCCGACATACTGCAACAGCTATGATTTCAACTAACTTCTCGATCTGCTGCTTCACAAAGTTCAACTATTTACAAGTCCTGACTGTTGTAGTCTGAAGCTGGAGTCTCATCGCCCACCTACAGGTAGCTTTTGGAGCTGATGGATTTCCCGACTTGGACTCCTTCCGCAAACTCTCGCAACAGTCCTACAGTGTATGCTGTGTTCCCGCACGCTCGTGTCGACATGTACCGGATCACGGAGGCGGAAGAGCTTGACGAACTCCGCTGACTCCACGTTGCCGAAATACCGCCGTCGTCTTCGTTCTTATCGCTGGAGACATTCTCCCCTTCCAGGACCGGCGCAAAGTTGTCGTCCCGGAGGTAGAGACTATGTTGTGTTTCGAAATAGTTCTTCATCAAGCTCGCGCGAATGATGATTCTCATCATGAACTCGTTCCGACGGTGTGACATGGCGATGGTCTTTGGCGGGGCACTGGCTTGGCGAAAACGCAATCTTCTTGCGCAGTAGAACATTGATCGGCTGCAGATGAGTACAGTTACTTCGTGCTTGGTCCTGTTGGAGGAAACCTGACAGGAAAGAGGCAAGACTCATCGAAGACGAAGCGCTCGCAACAAACAATGGCGCTCGAAATATCTCGTACGATTTAGGGCCTATCGCTTTGAGCCACAGCGCTCACAGCCTTGCCTACTTCATCAAAGTGAGCTCTACATGTTCGTTGACCTCTTCACACTACACAGAAGAGCGAAACAAGGATTATGGCTTTAGCACTTGGGTTGCAACCAGTGAGTTGCCTCTGTCTGGTCTGTATTCGTCTGGTCAGTCCGAACAGCTGACAGACTTGTTGCGGGAACATCGGATCTATGCACCCGCTTTCCGTCGTTGGCGATGTAATTGTTGGACTCGTAAAATTTTGAAATTCACAGAATGTACATGTACTGATGTAGTTACAATAATAATCGTTTAGCCGATAAGCCGATCGTTATGGTATCAGCTAAGCCACTAAGGAAAAAACGTAATCGTTTCAGCACTACCGAAAATAAAAAAGCACCGAAATTGTCGGTACAGTAATAGTACACTTACCTGGAAAACAGGTTTACCGAAAATTTCCCTCTACCGAACCGCCGATTTTGAAGAATACCGAAAATATTACACTACCGAAAATGTCTGCTTTTACAGTACGCACACGACACTGTAAAGCACAAGACTGCTAACATATGGTGCCTTCCACACGCCCACGCTACATGCAGCAACCATTGACGGTCCATGCTGGCCACAGCCACCCCGGACGGCACAAACACGGAGCGGAAAGAGAGGAAGTATGCACATGCACCGCCTAATATAGCGGATACTAGGGAGGTTTCGCTCTACGGAATTACGTTTGAAAATAACGTAGGAACTGCACGGAATTTTCATACGTAAATATCAGAGCTGCTGGGTTTCGCTCTACGTGATTTATCCACGGCTGCTAAACATGCGTTGTTGCTTTGGAGAAGCGTTGGCTGCATGCGCCCACTGCATGCACCATGAACCGAAACAGCGTTTTCCATCTTATTTTGCACGTGGTGTACGGTGTGTGTACCTTGTGTTTCGCGCGGCTTGAACTTTGCCATGGACAAATGCAGAAAATGCGAAAAAATATTTCAAAAAGTCCTACGGAGGACCCAACGTAGGAAAGAGCTTTCATACGGAAATCCGTAGAGAGATTATACGTATGAAAGTTGCCCTCGCTCCCCGGAGCGTACGACATACGGATTTTCATACGTAATTACGTAGAGCGAAACCTCCATAATACTGTTGTGTGTAATGCATGTTTTGATTCTTGTACACATTCGTAATATCCAATATATCAGATCAGTATGCATCCGATAATGTTGGGTATGATATCTTGACTAGCAAAATTCGTTTTGCTTTCGAAACTTAGTTCCGATCACTTTATCCGGCATATACTTACACTTGGTCACTCTTTAGACTGTCCACCGACCAAAGGCCAAAACGTGAAAGTTATCGTAAACTTACTTGTAACCGTATCTGCAGTGCAGTATGACCCAGTAGAATCATGCTCATGCCATACTAACGATGATACAAACTGTGGTCATTGCCCAGGCGAGAAGTCAAGGCTCGGGAGATATGGGGTGCCCTGGCAGGGTTCTATAGCAGGGGCGTCGGAAGGTATTTCAGGGTGGTACGGTCAGCCATCTGAAGTTCAATTTACTCGTGGGGGAGTGGTGGCGGAGCGGAAAATTTTGGAATTTTAGATCCCAGATCAGTGTATTTTATTGATTCACGGGGTATCTGGGGCAAAAAGTGGTACGGTCAATACCGTAGTGACCGTACCGTGTGCGACGCCCCTGTATAGTAATACAATTAGCACGCCCACGTCCAAGTCGAGACATCCCCTCTCCACTCCCCTACAGTGTTCGTGGAACTTGGGCTTGCATTACGAGACTGGAGTACTCATACTATCTGAAATAATGGTACCGTGTTATGATTACGGCCTGGCTACACGGCCTACACAAAGAAACTCCATGCAATATATAATCTTCGCAAGCTTTGTGGCGTACCTGTCACACAACAGAGAGGTTCCGGAGTACAACTTTTCGTGCCATCATCCGTAGAGGTGCTACGGATTTTTTACACGTCGTTTTCGAGCAGTGAAATGTTCCGGAGCACGGAACTTATGTTTGCCGCCATTGCCTAGGTTACGATCGCAAACACGTCATATTCCCGCACTATGCCTTTTTTATTTTGAAATTTTGTACCGAAATCAAAACTTCCCGCGGAAAATCGATGCTTCTCGTACCAAATTTGTACGCGAAAAATCGTTCTGCACTCGATGACGCAAAATCTCCATACGAAACATGGTTCGTATGAAAGCCAGTCCACACGGAGTCTCCATGCCGAAAAATCGTATGAAGCACTCTTCGATAAACTCTGTAGCGCCCATACGGATTTTGGCACGGAAAATCGTACCCTGGAACCTCTCTAAAGGACGATTCACAATACAACTTTCTGCGATGTGACACGCGATTTGCGCAGTTGTGACAAGAATCTGCCTGTCGCATGCAGTCGCAAGGCACCTGTCGCAGAAGTTGAAGAAAGTTCAACTTTGCGACATGCGACGCGCGACATACACAAACGGAGTACAGTTTCTACCCTGGGTGCACGTTCAGTGCACGTGCATAGTACTACTAGTGCATAAGGATGTCGCAAACATGAAAAAGATTGTGAACCGTGTGCCGCTGTCACAGCTCGTCGCAGGTGTCGCAAGTCGCATGTCGCGTCGCAAGAAGTAACTTGTATTGTGAATCGGCCTTCAGGCTGCAATCACACTACAGTACTGTCAGGCGCCGGAGAACGGACCGCCCAAGAACGGCCAGGCTAGAATTTCACCAATTTTTAAGAACAGTCTAGGCTGGATTTTTGCAGAGAAAAGAACGGAAACCGTAATGTAGACTATAAGTATAATGTACACTCAGACGTATAACTCTGCATAAATGTACACGTAAGACTGTACCATCGAATAAGAACGAAACCGCTGTGTTCGCTAAAAATAAGAACGCGCTAGGCTAGAACCCTGACCCCTAGTTCTTCGGCGCTCGGCAGTACTGTAGGTACAAATCACGTACAAACGGCATTACAGTAGAAATCGTCATGGCAAAGCGCGCGAAATGCAAAAATGCGCTTTGTAGGTTTTCAGCTACTGGTGCACCCCTGTAGAAGAAAGCCACGTTTGTCGTTTTCACGCTCCATCTCCTCTGTAGAACTTTTTCTGCCTGGTTGTCGTACAGCATCAGCATACACTCATTGTTTTGAATTTCCTGGTCTTTTCCGGCACATGGCACACGCTTGGGTACGACAACGTCACATGCTGGTCGCCTGAAAAGTGATCTATGCAGACCGAAAAGTGTAGTGTGGTTGCGTACCGACTTGTACTGAGTTAACCCGACTGCTGCATGGACGATAAATGCTGCGAATAGTGATCATGCACCCTGGCCTGAGTAGCTCGCTTGGCTAATTGAAAGTCTGCCGACCTGGGCCACATTATGTTGCTAATACATGCACAACCCCAGCCACAGCGCACAAGTTGGTTGAGTTTGGCCGTCAGGAGGCCAGCGCAAGGTATCCGGGGTGCGGGCCTGATTCCAGCGAGGGGCAATGTGGTACCCCGCAGCGCAAGGGTAGCGTGATACCCTGGTTGCGTACCGACTTGTACTGAGTTAACCCGACTGCTGCATGGACGATAAATGCTGCGAATAGTGATCATGCACCCTGGCCTGAGTAGCTCGCTTGGCTAATTGAAAGTCTGCCGACCTGGGCCACATTATGTTGCTAATACATGCACAACCCCAGCCACAGCGCACAAGTTGGTTGAGTTTGGCCGTCAGGAGGCCAGCGCAAGGTATCCGGGGTGCGGGCCTGATTCCAGCGAGGGGCAATGTGGTACCCCGCAGCGCAAGGGTAGCGTGATACCCTGGTTGCGTACCGACTTGTACTGAGTTAACCCGACTGCTGCATGGACGATAAATGCTGCGAATAGTGATCATGCACCCTGGCCTGAGTAGCTCGCTTGGCTAATTGAAAGTCTGCCGACCTGGGCCACATTATGTTGCTAATACATGCACAACCCCAGCCACAGCGCACAAGTTGGTTGAGTTTGGCCGTCAGGAGGCCAGCGCAAGGTATCCGGGGCGCGGGCCTGATTCCAGCGAGGGGCAATGTGGTACCCCGCAGCGCAAGGGTAGCGTGATACCCTAAGCCAACGTGCGCGCTGCATGAGTAGCGTGATACTCGGCGAGCGCTTTTTCTGTTGCCTAGCAACGCGTTTCTGTCTTTCCTGGGCCCCCAAATGCATGTTGGGTGGCCCTGCGCATGACTGCACGTTGTCATAGCAACCTTGGAAACCTCAAGCCGGTTACCAACAAGCTAGGAATCAGACCAAGCCGCCGAATGCCCCCACCGGCCCCCGGCGCTTCATTGCAATCGAATTAATATTTTGTCCAGAATAGTGAGCTAGGACAGATCGAAATACAATGTAGCTTGGAGTACCATCATGCAGAGTGGCACTCATTGTGAGACAGAGGATAGTGTAGAGCGATAATAAATACCAGGAGGCGTGGGTGGGAGGGAGAAATTGCAAAACAGTAGGATGCACGCAGCAGCACAGCTAGCAAGAGAAAGAGCCGTGGATGAGTTTGTTCCTGTTTTTGATGGCTGTGGCCATCCGTTGGCCCAACGGTCTCGTGTGAGTACGGTGTTTGTTTGTGCTGCCAGCTCGCGCTCGGCGTTTGTTTGTGCTGCCAGCTCGGGCCCGGTGCGCAAGTGAAACCGAACCGTGACAAAGGCTTTCGCTCTTTAGTGCTATTGACTGGCTTTTCATACGATGCCTATTGATGTCTAGAGACATGCTGTCTAGCCTTCCCCTGGTACGCATTCACGGGGCTTTGTTGAAGTTCGTGCCGTGAACTGCCAAAGAGAATTGTTTGAATGGTGCTGGGGCGAGTGCGACATTACGGCGTCCCTGCAGCCGGCCTAATCGCGTTTGTCGCCACAACCGATTATATGCACGAAAATTTGTACTGTGATTGTTATGTACAGTAGAGTCGCGCGCTGAAGAACGCGGAGCCCAAGAACGTCCAGCCTGAAATTCTAAGAACACCACAGCCTAAAGCTAAGAACGGCGGTGTTGGTTTTCTGGCAGCTTGTGGAATACATATGATCCAGTACGGATTGTTTCTAAGAACGTGCTATAAGAACGCAGCCAGATTGCAGAAAAATAAGAACGTCCCAGGCTAACCCCTTGGAAACAACGTTCTTGGGCGCGCGACTCTACTGTAGTGTGGTTGCGGCCTATTATTGTTTCAAAAAATTGGAAATATTTAAAAAATTGAAATGTCTGATGTGATGTGTACCCATTTTTAAAAATTTCAAGACGACTTCTTCTTGGATAAAGTTTATAATTATTGCAAAAGTAAGGTATCCATGCCTCTTTAAATAGTGAACTTACTGCCGGCGTCGCACTTCTTCCTCCTCGGGAGCATCTGGCGTTGGACTGGGTACTCCAATGACATGCTGAACTTTCCGCTTCTTGACCTCAGTTGGCCGATGTCCACTCATGGTTCTGACTGCTCAGCAATCGTCACCAGTCTGGCAACACCAAGATTCTCTGCCAGCCTCAAAGAGAGACCCTTCTATCTCAGGGCTCACACGCGCTCTAACTAAGCTCTTAGCACTAGGTCTGTGGCGACATGAACTTCACGATCGATGTACCAAGCTGAAAGTCAATGTTCTTATTCAGTCAGTACAAATTTTCTGGGGATCAGGAAAGCACAGTTCAAGTGGACTGACTGTACTGGGGTTCAACAATGCGACTCTCTGTCACTTTTCAAGCAGCTCACCGAGGTTGTTGCACTGCACAAGCATGCAGAAGACCCAGGGCAGAAGGGGTTTTCCCGTTCGACTTTCAGTCAGCCTCTTTTATCCGGTTCCCTCCCCATCCGGAAGAAACTGTGCCCGATTTACCATGGTTTACAGTAGGGAGTAGTACAAAATGGTACTACTAACTCCCTGATACATGGTACATGGTTTACAGCTTGTGATGCATCCAACCAAGAGTACAACCCCCTGGGGCAAGAGTACATGTACTCTTGCCTGGGGTTATGTACTCTTGATCCCACCGGTGTTTTATCCTGTTCCCTCGCCTATCCTGATATTTTTAAACTTTTGTGGTCCAGCCTGTAGATGAACGTGAGTACATGAAGTACACGGATTTCGTGTACAAATGTATTGACCCGGTTCGTTCAGTGGCCCATACCTGGGAGTTCCATCCTACAACCCCCTGATTCACAGGAAGCCTCGAACTTCGAAGGCTCATAACTACACAATGTTCATATTTTTTTAACAGAGTCATAACCAGGGAGTACCTATTCTATGATTTAGCTATTCTGTAGGCCTTTCTCTTACAAGTTACAATAGTACTTTTGTTTTCAAGTTGTACCAAGAGTTCAAAGGTTATGAACTCTTGGTTGTACCTAGTACCTTGTGGATCAGCCTATGATCCGCTCCCTGTTCCGAGGCCCTAGCTAGCTAGCCGCGAGTCGCGACCTGGGAGTCTAGGACAACGGCCAGCCAGTCAATCACGTGACCTTTAGTAAACTACATACAAAACACAGAGTCTGCTCAGAGCCTCTGCAGCCACTTTGGCCAATCCACTATCAAACGGTCAAAAGCAGGGAGTAGTACAATACTACTCCCTGGTCAAAAGAGTTACATCGGCACGCAAGCATGCACACACGCTATGACACACACACACACACACACACACACACACACACACACACACACACACACACACACACACACACCTTGTGACGCCCCTTCGCCAAAGGCAATGATGGGCTTATTGAGCCAGGCAGAAATTCTGATGATGTTTGAGGTCGCCACTTCGGCGGAACGACTGTCCGCATGCGCAGCTAAACGGCGTCAAGTGGCGGGTGGAGAAGCCAGAGGAAGGAGCCGTTCACCGGAGATCTTCCGTTGCCAGGCTGGACAATCCTGTGCCATGGCTAACCCGTGAATGCTGTTTGAGAATGTCCATGGCGTGCAAGTCATCAACAATGACATCACCGGGCTCATACGTGCAACATGCCCAATCCAGCACAGGCAGTGTTCATGAAGCAGCAGTTGTCATTTGGCAGCCTTACGGTTCTGAAGGCAAGCTGGCTGCTGGCGAGACGGTCCAATTGTTGAGTGGATCTGGACAGGCCCAGTATAGCCCGGATTGATGGTCGATGGAAGCTATTGAGACGGCGGAGATGTGATACCTTGACAGCCCAAGTCTCTGCCCCATAAACCAGTGTCGGCAGGACAACAGCCGTACACACAGTTCTCTTCCCTGTTGAGAGATAACCTACGACACTGGAAGATGGGTTTTCTGCAGCCTATCGAACAGGTGGGAAGCCTTGGCCAGTGTGGAAGTGACCTCCTTGTCCAAGGAGCAACCCGTGCTGAGGGTGCCGCCAAGATAGGTAAAGTCCTGGACCAGGTCAATATGTCCGCTGTCACCCACAGGGTGTGAATGCCGCCAGTGGATACTTCCATTTCCACATCATGGATACACACAAACACACACACACACACACACAGTCGCACGCACACATGTACACACATGCATGTATACACACGCGCACACACACACACACACACACATGCATGCTTGTGTGCACACCGGCACATACACACGATTATGACTGGTCAAATTGCCTCCACTTTCCCACAATGTCTGCGTGTAGACACGGAACAGTTGATACAATAAATCACACAGGCTGTGAATGGCTGCTGTGATCTTTGTATGCATGATTTTTTTAAAATTTATTTATGGATTCCCCAAAGGCCGAGGCCTAAGTCGAGGCGGTCTCCGTTCATGGCTTACTGGGAATATATCTGCAAAAATGATTGATGGGCTCCTCATCGCAAGGCACACACCCTATTCATAGATGTACACACGACTGAGTCACAAAGAACTCGCCTTCCAGATATGTGTCCACCCGTGTACTGTAAATATACAAATTTTCGGCAGCTATTTAATTTCGGCTATATTCGGCACCGACCCAAAACGCCTAAATTAAAACGCCGATGAAATTTTTCACAGCATTTGTCGCAATACCATGCCCTCTACCCCACGCCGAAAATAAATCGCCGCCGAAATTTCAAAAATCGTGAAGTGCCGAAATTTTGCAGCGCCGAAATTTTGTATATTTACAGTATACAAAAGTAAGATCTATCCGAGTGGAACAAAACTCTGTAGTTTACTACTTTTCAGGGTTGCGATGCACCACTGTCTCAAGCAAGCACTTTGGCAGCCTTAGAGAACAAGCATACCTTGAAGCAAGAGTACTGTAAAAGCTGAATTTTCGGTGGTGTAATATTTTCGGTATTCTCCAAAATTAGCAGTTCGGAAAAGGAAAATTTTCGGTGAACCCATTTTCCAGGCAATTGTACTAGTACTACAATGTAGTACCGAAATTTTTGGTGCGTTTTATTTTAGGTGAATATCGTCGGCACCGAAGATACTGAAAATAAAACACCACCGAAAATTTCTGCTTTTACAGTACTCTTGCTTGAAGTACACAATATGAATATGCATCAGGCCCGTTGGAACCGGTCAGGTTATCGCCGTGTGTTTACTGCTCAGGAGGATATGTTTACCCATCACATCACGCACAAATACCAGTAATGAACTAGACTCAGTATGGCATGACCGGACCAATCAAAAGTTGCTTCTGATGGTCCTGTGCATGCATGGGTGATGACGCTAACAGTTATATACTGCATGTGACACTGAGAGTGGCAGGGTGGCAGTGTGATAGCTGGACTGGGCTAAATGATGTCATTGTACTCGGCAGGATATGAATCATGCGCTCATTGACAAAATCAATGATGCAGTGCACAATTTTAAAATTGAATTTATCCATACCGTACTTGATGCATTACCTGTTTCGCCGGATCACCACTTGCTCAGACACCATCACAGATCAAATGCAGACATACAATTATTATGTCATGTCAATTCCAGTTCTGCCCTGACACGTGATGTCATCGCCAAAGCAGCTTAGTAGTAGTAGTATTTATTTTATTTACCATCGGATGCCTCAACAGTGATACACACAACTCTTAAGAGGGCCGATAACGGGATAAGTGGAAAGGAAAGGAAAAGAAAAAAAAATCTTACGAAGCAACTTGTACTCATTGTACCACCTAGCAAGCTCCAAATACAGTAAGCCTTCGCTCCTCCCACTACGCCACTGTCTGGATGTATTACCATGACGACGCATCTGCCTCGTGCATGGAGGCCATGATCACGCCCATAACGTGCTCAGGCCATGCCATGACACGTCGCACAGTCACTCTACTAGCAAGAGTAGATAAACAAGAGTGTGCAACTCCGGATCTCTCCTGCACAATCTGCAGATACCCCCGCCCACGGCGGAATTTTTTGTTGACGTCACCTTTTTTCAGAGAAACGCGGACTTTGCCGCAGAGCAGTGTGAGAGCACGTGCTGGGCACAGACATGTAGTGTAAAGCCCGGCCAAGTGCACGAGGGAAACCTCTCCAAAAGGCTCGCAGCGCGTGCGTCGTCGAAAAGATTACGTCAACAAAAAATTCCGCCGTGGGCCAACCCATCCGCGAGTTGCACACTCTTGTTTATCTACTCTTGCTACTAGCCATGTACAATGTAGATCTTTTGAAGGTCAAGGCAAACCCAAGGCTCCAGACAAAGTCAAACAAGGCATTATTATTATGACTTGAGACTGTGACAACTGACTGCCAACTGCGGTAGATCTACTTACTCATTCTCATCAGACATGCCATGGCTTGGGCATCTGACATGAACTCCATGATGGAAAATAAGTGCAATCGGTCATCAGGTCATGGTAGACTGCACGCCTGTGGAAACAGTAGACTACGGCGTTCTACATGTATACAGGGTTGGCGACAGATCACGCTTTGGTCACCTGACCATTCGCTGCCAACGGTGTCGATACACGCCTCCATTACATCGACCGCTAGCATGCTGATCTAGGCCTGACTCGAGTTGAGCTGAGGTGAGAGCCATATCACTCAGGCATCATGGGACGAGTGTGTCGCGCGCTGGGTCAGCAGAAAACTAATGAGCGATCGCCACTTGATCAGGCAGAATCAGCAACTCATGCTGTGCACTTTGGTTTTTGTTCCTTCTGAGTCGGTTTGGCAAATTCAGTACTCCTTGAGAAACATGTGGAAGCTCGTCGTATTGGCCCTTGTGGCCGTGGCTTCGGCCACCAAGATGGAGAAGGAGATGATCGCGGATGAGGACATTGTCGAGTATGTCAATGAGGTGGCGAAGACTACGTGGAAGGCTGGAGTCAACAAGCGATTCGAGCACATGCCCGAGGAGGTCATCAAGGCAACCATGGGAGCTTTCCTTGACCAATCCAAGAGCCCACTGGAGACCAAGACCTTCGAGAGTGTTGGTGACCTGCCCACCGAATTCGATGCCCGCACCAAGTGGCCAAGCTGCCCGTCCATCGGTGACATCCGCGACCAAGGTGCCTGTGGAAGCTGCTGGGTAAGTCGCAGCTAGACTGCTCCTATTCCATCTGCATTGGAATAGCAATGTGGGACACTGGTACCTGAGTTTCAGTGAGTAAGATGGTGGGTTGTTCAGTTACTACGGGCGGTTTGGACATCATGTCATGTCTCAATTACATTCTGAAAATTCAAAAAAAAAACGTTGAATTTGTGTTGCTCTTGCATGCATAGCAAAAAAATTTAAATACGAGGCTTCCGGTACGGTGCCCTTTACTTTTGTTGCTGATGCGTGCGTGCATAGCATAATAATCATCATCAGTAACAAGCGCTGTGGCACTGCACAGAGTGCTCTGCATCGTACTAGTACTGTAGTAGTAGTAGGCCAGTACCCGCCTCTACTCTACTCCAGTTCTAGTACAAGTCATGTACGTATACTGTCTAGGCCCTGTCAGCTAGCTGTCGTCGTGTGACATCTCTCACAGTCTCAGTGCAGTCTCACTCTTTCCTTTTGAAGTTTTGTCACATGCTCCTCATGAGCGTGTAGCATACATGCATCAGGGCTGCATGCATGGCTGCGCCTGTCACGTGCTTCTCATCATGCATAAAATTGCACACTGATGACCCTGGCCTGGTCTAGACTAGTATGGGACTATCAACACTGGAACTGTAGTCTGTGTAGAGCTGTAGGTTGGGATTTGCCCTTTGTCTCATGACACACCAGGTGCCACTGGAGCGTGTGGAGAGAGAGATCAGCAGTTCCGCTGAACACCCTACAAACCTTCTTCTGTCACTCCGTTCAGTCTACGTGTGGCGTTGCATTGGTCATCGACAGCACCTGCCCAGTATCTCTTTTGTACCGGGGTGGTGCATGCAGTGTGCAACACGCTAGCTGCATTCCTGGCAATCATTGTAGTACCGGCGTCGGCTGGCGTCTAGTTCGAAACATGGCATGACATGTTGCCAGAAACTGTCCAGTTCGTCAATCAATGAATGTCTGCATTTTGTAGTCGTTCAAACATGCCTTTCTCACATTCGCTGTCACGTAATTAAATCTGTTTGTACAGTACTTGCGAATTCCAATAAAGGAATACAATACAAATTATGACAATCCGTGTACATGTACTTGCAGCACCGATGGGATGAGAAGCAGTATGCATTGTACTGTAAATCCGGGAATTTTCGGTGGTGTAATATTTTCGGTATTTCCTAATATAAACGGTTCGGTAGCGCGAAAATTTCGGTAAACCAGTTTTCCGTACTGCAGTCGGCATGCATGTACCTGTGTTGCCACACCTGCCGACATGTCAGTAGCCTGCCGATTTTTGGGGCCTGTCACGACCTGCCGACAATTGACCGTCTCCTGCCGACAACAGCCGTGAAAGTGTCCAAACTTGACCTTTGTGCTTGGTTTAGAAGTCATGGTCCAGAATTTTGGCTTTTACTGCTCATTACGAGTGTTTCCATAGCTCTCTCCTACAATACAAACATCAGCTGTCTGGGGGAAATCGTGTGCGCTGTAGAATCCCGCTGGTGGGTTTGTACAACGAAGCTTGGCGATGTTCGAACTTGGCCTAGGCTTATGCGCGTGTGGGTTTATTCGCTGGATTCTACGATACATTAGGGTTACTATGAGAGGGGGGGGGGGTCCGGGGGCAAAGCCCCCGGATGATGCATTTTATTTGTTTCAGTCTACTGATATTTGGCTATAATGATGTGGCAACACTGATGTACATATATTTTCGGTGCGTTTTATTTTAGGGTAAAAACTACCTGTACCGAAGTTACCGAAAATAAATCTCCGCCGAAATTTTCCAGTTTTCCAGTATTTGGAAAGTGGGTACCATAAATTCCATTTTTAAAGAACCTTGCCAAGCCTTGTCAACAATGATCGGTTAGCAGCTAGTTTATTTTACTTTGTTAAAGTAACTTAGTTACTTGTATTCCTTTGACCATTGGCCGTCTTGCAGGAGCCCGGCAACTGCTATAAAGGGTTGATATTTGGCCAGTGATGTTGGATTACTGTTCGCTCTGAGAGAAGATACGAATCGAAGCGGCTTCTGTGCATGTATGCCCTGCATTGTTGTCTGCAGGCTTTCGGTGCCGTTGAGTCGATCAGCGACCGTCTCTGCATCCACAACCAAGTCAAGGTCAACATCTCTGCTGAGGACCTGATGGCATGCTGCCACACTTGTGGAAATGGGTAAGTCCTGCTGCAACCCTACCACTCGTAATTATTATTCTGCAGTGTGTGTGTGTGTGTGTAGGGTGGGTGTGGATGTATGTGTGGGTGTATGTGTGTGCATGTGTACGCATGTATGCCTGTGTGTGTGTGCGGGTCTAACTGTTAGCTTCCAGTGCTGGCTGGTGAAAGCCTGCTGCTCCATGTCGACTAAACAAGCAGCTTGGACTATCCGTTGCCCGCCGGTATAATATCATGTTTGCCGGTTTAGCTCAGTCCTGTTTGTATCTTGGCAGGTACTTGCTTTGCCAGGTCAAAGCAGCCAGCTGTCCGGAGATTGAATGCTTTGCCAAATGTCTGCTCTGTCACGCTTTGCCCGAGACAGATCCTGCCAGTGATTACAGTGGCCCAAACTGACCGTACCCTACGCTAACCCTTGAGTGCTGTTTGTGTGCTTTGTCTGCAGATGCAACGGTGGTTTCCCCTATGAGGCTATGTAAGTACACTACTAGTACATGCTAGGCACACAATCACTATTTGTAAGCACATGCTGCCAGAGCCGGCGAGCTTACACATTTTTTGCATTGGCCTCTGGAGTTCATGTTCCAGCATGACATTAACGCTGCTAACTGGCGGAGTAGCAAGTCGCGTATTTTTCTCTCTTTTTTACTCTATTGCTTTGCTGGCTGAAAACATCTCTTGTACTACAGCAAGAATACCGCACGATGTGATGCGAGTATATGTCACCACCATACCCTATAGCGGGTCTTACCCTGTAGCAGGTCCGGGTGGAGTTGCACACTCTTACCTGGGTGTTGCGTACTCTCGCTATGCGCGTGCCCAGTGTGCTGTCCGTGCTGTTGTGTGATGTTCTCCGTTCTCTGTGTTGTGTGTCTGCGATGGCAGGATCTACTACACCAGGGAGGGTCTTGTAACCGGTGGCCAGTACAACTCGCGCAGCGGCTGCCAGCCCTACCTCATCAAGTCATGCGATCATCACATTGTCGGCAAGAAGGAGCCATGCGGCGCCCTGGAGAAGACCCCGTCCTGCAAGAAGACCTGCGAGGAGGGATACGTCAAGTCTTTCAAGGATGACACCCACCGTGGCCAGCACGCTTATCACGTCCGTGAAGTCACAGACATCATGCAAGACATCATGACCAACGGCCCCGTCGAGGCTGCCTTCACCGTCTACAAGGACTTCCTGCAGTACAAGACCGGTAAGCGGTGACGCTCCTATCTAGGCATGTACGAAGTATCAACTTGCAAGTTGCATGACAATTTCTCTCTCTTACACACACAGACATGCACACCGACACACACACTACCACTACTACTAGTATCCACAGAGTTGAATCATGATCACAGCATCCGTGGGTTAAGCCGTATTTCTCTGCACAATACTGTTGGATGCACAATGGTTGAACCAGTATTTTGCGCGGGTTGTGTATAATATGATTCACTAATTTGTTGATGCCAGGTCGATTTACTACATCTGCACTGTGAGTGTACATGTAGTTAGTGAAGTGTTCCTAGTTTGTAGTTTGTAATGCCTGTTGTTGTGTATTGTGCTTGTTCTCTCCTCACCATGCAGGTGTGTACCAGCATACCACTGGCACTGCCCTTGGTGGCCATGCCGTGCGCATTCTGGGATGGGGCGTCGAGGACGGCACCGAGTACTGGCTGGTTGCCAACTCGTGGAACTCCGACTGGGGTGCAGAGGGTAAGTCGCGCGTGTGATACGTCGGTGCTGCACTCTGCCATTCGACGGACCACACCGTACTTTCTGGAGTATAGGCCACACCCAGATTTGTTGTCACGAACTACAGACATCTCCCCCATTTGCCACCGTCCTCTGTCCACTTTAGGTGTGCATAGCATTAGATCGGTCTGTGCCTTACTGCACATGAAGCAGCAGAAATTGTCAATTCGATAAGACTGTCTTGTTGGGCTGTAGCTAGTATTGCAAAAGAAGGATCCACGAGCGGGATTCGAACCCAGCACACCTGGCTTTCCGGGACAGTGCCCTACCGATTTGGCTACCGTGGATCACACACACCCGTGGCTCCTTCTTGCTACACTAGGATTTCCACTGCACTGAGCCGATCAATAAGCCATCATCGCAGCTCTATAGGCGGAGCCAAGTACGCCGTTTCACTCCAATATTCACGTGTCATTGTGTTTGCGCGTGCTCACTATCACCCTGCAGGTTTCTTCAAGATCCGACGTGGACACGATGAGTGCGGTATTGAGAGCGGCATTGTCGCCTCCATGCCCCCATCGGCCTAAATAACAGCACCGTGCTATCTCGCGTCTTCCTGCTCATCCTTGCGCGCTCTGCGCGTCGTGCTCTGCGCGTCTTTCCCTCTACTGCCTAGCCAGAGTGCCGTCCTTGGCACATGGTGTTGGGTTCTGTTCTCTCCGCTATTTCGTTTATTTGTTGACACTTTTTTATGAAGACAAAGCAGCATGTAATTATTGTGTGCGTAGTATTTCTTCTATTCCCAAGATGAAATATTATGAAAACTTGATCGGTCTCCTGAGGTTTGTGTGTGTGTGTGTGTGCGTGCGTGTATTGCTCTGCTCCCCAGTGAAGTGATTTCTGCACAACCAGTAATTTAATACACAAAGGTTCTCACACCATACACACTTCGTTGCACTCTAGCTCTGTCATACGGTTTTCCTTTCCCTGGTTGTAAGTTAAAATCAAGGTGGGGCGCTCTCGCGGTACTTGACAGTACGTATATGTCGGGACTCGGAAGCATCACAGCAGTGGTATTACCTGATGCAGCTAACAAAGCCAGCGTGAGTCTGGCTAGGTGAGCTGTGGAACATGAGCAACACGAATCACTGTAAACACAGTATACATGACTGTAGTGGGACTACAACCACCACGGCATGCCGGCACCAGATCTTGGTTACCGGTGTTGTCTTGGTTACCGCTGTGGCCATGCCCAGTAACATTCTTTGCTTCCATTCAGAGAAAGGTCAATGTGTAGAGTACTTACTGTAATAATAATAATACTATGATCATGATGATCGTGCGACTACTTTGCCGGAAATGTACCATGCATGCATAATTCCTGGTGCGGAATACAATGTACTGTCCCCGGGGAAAATTGCGGAAAAAAATCGCAAAAAAACGCGGCATAATATGGCGTATTTTGCGGTGAATTTGCGGTAAATATGCGGTGAATAATATTGATGTGCGTCATTTTTCAGTGAGTATGTAGTGAAATCAATCAGTTACAAGTCTCTGGTGTAAGCACTCGTCATATTTGAGTAAAAAGCCGCCACGATGAGACGTTGCTGACCGAACAGTGCACTGTGTGTACGTGTGTAGTGCCACAAAAAAGTTCAAAAAACGCGGGAAAATCGCGGAAAACGCGGTCTTTTAAAAAATCGCAAAAAAACGCGGAAAAATACGCAGCCGCGGAATCGCAATTTTCCCCGGGGACAGACTGTACATGCACAGTTCACAGTAGTGCATGTATGGTGCATGACTCATGAAGGAGGAGAGAGAGAGAGAGAGAGAGAGAGAGAGAGAGAGAGAGAGAGAGAGAGAGAGAGAGAGAGAGAGAGAGAGATTTGTGCAGATTTGTTCCTCTTCCCAGCTTGCGGAAGTAACCACGTTTGGCAAAGGCAGCGTAGATAGCAGCATTGCGTTGCGTAGACTCATACTAGATTCTTCTTCCAAAGTACATGTACATCGCATTCTCTATCCTAAAGCACAGGATACCATAGTGGCGCGCATAAAAGCGCACGGGCCTATAAGTTATAACCGGGCACAAGCGAACCCAACTTCGCGACACGCTGATGCCACTATCATACCATCTTTACACTTACAGTGTTTTGAACACAATTACAGGCGCAATCGCCTTTACTGTATGTGAGTTAAACGTGGGTCAATCCAGTGCATCTTAGCGGGAATAGGCCACACATTAAAACGTGCTATGTGCAACAGCAGCAGCAGCAGCAGCAGCATAGCATGGTAAAAACTCAACATGCAATACACTGTATACTGAGTGGGAACAAGTAGCAAGACAAACATGGATTCGGCCGAAGCAGCAACAAACTGCAGCGAGTGTTTCAAGTGATATGCCAGTAGTGCAAGCAGCAGCTGGGGAGCAGAGCAATTGTGCGAGCGAATTTGGGGGTTAAGAGCTGGGGTGATACTAACATTGAATGCAACCGCAGCAGCAGCCAGTTCAGGTAGCGGGACAGTAACTGTGGGGTACTGTGTAGAAAGAATATATGAAAACAAAACGAAGTGAGTAATTTTGTAAATATTTTCCGGATGGACGACAGACAAAAATACGGAAAAGTGTGTGGACGAAGAAAATACCCTCGCAGCAAACTGCGACGGAACAGTACGATACCCTACACAAGGAAACGTGTGCAGGAAGATAGTCTCACTCAATGAAACAGAATAACGTGGAGGTACCAACTGAACACATATAGACGGAGTCCATGGCTAAAAAAAATGCAATTTGTAAAGTTACCTCATACCGGTAGTCATATCTCGAGAGGCCGAAAGCTGATGGCACCAAGCGAAAACACCCTACTACCGGTATGTGCAGTGTAATTGTCATGGCTAAGACGTGCAAGATTCTCTACTTCTGAACCTGTTTCGATGACGTCACTGTCCACCTGCTCTTGGCTTCCGGGACACCACAGGGAAATGGTGTCGTCAATTCCACTGGTGGCCAACAGAATCTGGTATGGGTGAGGCTGGCAGCAGTTCAATACTTCAGTATCACCTCTCATCGTTCGCACCAGTCGTGTACTGTCCGTTTCCCAGATGTAAACCCTGCCATCATCACTACCAGCGACCACATACTTGCTATCCCTATCAAGGAAATTTGCCTCCTTGATATCGGTTAGGCGGTTAACATGTCCGCAGAAATAACCGCTGCAGTCCAATACGGAATCTGGTGGTTGCATCAGAGGGCGGTGAGGGCGGTGTGGGTGTTGCAGATCCGACAGCAAGGATCGGTACCCGGGCAGTTCGACGACGTGTGGAAAACGTTCCACCAGATCGGTCTCGCACTCAGCGGCCACGCGCCACCAGCGGAGTTTCGTGTAGGCATCCAGGACGTTGAGAGCGGCACTCGCGCAGTCCGGACGGAGAGCAGCCACTGTGCGTGCGGCGAGCAACGCGGCGTACCGATCTCCGCGCCAGCTACGCTTCCCAAGCTCCTGGCGCAGGCGCTCATGACCAAAGGGAAGCAGCGGCATGCGGTGCGCAGCCAACCAGCATTCTCCTACTTTGGATGAAAGCCAGTTGTCCGGAAGCTGCTCCAGGCATTGCTCAAGCTCACCTACTGCTGTGCATTCCTGCAATGAATCAGGCACGCCAGATGCTGCATGACTAAGTGATGCGTGGCTACCCATAGTGTCCACTGGGTCTGGCAACCGTGGCACCGAGAATTGACGATCTTTGCGTTGGACCTGCACGCCAGCACTCACAGTCACATCCTCATGGACATCAAACATGTAGACCTGATCACCCGTGTAGTTAGCCAGCAGTTTACGGCCGTCTGCAGACCAGCTTACGTACGTGACTGACATTGTCCCTGGGGGTACGCCACCGCTGGACCCATTGAATACTGAACCAGGACAAAAGTATGTTGGACGGCAGCCATCCTCATTGTTACTAGTGTGGCGCAAGTCGTACAGCCGAACATGTTTGTCTGATAAGCCGACGGCCATTAAGTGTGTTCGAACTGGATTTATAGCTATGCACTTGATGGGAACAGACGTACGGATGATAGCATTCGAGCACTGTTGTACTACTCGTCCATGAGATCCGCAGCTCGGGTGTAACGTGCGCATATCCTGTCTAACTACGGTTCCATCCTCAGAGCCGCTAAAAATCACGTCAGGTGTAACTGCTATGCGCTTGATCCTCGACATGTGGCAACTCCAGCTGTTAACAGTTTGTCCTTGCTCCAGGTCATACACGCGAACTTGACGGTCCGAGCCTGCACTAACCACCTTGCGGTCATTACACTTTGGCATAAATTTCACTGAGAAAATTATCTCTGTATGACCTGTCTGGATGTCAACAAGCGGACTCTTGTCATCTCCATCAGGTCGCCATAACTTCACTGTTTTGTCGTCGGATCCAGAAGCAAGTAAAGTCCCAGATTCGTTCCATTCCATACAGTTCACACATCCTTCGTGTCCTTGTAGCAGAGTGCGTTTACTGAGTCGGTCGACGAACCCATTCGTGGCATGCAAACGTCCGCTGACTCTGTGCGACCGGCACATCTCCCTGCGTCTCACCAGGGAAGATACATTCTCTTTGGCGGCCATGGACTAGTATTACAGGGGGAGCCGGAAGCTCCTACCTCTAGCTCTCCGAACCTCAAGCTCACGGCAGCTCACTGTAGTTTCTTGCAGAAATAAATTGAAATTCAAATAAAAGTCGAGACTTCAATTTCAAAGACAGGACATGTCGACATGTACTATCTACATGACGTCATCATACGCCGTACATTAATTGTACATACACTGCACTGCACTGATCATGCTGATGACTAAATTTTATCACTCCCTTGCATCATAGTAGACGTGTGACTGTGAGCGGAAAGACGGTGGGTGTGACCACGAATCATCACAAAACCTCTGTGTGACCTCTCACTTGTACTTGTTGTAGTCTACCATGATGTACTACAATTAGTCTATATATCTTTTTGCAAAGCTAAAGAATGACTTTTGTCTTTTTGTCCGTCTTTACATCATTAATGTAATGATGTAAAGACGGACAAAAAGACAAAAGTCATTCTTTAGCTTTGCAAAAAGATCAACAAGATATCTAGCGCTAGCTGGGAAGCTTGTCAATGGCCCTTGAGTCTATCACTAGTATCAGGTCTATAGTATAGATTATCCATATAAAAATCGCTCTGTGAGCGGTTCTGAAAAACCTTTACTGGTACTGCCCCGTCGTAAAAGTAAGAAATTAGAACTGGCCAATTGTCCCCCCAAATGCGAACTGATCCACCTAAATCGCGAATGACGGGACCCGAACGCACCAGTAGCACGAGGTCGGGAGGGCACAGGATCACGGCAATTATCATAGGGTAACACCAGTAGTAGCAGTAGAATTATTTATTATTTTGATAGGGAAGCCTTCCGCTAGTACAGTACATGGCCTATGGTCCGGACCAACGTCCCCATCTGCATCCACAGGTAGGAACCTCGTGCTACTGGTGCGTTCGGGTCCCGTCATTCGCGATTTAGGTGGATCAGTTCGCATTTGGGGGGACAATTGGCCAGTTCTAATTTCTTACTTTTACGACGGGGCAGTACCAGTAAAGGTTTTTCAGAACCGCTCACAGAGCGATTTTTATATGGATAATTTCAGCTCTTTTTCCGTTCCCTCCCCACCCCAACTACACAAACATGTGTATGCACACGGCACACACACGTGGCCACGCACACATACGCACATGCACACGACACAAACAGGAAATTCTTCATGTATAATGCCATGCAAAGCAGTGGCCACCGTACTTGAGGAAGTCAGTTGTGAAACAAAAATAATTCAACTACAGCGTGTAGACAAGCTGACGGCCAAAGCACAACATAGCAAACATGACATTTGCCCAAGGATTGTAGTTTGCAGACCATGCCATGGAAGCAGCGAATACAGAATGTAATATCATACAAAGTGACAAGCAAGGACGTGGCCATCATACACCAGAAACTTGCAGAAAGTCACATATCCAACAGATAGAGAAGTGAACAGCAATCTGATACAGCCCACACAGGACAAAGCGGACCTGATACTCGTCCCAGGATCGCAAGTGGCAAACCCTTTTCAATGCATAACATGCAGGTGTACATTAGACGCATGAACATCTGACCGTGTCGCCAGCATACAATGTCATCACATGTTTACCCCACAAGTTACACACATGCACAGTAGAAGCACAATGAAAGCAATGGAAAAGTACGATGTGGTCGCTGAAGCATCTTCACACTTCAAATTCAGACTTCAATGTGGTCGTCACGGGATGATATACCTGCAAGATACAAGTGATGAAGAAAGAAAGCAGAAGGTCGTGAGGTAGGCTATGAGACACCACAAACGGTTCACCTACATGTCTGTTCAGGGCTAGTGCACTCACACGCAGAATTGTCATAATCGAGCATTTCCCAAACTGAGAAGTGCAATGAAATCCACTTGCATGCACAGGAGCAATTTTGCAATATTATGATACGCAATTCGACACGATCTGCGATGCTGCGTGCGATGTGCCCTGCTGTCATGATAGTGACAGTCACCGCCGCATGTTTTGTCAACGTCGCCCGTGCACTCTTCTGTCAAGTCCAAAGTGCTCACATACTTGGCAATGTTTTTGCAGTGATTAACTTTTATCCTAGTTATGTCACGGGTAACTTTAATGAAGTACCCGCAGGCCGTGTCGATCTGCACATCGTCCACTCTCTCATGTACTTGGCCTGCTTTGTCTGTGTATCCATTTCATGTGCGATCCACAAAATCGACTAGACAGTGGGTGCAATACGCTCTCTACCTGAAGACGTTCTTCTGGCGACATCTCGCCATGTACTTGGCCTGGCTTTATGTCTGTGTATCCATTTCATGTTCGATCAACAAAATCTCAATGCACTACAGAGACTAGACGGTGCAATACGCTCTCTATCTGAAGACGTGAACCATTAAATTTTTTGGAAAAGTTATACGTACACCTGAAACGTAAAGAAGTACAGGAATAGAGAGAGTGACTACAATACGCTCTCGACCTGATATAGTGATAACGTGAGTACAAGACACTCTCCACCTGATAACGTGTTAGAAGGTAACATGTCTACAGTCCCACCGTACCCTTCCGACACGACTGTAGACCATTACATTTTTTGAGAAGTTATACGTACACCTTAAACGTAATGAAGTACAGGAATAGAGAGAGTGACTACAAGACACTCTCCACCTGATAACGTGTTAGTAGAAGGTAACGTAATACAGGTCTACAGTCCCACCGTACCCTTCATCATTCCTCATTCACCATCGCGCGATACCCTGGCACACACTGGCAACATATCAATGGGGTGCCTTACCGTCGTCTAGAGGAGACGTCTTCGCAGCAATATTTTCCCTCCTGCGCATTCAGTCGCCGACGCGACAGCGTTCACGGGGCCGTTCCAGCTGCGGAAGACATTTGATTCATCGGGCCAATTCAGCAACAGGGCCGTGGACACACAGGGGGCAGAAGAGAGACATTGTTAGTGGACAAGAAATATGCAGTGGCAAGTGGCGAGTGCCGCATGGATGTCAAGTTGTCATGCACAATTCAGCTATTACTTACGGTCCAGCTAGTCCTGCCATTGCTCGCTCGTCCTGGTTCCTCCTCGTTCGTCTTCCTGCACGTCTGCACTTCTCCTTCCCCACCGTTGGCTTTGCGGTACGGGGGTGCCGGAAGGAATTCCCACCATGTATCCATGTACATGAAGTCCCACCATGACTCTCCATGTACATGTCCACGGCCACGTCAGCAGTTTGTATAGTACCGGAAGGAGTTCCCACGATGTCTCCAAAGGCCTAGAGCGGGCGTCTTTGCAGCAATTCTTTTCGCCCTGCGCATTCAGTTCGCCGACGATGTCTCCAAAGGCAAAGGCCTAGAGCCTAGTAGAGGGGACGTCTTTGCAGCAATTCTTTTCACCCTAGTACCCTGCACATTCACTCCGCCGACACGACAGCGTTTACGGGGCCGTTCCAGGTGCAAAAGGTCCACGTCAGCAGTTCTCAACTATTTCGCGTACGGGATAGTCGCCGCGACAGCGTTTAAGGGGTCGTTCCAGGTGCAAAAGGTATCCATCATGGCATCAATGGCACTTTGCAGTATGGGGTACGGAAAAGGGACCTCCTCGTTCGACTTCGTCGACTTCTGCAGTTCTCCTTCCCGTCAGGGGTACCGAAAGGGGCCTCCTCGCAGTTGTCCTTGCCGTCAGGTCCACGTCATGCAATTCTCAACTATTTCGCGTACGGGATAGTCGTCTTTGTCGTACGCGACATCGGCGTTTACCGAGTGGCATTGGCACAAAGCAGACCGTTGACGGGGTCACGTGTCAAAAAAGTATCAACAACGTGTCGACTAAGTGTCGACCACGTGTATAGCGGTACACTCAGCGGTACACTAATTCTCGTGCCATTCTCGTGTCACAAAACTGGAACATCGAGTACCAGTATGGAAAGGCTTCAGACAGGAAGCCTTTCCAACTAGTACATCATGGTAGACTACAAGTGAGAGGTCACACAGAGGTTTTGTGATGATTCGTGGTCACACCGTCTTTCCGCTCACACGTCTACTATGATGCAAGGGAGTGATAAAATTTAATATATTCTCGTTTGTTTTTCACAATGCCCCCGGAAGAAGGCCTTAAGGCCGATTCACAATACAACTTCTTGCGACGCGACATGCGACTTGCGACACATGCGACAGCAACACACGGTTCACAATATTCTTCATGTTTGCGACATCCTCATGCACAAGTAGTACTATGCACGTGCACTCGGGGTCGAAACTGTACTCCATTTGTGTATGTCGCGTGTCGCATGTCGCAAAAGTTGAACTTTCTTCAACTTCTGCGACAGGTGCCTTGCGACAGGCATTTTCTTGTCGCGACTGTCGCAAATCGCGTGTCGCGTCGCAGAAAACTGTATTGTGAATCGCCCTTTAAGGGCGATTCACAATACAACTTCTTGCGACGCGACAGCGACACACGGTTCACAATATTCTTCATGTTTGTTGCGACATCCGGATATCCTCAAGCACAAGTAGTACTATGCATGTGCACTGCATGCATGCACGTGCACCCAGGGTCGAAACTGTTCTCCATTTGTGTATGTCGCGTGTCGCATGTCGCAAAAGTTGAACTTTCTTCAACTTCTGCGACAGGTGCCTTGCGACAGCTTGCGACAAGCATTTTCTTGCCGCGACTGTCGCAGATCGCGTGTCGCGTCGCAGAAAGTTGCATTGTGAATCGCCCTTTCGGCCTGTGGGAAGGCCCTATTCAAAATTTAATAAATAATAATAATAATGTCCGCCTCACTTTCTATGATATATGCGCGATACTCTGTTATTTTTCCTTCGTATCCGAATAATGTGATGTTATTCCAACTGATGACAATCACGATCAAACGTTTTTGAAACTGTATTACTTACCCACCAACTTTGCCTTATATCAATCCCGGTCTATTTTAAAATCCTTTCCCTCAACCAGTTTATCACTCTCTCAGTATCATTGACTCCCATTGATTTTTGCTGCACCTAAGCAGTCAATTATTCCTGAAATATGTCACTCCCTAGCGGGGACACTCCTTTAGAGCTATATTGAGTCTTGACTGCTTATGTCGTGGCTGGCTGATCGTCCCTACGTGTTATACGTTATAGGGCTTGATGGATCCAAGCACATTTCAAGTAACACAGCAAGGTGATGTAGCCAGTGAAACTGACTGATTTGGCTAATGGGGCCGGGGTGACAACTGGTGGCGAGATAAAAGTCAAACCTGCATGCGACATGAGTGGGTTGCTATGCACCCACATACATGAGCAATAGCAAAGTCACACCTTAGTGGATCCAAAATAGAAATCTGATGTCAACTTACTACTCCCTGGCCGTTTTTGACGTCATCACTTTCAAGCCCTATTCCAACAAGGTGTCGCGACAGTTCGTCGAGATACTTTTCACAGCGCGACAGTTCATCGCGCGACACTTCACAACCCGACACTTCACAGTGTGGGCTTTTCACAGTGGTACGATTCACAGCGGGTCAATTCACACCATGGACATTCCACATCGGCACAGTTCACAGCGGTGATAGCGCCCTGTCACAATGCACACCTTAGTCTGGTAGAAAAGAAGTGGTTTTCCATCTGTTCGTCCTCTTTCTCCTGTGTAATGATGGACTTTCTAAGCGACGTTGCCAACTATGTGACGACGACAAAGCGAGGTGGACAGAAGATCATCTACAAAGGACATGGCTACGTAAAGGACAAGAATGGCCCAGACGCGATTTTGCTATTGGCGTTGCGAAAGAAAAGACGAAATGAAATGTCGTGGAAGGTTGAACAGACGGTGGCCGTATTGTTTCAGTTGTAGGCAACCATAACCATACACCAGAACCTGAACGATCGGAAGTTGCACAAGTCCGGGACGGCATCAGAAAACGAAGCAGAGAGACTATGGAGTCTACGCATGAAATTATGTAATCGTCACTTGCCAGTGCGTCTCTAGCTGCTAGCTGCCAGCTACCGGCTACAAAGACCTTAAAAAAGCAAAGCCAGAGAGAAAGAAGAGAATGCAACGCTCCCGCCAATCCTGGAACTTTGGCAGAGGGATGAAGCGTGTTCGACTTCTTGGACGCGTTCTCCAAAGGCATGCCTTTTCTCTGCCTCATGCTTCCTGTAGGCCTTGAGGTCGCGGCTACGGACTGATGGCAGTTGGAAAGGGCTTGAGGGTTGAACACCCGGATGTCCAGGGACGCCCGTTCGAAATGTCAACCCGATGCAACCACATCCAGGCGGGCGGGCAGCATCCTCTGAGATGGCAGAGCCGCGGGTGACGGAAAGTCATCCCGGTTAGCCTAGTTAGAGGCTGGAGATCCCGGTTAGCCTAGTTAGATATCAGTTTCACACTGTTTGTGTCACATCATCACCTATTCCTGTCACATATCACATGTACAGTTTTAAACTCTACACCGTGCACTCCCAACTCCACATTCACACCACCTCTCCTGCACCCCCAGCACCAACCCTGTGAGCTGGCACCACAACTACATGACTTGTATAATCTGGCACCATCATCCCTTATCTAGGCTCTCATACCCACAGGCATTGTCCTTTGCTTGAATACCAAGTAAATCTGTTGCACTGGTAGCAAGAGGATGATTGGTTCCTTTAAGTCGTGGACCTTTTTCTTGTTTGGAAGTCTCTGCCTTAGCTTTCTTCTGTGCAGGTTACCCTGCGAGGTCAATGAATGCCAACGCAATTCAGAGGCTTCTCCGACCATACAACCACAGTCTACTGCCACACACACTCCTGCCAAGCTTCGTCATGCGAAGGAGCCACCTGTCTTCCATGGTGAGGCGTCAGATTTCAAGGAGTGGATCGTTTCCGTGAAGTTAGCGGTGAAGGCATTGGGCATCAACGGCCCTGCACAAATGCAGGACTACGCCTCTGGATTCCTGGGAGGCAATGCAAGATTGTGGCTGATTGCCTCGCAAGAGGCTGATGCTAGCCTGAGCGCATGGCAGGCCCTTCGAGAAGCTCTTCGGCAAGTCTACGAACCAGTCTGGCATGAGCAGAGATACTTACAGACGACACGACCTGGGGGCTGCTCTTTGTTAATGGTCTTCTCCCAGCCATCAACAGAGTGCTGCAAGAACATCTTGCCATCTTCAGTCAGTCACTCCGATCGGCGCAGACTGCTGACCAGCTTCTGCGCACAATACACATACACCACGCTGGTATGCCGAAATGAACACCTTCCACTTGAGTTCCAGCAGTCGGGTGGTGCACAACTGGGAAGGCTGATAGCAGACAAGCGTCAATGTCTCAGCTGGCGGGGTGGTTAATACGCGTGCCGAAATCAGTCTCCTTCTTATTTTCATGCATTACAGTCATGCACAGTTGAGGCGCCGTGTATACATGCGGACGGTATGCTGTGCTTGGTGAGGTTCTAGCCAAGTTATTCTTCGGCGCCCGGTAGTACTGCACTAGTACTGTGAGAACGGGTCTATATGCTCTTATGATCCTGCCACCGTATACATATTCCTTCCATTAGCCACACATACCGTAAAGTCGCGGATAAAAGCCGGGCTTATAACCACATAAGCCGCTTCCTGCATCAGGCTTCAATGCAAACCAAGCTTGTATGCAAACCATGCTTATATGCACCACTGATATTTTTGCCAGGCTTGTATGCACATCGGCCGATCCGGGCTTGCATAGAAACCAGTCTTCTAAGTTCTACGCGCGACACGCGTAGATAATTTACCACTGACTACCGGTATGGCGGCAGTTTTACTATGCACTGTACATAGCGCATGCACTCTTGACCTACAGACTACAAATTATGTACCCGATCCGCGCTTGCATAGAAGCCAGGCTTCTACGCGCGACAGGCTTATATGCATTGACCCATTTAATTTTCCATGCTTCTATCCGCGATGTGCTTGTATGCAAACCCGGCTTTTATCCGCGACTTTACGGTAACACTCGTCACCTATCTTAGAATTACATGTAATACAAAATTACAAATACAGGTCCACCCTCGTTGTGTTAGTACGACATCGGCTACAAAACAAACCTCAATAGTAGACAACGGCCCAACACCCTCTGACGCCTGAAACACATTAACAGTCGAGATCAGTCAACATAATAGCCGATGTGTTGACGGGGGAGCAGGATCCTCCATTTTTTCTTAGCGAAAGAATAAGGGGTGATTATCCGGCCCTTCTCGGAGTGACAGAACGGGAGGCACGATCAACCATGACAATATGAGTGGGGTGTTTTGATGAAATGTCGGACACCAGACTTCGCGCACACCAAACTCAAAGTATGGTAACAGTTCACGGCAAGACATGATCTATACAGCGGTGTGAATCAAGTTGAGACAAAAGTGTATCAGCGCACTATGAGTGCATATGCGGCACATATACAGCACGTGTACGGTCCACGTACATTGCCTGCATGCATGGTCAACTACTATGGAGTGAAAGCCAGCGGGCTGCGGTGCTAACTCAATGTGGGTATTGGCGTAAAGCAGAAAGTCACAACCTAAATTACTACAGCACATCGCAGCAAGAGGATACTATTATTACTAGTCAATAAACAGAGCTGAAGGATAATGCAATGGAAAGAAGGGCAACGTAATAGCTGGTTAAGTGGGAGGGCACACGAACGGTTCAGCAGGGAGGAGTACTTGCAAAATAGTTTGCATGAATGGAATGATAAAACCATGTTGCGTTTGCGTAAACGTTTCTACTCTCGACTACAAATATTAAATAGGAGAAATAAGGAAATAGAAGATAGCAGTGTTGCCCACGACAACAAGGGCACCATCCGTGGAAATGGTGTGCCTCGTGGAAAACCAGGATGCTGTGCCACGACAAACTGGATACGTGAGACTCCAGAACATAGACTGGTATAGTAACTTGACCAACATGGGCCATGCATGCAGTGGGCCGATTGGTATAAAAAAGTGGACTTAAAAAAAGAATTCTTGTTCTTGAGGATCAGACACATGTCTAGTAGTATTGTCTACATTCCAAAATACGGCAACCACTCAATCACACGGAGCTGGGAGTCCGGTGAGTTAGAGAAAACCTCAATTGTTATTCCACCGGCGATATCAAGAGCCCATCTCCAATATCACCATCCACAGCGCCAAGATCAAGGATGACATTGGAGCGGGAGATGTTTGCGTGCAGCTGCTTGACCTGGCGCAAGAGAGTGCTGGCCGGGATGCGCTTGGACGGCTCGTAGGCGAGGCACGCTCGGATAACCTTCCACAACTGAATGGGGCACTGCGGCGGCGTGGAGAGGACCAGCTGACCAGACGGTACTTGATCGATGACTTCGTCGGTCGAGAATCCCCGGTACGGCGTGGCACCGAAGGAGAATATCTCCCAGGCAGTAACGCCCAATGCCCAGATGTCCGACTTCAAGTGAAACACACCCTGCTCCAGTGATTCCGGAGCCATCCACCGAACAGGTAACGTGCGAGCGCCGCGGAAACCATCCTCGACCTCATAGTCCCCGACAACGCAGTAGTCATCCGTGTACTTTGACGGCACAATGAACTGAAACGGAGCTAATCTCACTTGACCTCCACTCCTCACCTGGCAATGGCGTGTTGAGATGTCCGTATGGCATATGTTCCGTGACTGCAGGTAGTCCACCGCCATCACGATGTCAAGCAGTATGCCCGAAAGGTCAGGCGTGCGCAGCATAGAAAACATGGAGTCGTCACCACCGCTGAGGCAGAAAGCATAGCACAGAGAGTGCAAGTTCTAAAAACAATCGAAAGGAGTGCGAAGCTTTTTCCAATGGCACACACAAGAAAACTGGCCAGTCCATCTAGCCATCTTCAGCGCACCAGAACTTCTACAGAGAGTGCTAACAGAGCCTCTGTTGAACATCACCTCACTAATCCAGTGATGACTGAACATCACCTCACTAATCCAGTGATGACGAGGATAAAGGAGGCTTCGTTGTGGGTCAAGGGATCGGAAATTTAAAATATGCAGGTACAACAGACTGGTACACAAACACACACACACACACACACACACACACACACACACACACACACACACACACACACACACACACACACACACACACACACACACACACACCATTGCAGCAAACACAAATTCAAGTTTCCAGCGCGCTTACCTCGTCCCAACCTGATTCGCCGCCAGCAGGTAGCTCTTCAGATCTTCAATTTCACTATAATCGAATATCATACATGGTGGATCAATCTCACTGCAGACGGCCAGTAGTGGTAGAATATTGGCATGCTCAAGTCGTGATAGTACCTGATTGACACAATCCATGTGGGAATGAAGACACACCACAGTACAGTCGGGTACAGCGAATGACATGGGACATCCACGCATAGCAGTGATCCACTGGCTTTGATTTCCCCCAGCACAATAACACGTTTAGCACTGTAGGCTGCACGTTGTACGTATGGTTGGATGACCGAAGCATGGATGAGGCTATTTTTGGCACGCATGATAGTGTGAACTTTACCCACATACTGAGTAGCACTTTTGCCATGGTAGTGCAGCATTATTTTATGCATCATGGCATCGCACAACAGCATAGATAATAAATACAATGCAATTGATGCAAGTGCTTGCAGTTCATTTGGCCTCAGACCAATTCATGCATGTAGCCAGAGGAACAAGACCTCACTGCGGGATCCAGTAGAGGCATCTGACCAAACGGAAAGAAGACGAGCGCAGGGGGTCAGAATGGACCGTGCATGTTAAAATTTCAGCTGCTTTATCAGCAGAGCAGGAACGGATTAAAGAAACATTCGCATAACTTGTACACTGCAGCGTATCACTGAAGTCGCAACCTGTACCTCTACTTAGCTTGTACACTAAATGGTAGAATAAATCTGCAATTGCTCTAAACTATACAGTGTGAAAGAAGAACATGTTAGCACAGAATGCATGCTATTGTAGGTTTGACTGATAGCACTTACAGATATTTCCGCGAGGAACTTGCGGCGTGCTGCCTTAGGCGATGTGCTGGCCAGGGTTTTGATTAGCACTGTGGATACACTGTCGCTGTGCAACAGGCCTGACGCCTCACCCTTCATTAACTGTGCACATGGAACCATTGGACAACATTTGCACGCACAAGCAGTCAAACACACATACACATGGTGGGGTCCGCACACAGCAGTAGGCAAAAGGAAACACACGCACAAGAAATATAGCTGGCCAAGACTACGCTACTGTGATGCGGAGACCGAACTCGTACGAGTTCGTATATGCAACAAATTACATTTTTATTTTTTTACTATTAAAAGCAGTATGATATTGTACGGTGCAGCAAGTGGATGTCCACATCATGGTGTTCCGACTCCGCAGCCTGCTGCGCTGTACACGTAGTACTTTCAAGTACTTTACACAGCAACACTAACAGCAAAGACACACTCTTGTAAGTAGTTGTAACACAAGCCAAACTGCTGCTGGCACTCACTTTCGTGAAGTCACCCTCGCCAATTGTTTTCAGAAAGCAGAGCGCGTCACGTGAAAACTCCTGCTCGACGCCCAGCACCGGTCGTCTTTGGACATTGTCGGGCTCGTTCGCTCCATCGAAAGCTGCACCAGATGACAATAAGTATCAAGAGGGCACAACATAATTATACGTTAGAAAAATGATAATTCTACATGTTGCTGGTGTGAATTAGGTCGGCCAGAGAGCGCATGTGGTGGAGGTAGAACAGATTCATTGATAATTATACCGGTTGTTGCGATGATTTCACAGGAAAGGTGTTTGCTCCCCAGTTATTTAAATACCACAACAAACATACACCCAGTTCCTAAGCAACACTATCACATGTGTACCATGCTTGTTACAGGCATATCACAATAGTAGAATGAATAAATTTAGCTTAGGCACTAAAAAAACCCGAACATTTGTATTCTGCTGCTGTAAAACTAGAAATTAAAATAGAAGTAATCACATGAAAACGAGTTATGAAGCAACTACCCACGACTGTAACAAGATAATAAGCAGTCAGAATGTGCGATAACAGGGCACAAAACTGTCAGGTTAGTGAGTCATTCAACATCTCCAGTGCGCAAACCAACAGCCTTCCAGCTTGGAAGGTTCAAGGGTATGGTGGGACCAATGAGGGGAAGGTGACTGCAGCGAAAATGTGCACAAGCTAATTCCCATGGCAACGACGAATGCCGACCGTTACAGGACTTTGTGCCCTGTTATCGCACTTTCTGACTGCTTATTATCTTGATACAGTTGTGGATAGCTGCTTCAACACTCGTTTCCATGTGATTACTTCTATTTTAATTACATTTATTGGCTCAGTATCCGAGTTGAAACTAGAAATGTCTGCAGAGTTTCAACTTTCTTTTGCATTAACCGGTTTATCACTGGTATGCCTGTTGCCATCTGGCTGGTGTGCGGGGGACTTCCCCCAACATGCCCATTGAAGCAATCAACCATGTACTTTACAGTATCCATTGTTGATCTCATCATCAGACTTGGCTGGTACACTGCTGTTGTGCATACATATACTGTGTCAACAAACGTTACTTGTAGACACACAAGATCCATTATGCAGCAGCAAGCTGTGCAGTGAAAATTATTGAAGTACGGGGACAGCCGGCCGTCAGAAAACAACTTCCATGCAAAAAGTGAACATGAACGAAATTGGGAAAGTGTGCGGGGGGGGGGACACAAGTACTACTGGTAGTACAATCATGTACATGCAGTACCATCCTACTCGTACATGTGTGTGTGTGTGTGTGTGTGTGTGTGTGTGTGGCCGTCAAATCTGCTATCGTCACCAGCGCTGAGAAGCATCTTGGCCGTCCACGTCGTCGCCAGCCTGATTGGTTTGAAGCGTGTGCTGATGTTCTTGCACCTATGCTGGATAGCCGCAATGCCTTACATCGCAAATGGCTCGCCTCTGGTTCTGACGCTGACAGGCGTCGCTTTGTCGAGGCTCGTGGCAAGTGCAGAACTGCCGTGCGTAACGCAAAGAGTGAGTGGATTGGACGTAAAGCTAATGTGGTTGAGTCAAGTCGGTTTAGTGGCAAGCACGCATGGTCTGCAATCCGTGATATACAGAAGTGCTATTCGGGATTATCACCTATCTCCATCCCATCCATCCGTGGCAGTGACGGAGTTATCTGTAGCTCCCAGGAGGGGCAAGAGAAATGCTGGCTGCAGCATTTTGCCCGTCTATTGAACGTTCGCAGCACCTTCGATGCTACCATCTTTGACCACATTGAGCAGCGTGAAGTTGATGAGTCACTCGGCCAACTTCCCTCGCTAGAGGACCTCACTATGGCTATACGCCAGCTGGCTAATTGCAAGGCTCCTGGCTCATCTGGAATTGCACCTGAACTGCTTAAAGCTGGTGGTACACCATTGCTTGAGGCTCTGCTTGATGTTATTCACACTGCATGGACCAACGGAACGGTTCCCCAGGATTGGCGGGATGCCCAACTCGTCCCGATTCCCAAAAAGGGTGACTTGACCAACTGCAACAACTGGCGCGGCATTGCCCTCCTAGATGTCGCTGGCAAGGTTTGTGGCCGTCTCATTCAGGACCGTCTCCAACTTGTCGCGGAACAAGAACTTCCAGAATCCCAGTGTGGCTTTCGCCCTGGTCGCGGCTGCGCTGATGCCATCTTTTCCATTCGCCAGCTCATCGAGAAATCGTACGAGCACCGTCAGAAGCTGTTCTGTGTCTTCGTAGACCTGAAGAAAGCATATGATTCCGTACCACGCCAAGCACTCTGGCTAGCATTGGGGAGGCTAGGCATTCCTGAAGGGCTCCTCAATCTAATCCAATCGTTCCACGAGAGCATGCAGGCAGCTGTGCGCGTCGGTGCCAGCACTACCGAGCCGTTTGCGGTCAACAATGGCCTCCGTCAAGGCTGTGTGATGGCCCCAGTACTTTTTAATCTGTACTTCGGTGTTGTGCTTGAGCGGTGGGCACAAATGATGCAGGACAGCGACCATCCACCTGGCATCCCCATCCAATTTAGCATCAATGGCAACCTTTTCTCAAAGCCCGCTCGCCAGTCTACTGCCGCAATCATCAACGACATTGAGTACGCAGATGACGCGGTCTTGCTCGCTGAAGACCGCCCTGGTGCTGAGAAGTGCCTTGAAACATTCTGCACGGTTGCCTCTTCCTTTGGCCTCTGCGTCAACGCTGCTAAAACGAAATTTCTCGTGGCAGGTAGCCAAGTCAACATGCCTGATAGAGCCGATATGAACGTCAACGGTGATACTGTGGAGCACGTTCCATCCTTCATTTATCTGGGGTCCGTCGTGACACCGGATGCCCGCTCCTCTACTGACGTCAGTCGCCGCATAGCTGAGGCTTCCAAAGCCTTTGGAGCTCTTCTTCCAGTCTTGTCGGATCGCTCGCTGTCATTAGTCAGTAAGCGAAAGCTATACGTGGCCTGTGTCTTGTCCATTTTGCTGTACGGCAGTGAGTGCTGGACGCCCTTGAAAGCTGATAGTAGACGTTTGGATGCCTTTCATCATCGCTGCATCCGCACAATATTAGCCATCCCTCGCAGTCAGCAGCAATCCGATCGCATCACGTCTGCGCAGTTACGTCGTCACTGGGGTGACCCAGTGCCACTCTCTGTTAAGATGCGCCATCGTCGTTTAGAGTGGCTTGGTCATGTGGCTCGGATGTCGGAGGACCGTGTCCCATTGCAGCTGTTGTTTGGTCGTTTGTTGGCTGCGCGCCCCTTCTGCGGTCCCAGGCGTAGGTGGAGAGACGTTGTGGCTACTGACACCATTCCAAACTGGTTTGATTGCGCACAAGACCGGTCAGCTTGGCGAGAGCAGGTTCTGGTTTTTCAGCCTCCTCGGGCAGTAGAGAAATCCGTACTCTGCTCATCTTGCAACCGGGCTTTCTCTCGTCCTCAAGACAAGGCACGGCACAAGTGTTTGGCTGAGCGCCAACTTCCCGTCCACCAACAGCGTGGTTCAGCACAGTGCGTCAGTTGCTGCCGATGGTTCCGTAGTAAGGGTGGGCTTGCAGTTCATCGCTGCCAGCCTGCACTCCCTGAACATGCAGATACGGCATTGACGGCGTCTCTCGCTAGTTGCTGCTTCCAGCATTGTCAACGCTGCAATCGCTGCTTCAAGTCCCGGGCTGGTTTTAACCGCCATAACTGCAACCGTGGAAAACGTCTTGCTGCAGCCGATAGGGAATCACTGCCGCTGATCTGCATGCATTGCCCGAAACGTTTCCGACGACAGCAAGATTTGACGAGGCACCAGAAGTCCTGCCAATGACGGTGCACTCCAAACTCTGGCCCCCTCCGGGGGTGACATTGCCCAATGGGCAGTCATGCTATAGTAGTAGTAGTAGTGTGTGTGTGTGTGTGTGTGTGTGTCTGTGTGTGTGTATATGTGTGTGTGTCATCTGCGACTTCGGTTTTTCGGGTGCTATTCTGTACCCGTCTACCCAAGGTCCTCACGGGTACCCGACTACCCGTGCACACCCCTACAACAAATGTCATGAGGAAGTGCAGCAGAATGAACGCACGCATGGCCCAGGTTGAGGTTGAGGTTGCTAGAGTGTCAATGCACAGATGGGGGTGCATGTGTCCGCATCCCCATCTTTCCTTCCACAGGAGAGCCCCTGGGCCTGGTGGTGATACCTGGTGGTTGTACATGCCGGCACAACATGGCCGCCCCTTGTGCACCCTATGTTTTCGAATGCAGGAAACGCCTCAGGCATATTGCGACTAAAGTGCAAAATGAAAAATGCTTTTTTCCAGAGTGTAGACAGCTACTAGTCATCAGTACTAATCACGCTCTCCACTGACCTGACACCAACGTTAGTACATGACCAGTGTACACTGTCGTGTCACACGTTGTGGCTTTCCGCAAAGACACTCATAATCATATCAACGCGCTGCGGGAGGCTCACAGCCGCACACGAGTCTATGCTACATGACTGTCACAAGCGCCGTTTCACTGAAAGGGCAAATGGGAACTGCTGTTCATCGTAGATCTACCCGTGTTCTGCACTATCCAAAACCAAATGCCAGGGCGGGATGGTCGCACACAAAGAAACTCAAGAAGAGTATGGCATGTTAGCAGTACTTGCCTTTTACGGAGGGAGACCGGTGGATCGTTGTCAAGCGCTGGCGACCTCGAAACTTTGTGCGGCGGCGGCGACGAGATAGGCACAAGAACACAGTGAACACAGTCACGCACACCACTGCACTGGCAGCTAGTGCCGCCGCGAGCATCGTGCACCCGTTCCAAGGAAGCAGATCGCGCACACAGAATCCTTGAACTGAACAAAAATAATTATTTCTGCAGAGAAGTGTCCTGAGCAACGTCCGCTCGCGCTGCCAACAAATCACTGACGAAGCAACAGTAACAACGGCCAGTTATTGAGTGAGACTCTTGAGGCGGTGCTTGATACGTTTCGGGAATCGGGGGCCCAAAAGACCACTCAGTACAATTTGAAGGAGCAATTCACTGAAATAGAGAGGAGCAGCATTGACGCAGCATGTCAACCTTCGCAGTACAGATCCAGCACACGACCGGACTTAATCGGAGGAGTGCCCTTCTCTGCAAAACGTAAACAAAACACACTGACTAAAATACAGTTGTCGGCTTGTGCATGCTTTCTAAAACTTGCTGCATGCTTGCGGATCGTGTGTACGTGTCCACTCGATACTCGAACTCTCGATCTCGAGCGACTCTCCCGTCATGTCACTTGTAAAAATCTTGTACTGACACAGTGACAGAGCGCTCGGGTGCAAAGCTTGCATGGCGTACATTGTCACAGCTACGTCATCGTCAGACACAGATACATGTCGTAGTTACGTTTATGCATGTACACGTCCGTTCGTGATCATTTACGTCACGTGTCGCGTTGCTGGTTTGAACAAAAAGAGAGTCACAAATCAAGGAAAAGAATGATCAACAACAACAAATCAATCAACGAAAGTCTGGAGTGGTTGTCTGGAGCAAAGCTTGAACAATCCCGAGGACATTATGGCTGATAGAGGAGCGCCTTCTCAGCCCCCAGCGACTGCAGGTGGTCAGGAGGGTGACCCAGGGGCCGTGGAGAATGTGGAGGACCTCACCGGATTCGTATCCTTCGCATATGATTCTGCTTCATAGAAGCAAGGGTTCTGACAGTTTCTAATTTCTAGTGGCATCGGGTCTCTTGTTATTCGTTTCCTTACTTCATTGTGGCTGGCTGTGAAATGTGCCTGCGAGAATGCTAGATACTTGAAGCTTTGGCTTGGGACGCAGCCATTAACCAATAAATGGACAGCTTGAATCTGTTCTCTCCTGGCCGAGAGTGCACGAATAGTATTCTGCTGGTTCAATGATGATTGCCGCACAGTAGTTACCCCCAATAGGCAGAGTACTGAATGTTTGGTACATATACAAGTGCAACATCCACAATTTAACTATAAAGACGCATACGAAGACGTTTGATGTTCCGAACTACATACCGGTATGTATGTGACACACAAAACTACATGTATCACGACCTTACTGTATGCATGTAGATGTGTAGCCTGGTCACGTGACCACCAGCGTTCAGCAACCACCTGGTCCGCAAGGCCACCTTTCTTCTGCACTGAGTGTGTAGACTGTGTAAGGATCGCACTGGTTTCGGAGACCACCTAGTACCTGCGTTCCGAGACCGCAATAGGCCAGGCCCATTGGGTGATGGTCGCTGGAATTAGGAATCGCCGGTACATGTACTTTGAAAGCGAAAATTTGCGAAATAATATGCTGCGGAGTGTTTGAACATGGTACGCGTATGCCCACATGCCCGTACAACATGCGTTGAGCTAGCTTTGATACTTGAGACCAGATTTATTCACAACACCAATTGGGCCAATCGCGAAAAAAAAACCATCAAGTAAGAAGCAAAGCAAAAAGACGACCCAAATTCGGAAATAAATGGAACACTCAATTGAAATGTAAGCTCTGATACTGCTCTGCTTTTTCCTTCACCCCTAGCTCTATACCAGGTACAAACACTACTAACTCAAATGGTAAGAAGGACATCTAGTGTTTACTACTTGTTACCATGTAACATAGCATGATGGTGTTCATACATGTATCATTTTCTAGCAATGCTCAACAGATTTAATAGCGTGTTCCTAGTGTTTCAGAGCACCCTGTGGTGTGTATGGCGTGTGTGTGTGTGTGTGTGTGTGTGTGTGTGTGTGCGTGTGTGTGTGTGTGTGTGTGTGTGTGTGTGCGTGTACAAGTGTGTGTGTGTGTGTGTGTGTGTGTGTGTGTGTGTGTGTGTGTGTGTGTGCGTGTACAAGTGTGTGTGTGTGTGTGTGTGTGCGTGTACAAGTGTGTGTGTGTGTGTGTGTGTGTGTGTGTGTGTGTGTGTGTGTGTGTGTGTGTGTGTGTGTGTGCAGTCTATTTCCAATCGAGAGGTTGCGGGTTCAATTCCCGACGACTATGGTCGCACACGTCTTTCTTTCTTCTCTTTCTCATTCTCCTAGCTCTTCTTTCATTCTCCTGGGTGGTTACCAACAGCCAGTGTATGCCGGAGTATGTGGTGTGGCGTGTGTGTGTAAAAAAAATGAAAAAATGGGAAAAATGAAAAATAGGGATTCACTGGCCAGAAAAAGCCACTTCAATCAGCTGTGTGGCGGATATCAGGCTAAAATTAGTGGCGGTCAATTCATCAGCCTTGCAAGCTGTTGAATGGTGTAATCCCAGCACAAGTTGCTATGTCTAACATAGCTGTTCGCTATCATCGCTTCTGCGATGGGCAGGTCTGAGGTGTGTGTGTGTGTGCGTATATGTGTACGTGTGTGTGTGTGTGCGTGTGTGTGTGTGTGCGTGTGTGTGCATGAATAGATTATTGATTGTACATTGTCATGTACTCCGGACTCATTAGTTTGAAGTCCAACATTTTTAGCCCAACTGATAATTATCAAACGAATGGTCCGTACAACAAATTTTCAAGGTTCACTCTCCATTTAAATGGATTTTAGTTTGCACGGAGTGGAGGGGTCGCACATATGTCACTTGGTTTGCGTGTAGCTGGTTATTTGCTGCAGACTTTGTGCATGGATGGTTTGAAGACTGGACTCGCATAGCATGCAACACTGCATGACTTGTTCCATTGATTAGAAAAAAGTCTGTTCTGGTGTGCTCTCAATCCTCTCATGGTATTGGTGATGACATCGTCCGATGATGTCATCATGAAAAAGCAGTTGATCATGGAGCCAGTCTATTATGTTTTGTTTCGACTCTGCAGCAAGACAAATTCCAGCACATGTCGGATGCGATTCTGGGCAAGCTGGACGAGATGACAGCGCGCGTGGATGAGCTGGAAGCACAGGTCGGTAATCTTGTCAAGGAGAGTAAAGCTGACCTGGGAAAACTGGATGAGGATGAGAAGAAGTAAGCCCCAGCAACCACATCTACAGAGTAATGTCTTGAAGTGCTTCTGAAGTGCTAGCCATCGTCGAGTGGTGGGTGCCCTGTGAACAGTGTGTCAGCATCTGTGCTGCTCAAGGCTTTCACCACCATGGCGAGTGTACATACTTGTGTGTGCTATGTGTAAATATGTCTACTGCCAGTGCGACCACTGGTGCAGCATCGTTCGAGAACCTATCTTGCTTTTGCCGGTCCGTCTCAAACACCGTTAGCTGTGATGATGGCTTTCTTCATCTGCTCACGCATCCCTGTACAAAGCTGATGGTCTGAGCTAATGCACTCTTTGCTGGCTGTCACATCTTTGTGATGAAAGTCAACGTGTATCAGGGAGCATTGATACATGACTGTACATGCTATTTTTATCCAAGTTTTCGGTTTTTATATGGTTTCTACTATACCACAGTGGTGATGATACTTCAGAACAGTACAATGAGCTAAGGTGTTCAACTGCAAAGTATTTGCGTGCACACCGTGCATATGTGTTCTGCAGATGTGGCACAACGTAGTTGCTTGATTTCTTCGTTTCACGGATACTGACCTTAGCGTTTCTTCAACATCTCGGCATACATTGCAGTCATGCTGGTGGCACGTGATGTTGGTAGAGCCAATGATGTTTTCATCGTGTACAATGTTCATGTGTAAATACAGTATAGCAGTGGAGGCCAGCCTCCAGGCAAAGAAAGAGAAAGGACTTGTGATCAGGAAAAGGGGGGGGGGCGCATAGTAAGGCAGACAAATGCAGTTCAGGGTGGCTCGGTGACTACCTGCAGGCCTGCCTGCAGATGCTTTGGAGTATAAAACAATCGCACGTCGGGTAGCCATTCCCTCGAACGAGTGAATGACATAATAGCTTTGCAGAAAGGTAAAGCGAAAACTTGAAAATACAGTCCATGTAGATACATTCAAAAATTACACAATAATTACGATATTCACTCTGATCCGAAGCATTCGTTACACAAAATGCATTATGTGTACTCGTATACTGTGAAAATTATTCTCATATTCAGGGCAGGCCGGCCTGCTATAGAGGGGGAACTGGGACCTACAGAAATAGAAGGGGGAATCCCAGTAGCACAAACTATTATGCAAGAAGGTCCAGCAGGAACTACCCCGGTAAACTGCACTATTTTCGAAAACGCTTACACAATTTACAGCACATACAGCCAGTGCATGTGGTGTCTATCCAGTTACCTAGCGGCGAGCATGATTGCCTGTTGGATGGCAACCAAGCTGCAGTCCAATACTCTGTCTTGCCCTTGACTGATTGAGCTGCAGACGAGCGTGCTCAGCTGAAGAAGTATGTGATGGGGAAGTACCCTTGCTTTCCATCGTCAGTCAAGCCGAGCGCCCATCCATCTTCATTTGCCGGCTCTAGTTCCATCATACAGACGCCCTTCTCAAAGGTGAGTTCTGCATCTGATTCAGCGGTATACGACATGACAGCGGTCAGCACAGTGCTGCTTCCAGTGCGCACTGCCTTTGCCGAGCAAACTGGCGCTGGGTGTGTCGGGGGACCCTCGGCTGCTCTGCTCTTCGAGCTCGACTTTTCGGAGCGAGGTGCAGCTTTTACTGCCTTGGTGTTGACCGTCGGTCTACGAGGCTTGGCCTTCGGCTCCTCACCGATGCCTTCACTGGAGCCAGGAGAGGTTGGAGAAGTCGGGGACGTAGCAGGTGTTGTTGGTCCTGAAGGAGGTCGCGATGGCCGGCCTGGCTTTGGCTGTGTAGATGCAGTCGTCTCAGAGCTAGGCGCAGTTGCTGCGGCCTGCGGTGGTCTGCTTGGTCCAGTTGTTGGCCTCTTCGGACCAGCTGAGGGTCTCTGTGGACCAGGCTTTTTTGGCACTGCTGCTACTGCTTCTGTTGGTCGCTGAGTAGTAGATGTTTGAGGCTGACTAGGCTTCTCTGCGTCGTCTTGGGAAGAGCTGCTCTTCTTGTATTGCTTGTAGGGTGCAATGGCTGGCTTCGGTGCCGTTGGCTTTGAAGCCGGCTCGTCTGGTGCTTCTGCTGGCGATGCAGGACGTTCCTCAGGCTTGGACTCGGCTTTGACATCCACACCGGACCTCTCCGTGGTGCTCTGTGTCACCCTACGAGGTTTCGGTGATGGCTTTGGTTTCTCCTCCTTTCCAAGTGCGAGCGATGCACCGTTCTCTTCCGAAGGAGAAGGAGCAACAGGAGCAGAAACTGCGGGTGTCCGCACTGGCCGTGGCTTAGGTGGTTGAGCTTTGGACGTCTCAGCACTGTTGCCAGTGTCAGCAGGTGTCGGATCTTCTGCCTTTACTGCTGCTGGCTGTTGTCTGGGTTTTGGTCTGCTGGGTGGCTTAGGAGAAACTGCACGTGGTGGATCATTGCTAATTTGTTTAGGATCCAATACCGGCTCACTTGCAGTGCCAGCGCCAGTCGCAGCCACAGCTACAGCTGCTCGTGGCCGAGGCCGTGCTGCCGTGGGAGGCTTGGATGCTGTTCTTGGGGCTGCGCCGGGCTTGGCCGATGTGCTGGGTTTGCCTGGGGTGCTGGGTTTGCCTGATGTGCTGGGTTTGCCTGATGTGACCGGTGCCTCTGGAGGTTTGGTTGGGGCAGGTTTTTGCACTGCTATTGTTGGCGCTGATGCAGCCAACTTTTTACTCCCAGATGGATCTGATGACTGCGCGCCATCCACACTGGAATCCTTCTTAGCTGCTGGCTGTTCTGCTGTGGTCGGTGTCTCTGCTTTCTTTTGAGGCTTCCCTGGTGCAGACCTCCGCTCCTTGTTGCCGGCGGGAGTTGTAGACGCATCTTTGGGCGGTGTGACCGATGGCTTCTCGGGACGGGTATCTGACTTCACAGGGGTGATGGTCTTGGGCTGTTTAGTATAGCTGGCTACCGGCGGCTTTTCCAGGGAGCTCATCAAATCATCTACGTCGTCCACGAGCTCTGTTAAAGACTCTCCTCCGCCTGTTGGTTTGGTTGTTGGGACCGTCGCAGGCTTGGTCACATTGTCCACACTAGGCTTTGCCTTGGGACTGGTGAGCAGGGGTAGCTTGACGGGAGCAGGGACTGAGCTGGACTTGCCCGCATTGCTAGGTGGCTCAGCCGGGTGAGCAGGTGCCGGCTTAGCTTCCTTGGCTGCTGCTTGAGCGACCACGTTTGGTACTGCTGGTGCTGGCGGCTGTGGAGCTGAAGTGTTGGCAGCTTGCCCCACGGTCGACGTTGAGGTCGAAGGTGTCATGCCGCGCTTGGGTGGTGGTGGTGCAGAGCGGCGATGAGACCGCTGCTTCTTCTTGGGCTCAGCAGGTACTGGCCGGGTGGGTGGTGGTGGAAGTGGTCGCGATGGAGGCGGAGGACGGCGGTGTGTTGTTGCTGCAGCTGCTGGAGCATCAGTCGGTGCTGTGTCTTCTCCTGCAGGAGTTTCTGCAACATCAGCAGTATTTGTAGTGGTAGCACTAGTAGTGCTTGGCTCCGGCGCTTTGTGCACAAACTCACGCTGCACAACTGCCATGCCATCGCGGACCTGTAGCATGTTCTTCTTGCGAGCTTGGGGCGCAACCGGCGCCTTGCGCTTGGTTTGCCGTCTGGTGAGAGGTACCTGAGATCAGGTTCAAACACAACACGCACACCATAGCATTATATGGCAATATATGCACATACCTACATGCATGGACAATGGCTACACCATATATGGCAATTTACTAGTATGCACATACTCGAGTCAATGCGTTCTGTCTGAGGCAAGTTGCTCCGCTTCCAAAAGAGACACTGTTGAGAAGTAAACGGTCATTTCTATAATGTTGGAGCGACTTGCCTCATACAGAACGCGCTGGCTCGACGTTGTCGACAGATGCATGACCCTCATTTGATTTTTTCATATGAGCTATGTGCGAGCTGTAGTATTATATTATTATGCACATACCTACATGCATGGACAAGGACTAATGACTAATGTGCACTAATGTGGCTCGGAAAATCGAATGGCAGTACAGGCTAGGAAGACTCCCTTTGGCTCATAAGCGCGTGCCTGCTGCGCCAAGCGGCTTTGCCTCGCCGTCAACGGTATCTTCCCCGTGCAATCAGTCAAATTGCACCACTAGCACTATGTAGTGGGGCTCAATGAAAGCCTGAGAATCAGAATGGCTCTTCAAATCTGAAACCAACCTCTTTCTGTGCTGGTGCGGGTGCTGCTGTAGATTGTACTGGTGCGGGTGTAGGGATAACAGGTGTAGGGATAACAGGTGTAGTGGACACGGGCTCCTCGGCTGTAGATACGGATGCTGGAGTCTGTTCGACGTGATGTGGCGATACTGTGAGAACACACCAACAATAAGCACAGCACTCAGCCTAAAGCAGCATGCGAAGAGCACATCAACAAAGAGTGTAACTCTGCTGCTAGCATAATCTCTTGATCCACTGTGGATTTGTGTTATCTAGAGTAAAAAAGATCCAAGTCGTGAGCCATCTCTGTACTACCAAGAGTACATAACCCCCCAGAGTGTGCAACGCCGATCCATCTCTGCATAAGGTCTTGGTCGAGCGGAATCGGATCTTCTGATGTCATGCGTACACTCCACACCAGCGCAAGGCCAGTCTCGAGGCAGTGCACCATGTTTTTGATCCGAGAGTACCCGCGACTCCCCGAGTTCCCCTCAGATGTGTACGGTATTATGACGCAAAGATCCGATTACGCTCGACGAAGACTCTATGCAGAGCTGGATCAGGCGTTGCACACTCTGGGGGGTTATGTACTCTTGATGACCCTATGCAGAGCTGGATCAGGCGTTGCACACTCTGGCCGTCTGGGAGGTTATGTACTCTGTATTACGGGGGAATACATGTACTGTAAAACCGGAAAGTCTAACAACCAAAAAGTTTAACGTTTTTGTAATTTTGGCATGATAGCGTGCAGAAAGTTTAACGATGACTACCTGACCACCCATCTGTATGAGCATCTTTGGACAGACATCTCTCGATAACGGTTTTTTCAAATAACGAAAAATAATTGGACGTTAAAACGTTAGACTTTGTGACTCGTTAGACTTTCCGGTTTTACAGTACAGTTGAACATCGATTATCCGACCACCTCTGGGCAGACAACTGTCAGGCGGTGTTCAGATAAGGCAAATGTTCCGGATAAGAAAAAACTGTCACTCACACACTTTCAGTGGTTATTACTAGCCGCACGACCTTTTTACTTTTTACTTTTCAAAATTTTCGTATTTTTTGAATGGCTCACTACATGCACAGTGCGTACTCTACGGCACGTGCGCCCAAAAAAACTGTTACGGATAATCGAATGGTCGGATAGTCGATGTGTGGATAATCGATGTTCAACTGTACATGATCTCCGGATAGGTTGTCAGCAAAAAGAAATACACGATGGGCCAAACTGAGCAGACTTGCACTATTTTGTGTTCTCTTTGCAGCATGCAGTCACTTTATCAATATGTATGCACCTATCTGTCCAAACCCACATCAATTTTATCATTCTGGCAGTTTATGATAAGGAAGAAGAAAAAATGTACTGCTACGCCCGATAAGGGACTTGAACCCTTGACCCTCAGATTAAAAGTCTGATGCTCTACCAACTGAGCTAACCGGGCAGCTCTATTGTTATAGTTGCGGAACGCATTCTCCTCACAGACAGACCTCAAATCATGAAAGGCGTGTAGAACACACAGTCACATGTTCATCCACGTAGACAGGACGGCACATTACTCAACCAAGACTGCCTCCACATACAGGATACATTTGTTCAGACCCAACTGTTCCCAATCTAGTTTCAATGCATTCCGTAATCAAGTCACCTCCATGAATGGGACTGACATATCTGGTCTTCATAGTGTTCATAACTGAGCCTTTGAAATCCCCCGTGACAGTGTAGATTCAATGGTATGGTACCTCTGCACCAAGTTGGCAATGCATCGAGGTAAGGAAACAAAGTCCAGCAGATACATACCTTCGACTGCTTTCTCCACCGGTGGCTGTGGCCCAGTCTCGGTGGCAGCTGCCGGTGTGCGCTTTGTCTTATTCAAGCTCTTCAGTAGCTCAGCCTGGAAACCACCCATGGCGGGCATGGCTGGTGACGCTATGTGAACAGCAGTATGGCCACAAAACAAGGCACAGAATGTTTAGCATATAGCACGCGCAAACACAGACGACACATACAAGTTAGTCTGCACAAGGCTGGGGTGAATCAGTACAAGAAAAAAAATTGCACGGGGTCCCGTACAGGGCGGGTGAAGAACCACTTTTCCGCTTCCGTGGGACGCCACCACGCCATGATCAGGTGTCAGATGTGGTAGTACAAGAACTTCAAGAAGTCTACTGATATTGAAGGTAGGCAACCATCAAAAGTACAACACCATCTAGGACTGACTTACGTTCAGCATCTTCTTGCTTAGCAGGCTCCTGGGCACTCAATGTTTCAGCAGCTGATGGTGTGGCAACCGACACAGGAGAAATAGTCACAATGTAGCATCATGTCATTCCATCAGGAAACCATTGGTTGCCTATAACTATAACTGAATATCTCAGTGATCAGCAAATACACCGTATGTAGGACATACTAGTATCGGATGCAACATTCTATGACTAGTGCACCCGTCCCAGACTTCGGACCTCAGCAGTAGAGGATCTAGGCTTGATGTATTGTATGCAGGGAATTAGAGAGATGCTGCAGAGGTGGAACACGCTCGGTGCACACGGCTGGGCTGACGGGCATACCTCAGTTCAGTTTCCCATGGCATGGGCAGTTGTTAGAATGTGTGCCATTGGTAAACTAGTGCGAGCAAGGACGTGTGGGAAATTGTGCTAACCTTCAGTGGCCGGTGTAGCGTTGTATTCGACTACCGGCACTGCTGCTGCAGAAGTAGCTTCCTCGGCCTGATCTCCAGCATCGTACATGGTAAGAATAGGCTGGACGGAAGACAGGAGGAGGAGAACACAAAGTACAGATCTATTTCATTCCTTGGTGCTGACCGCTTTAATGCGCTTCCCGAATCCCTTCGCACAAATCATATCCCCAATTCATTTCGCCAGGAACTTAACAATTTCATTCATCTTGGGCACCCTGTAAGAAGACCTTAGGGTCTGTTGGGAATGCCCAAGTAAAATAATACAATACAATTATAATACATGCTTGTGTTGTGACCACAGGCAGCCGCAAACAGCGAGTGCCACCGATCCGGTACAGGCACTGATATTATGGTGTGCAGCACGCTTCTTCATATCTGTGTCACGGATGCCTGATGTGCCTGCACTATCATAAAGGGCCCTGATCATGCTAACAACAAGCATATGGATGTACACACAGTCAACTTCATGAGTACCAACCTCAAGTATAACAACCGTCCCGCGAGGAACGCCCTGGCCTCGGGTATAACTACAACTCGCAAATAACGACACAACCGTCAGACCCAGTGACCATTTGACTGGTTAATTTCAACCGTTCACGAATAACGACAACTCGCAAATAACAACACAACCGTCAGACCCAGTGACCATTTGACTGGTTAATTTCAACCGTTCACGAATAACGACAACTCGCAAATAATGACACGTTTCTCATGCACAATCGAGCCGGGTCGTAATTCCCAAGGTTGACTGTACATGTACAAGCATGTCACTGGATTGGTGAACTGCAAGTTACTAGCTGGTGAAGCAGGAGAAGAACAATACACGCTAATGAGCACTGATCAAGCTGGTTTCTTATGAATTAGCGCTGGACAGTGTTGGCTGGTTCGCACATTTACAGCAGTGAAGCAATCATACTGATGCCTCCTTACGTGAAACTTCTACAACCACAAGTCTAAAAGTGAGGGCACAGTACCGAATACGCCTACACAGATTGCACCCGAACGCACCTCAACGTAGCTGCCTGGGAACCAGCCAGTCCTCTCGCCCGCCGCGCCTCTCCACCACCCACTGTCCGGAGTGTCGAACACCAGCACTGTGCAGCCGTCTTCAAATGTCAGCTCATCATCCCGCTGTGCTGTGTACGCGTACAGTGCACGATGTTCTGCAGCGTAGAAGCACCCACACAATGGACAGTGCAAAGCACACACATGTCGCAACCCTCTCAGATGTACGTCACGGCATACTATCCAGAGGTGCAGTGGAAATACCAGGAGGAACCGTGTCTAAGCGCAGAGCCTCATGGTAACTATCTTTGACATGCTGTACATGTTTAGAGTACACGCTAGGCTAACAGAGTAAAACAAACACTCACCAATTCCCTGCTCGACAAACTGATCGGTCTCTGTTTTGGTGTTGGAGCTGTCGGCAGCCGGGGATACCGCTACAGGAGTTTGTTCTACTGTTGTCTGCGTTTCATCTTGTTTCTCTTCCGGCCGGTTGGCATCGGGTTCTGGGGCAGCTGCTGCTGCAGCTACGGTGTCCAGGTGCAGTGCACTAACCATCTTACGCACTTCATTCTTCACATCCTATGTATGAGTAGAACACCGCAGTGAAAAGAAAGACAGGGGCTTCATGCAAGTCCACTACAACAGTACACACCTTGATACCAACTCGGCATAAAAGGTCATGAACTTTGTGAGGTCATACTCATAATGTACTTTAACGCATGCTCCGTACGCGGAGGCATACACGACCCACACACAGACACAGCAGTAGTTGGTTGGCACCACAGGGTAACTGGGCGAAGGAGCTGGCAGTGTGTAACCATGGAGGCGGCCGACCCGACAGAGGCGGGGACCGAGAGTGAGACCGAAATGGCGGCTGACCTGCCAAGGGCAGTAACCGAATAGAGTGATTCGGGAGAGTAGAGAGAATGCTGCCAGCTACTGAGAGTTCAGTGCCCAATCCCTGCTTGTTTTTGTTTAGCAGAGTGAGTTTGGAAGACGAATGAGGTTAGTAGTATAAGCGGGGTGCTACAGAATGAGAATTGTAACACAATGAAGTCGGTGTGGGTGGGTGGGTGAAAACACGGAGCAAGAGTCATGCGAGCCAATGCAACTAACAAAGAGAGCCAGGCACGAAGGCTGCTGAAGGGTGTACGTATGCAAAGCGAGCTGCTGGGAGAGTTTGCGCATGCGCACAACGGCGCATCCGTGAGCTGGCGCGAACACGCGCGTGATAGACATCAGCATACAGTGAAAACATTACGTCACCGCGTTAAAATACTTTAGCTACGCAAAACTTGCATTAACGCATGCTCCGTACGCGGAGGCATACACGACCCACACACAGACACAGCAGTAGTTGGTTGGCACCACAGGGTAACTGGGCGAAGGAGCTGGCAGTGTGTAACCATGGAGGCGGCCGACCCGACAGAGGCGGGGACCGAGAGTGAGACCGAAATGGCGGCTGACCTGCCAAGGGCAGTAACCGAATAGAGTGATTCGGGAGAGTAGAGAGAATGCTGCCAGCTACTGAGAGTTCAGTGCCCAAGCTAGTTACCCTGGTGGGCCAACCAAATAAGTCAGTGCTCAGAAATAACGCGAGCATTGAACGAGGAGTATAGCAGGAGCTGCTAGCAGTCGAGAAATCTAGGTACCGATAGCGGTACTGAGAGTTGGTATGTATACCGGAGGAGACATTCGTCAAGGTGCAGCGCTACTGGTCAGTCACTCACTGTGGCCAGCTTCTCTGATACTAGCCGCACCTCGGATGGCTCAACACGGATATAGCGCAGCACGGCGTCGCTGCGCCATCGCCCCATATGGCGGATCACGTGCTCTGGTACGCCTGCGATAGCTGCAGACGTGGCTGCTCCGATCCGGAATGAGTGGCTGGCATAGCTGGACGGATCTGTAATCCCACAAAGCGGTAGGAGGGTCCGCACCTCCCTCGTGACGTCCGCCCGTGTCAGAGGCTGGCCATTGTGGTAGGCGAGCAGCTGATCTCTAGGAGATTGGGACTCCGCTGACACTGCCGTCAGGTACCGCACCATCGCCGTAACAGGGCAGCTGATGACATCGGTACAGCCGCCCACGTGGACTACCGTGCCCCTACCGTCCGGGTCCGTCTTTGATTGCAGCAGCGTGATGGTGATACGAAATGATTGTTGGTCCAGGGCCACGTTGCCAAACGTCAACGAGGTGAGCTCACCACAGCGCAGGAAGCCATAAAAGGCCAGGGTGAAGGCGCACTGCAGCATTGCCTGGTCAACTGGGTGCCGCATGGAGGAAACTTGGAGGCGTTGGCAGAGTTGCCGGAGGATGGGTGTTGTGATAGGCAAACGAGGGCGGCCAGGTCCCGACGAACGGGCTATGCCTCTTAACACTCGTGACAGCAGGGACGTCGGCTGATTCGGGTACTCGAGGCCCATTTCGACGTGTAAGTTCCGGATGGCTGACATATATGTGCGAACCGAGGCCGGCCGCAGTGTGCGCATGAGGAGGGCTGCGTAGTAGCACAGCGTAACGTCGCTTCCAGGCAGGGCCACGACGCCATGCTGCTGACAGAAATCCAGGTACCGCCGCTCTGACGCTGAGTATGTCCTCCTGGATGACGGTGCTATTGCCAGGGACGCCAGCCTGGCCACGTCTTCGGTCAGTCCGGTGTGGGCAAGATCGGCATGTCCGGATGGAGCTGTGCCGTGGGTGCCAGGCAGCGGAATTCCTGCAACAGATTCCGGGAAAGAGCATCGGCAATGGTATTAGTAACACCAGGGATGTGCACTGCTGAAATCAGGCAATCGTGAGCAACGCAAAGGTGATACAGACACCTAACTAGAGACATCATGGGTGGCGATCTGCTGGTGCCGGATTTGATGCAGTCTACAACAGCTGAGTTGTCGCACTGAAACTCAATACGGAGGGACTTCCACTCTGACGCCCATGTACTGGTTGCGATGACAATAGCGTACAGTTCTTTATACTGTATGGACTCTGAATGCTGGTGGGGCAACCATGCTCCACGGATCCATCGTCCCTGGAAGTACGCTCCATAGCCCTGGTTACCGCTGGCATCAGTCTGCAATTGCAAGTTGGGCGCCTTTGTCCATTTGTCCAGGAGGAAGAACGACTTCCCTGGCCAGACTGATAGGGTACGCTGCCACCATTTGAGGTCGTTCACTGCTCCGGCTGACAGGGTGAGAACCTTGTGCTTTGGAAGGTTGCTTGTTGCACGGTCAAGGTCGTACAGGCGCCTCAGGAAGGTACGACCGGCAGGAATAGCCCGGGCCGCGAACGAGAGATTGCCCAACACGGAGGCGAGTTCGCGCCGGGACGCCATGCCTGATTGAAGGAGGCCGTTGACTTTGCCGAGATACGCCCCATGTTTGGCGGACGGTAGCCGGATCTCAAACGTCAGCGAATCCAGCTCCAGGCCGAGGAAGGTGAGACATGTGGATGGGCCTTCGACTTTCTCAGAGGCCACCGGTATCTGCAAATAGCGGAGCATGTCTAAGATAAGTGAGCGATGATGTTCCGCAACGGGCAGGTGGGGCGGACTAACGTTCAGAAAGTCGTCCAGGTAGTGGAGTAATTGGCTTAGGTGGCATGCATCCTCGAGAATAAACTGGACTGCTGTGGCGAATTTATCGAATATGTATGGTGCAGAACGCAATCCAAATGGTAGCACTTTGTCATGATAGAATTGTCCCTGCCAGAAGATGCCTAGATAGGGCCAGTCACAGGGGGCAACAGGACAGAGACGGAATGCATTCCTGATGTCGACCTTCGTCAAAAGAGCGCCACGCCCTGCCTGCATGATCAGAGAGATAGCTGTATCGACAGTTTCGTACTGCAGGCTGAATTCATCCCGAGATATACCGTCATTCACACTCAAGCCGGCAGGGGACGAGAGGTCGTGGATGATACGCAGTTTGCCATTAGACTTCGGGATAGCACCCAAACCAGAAATATGCATGTGAGGGAATGGCGGAGATGCAAATGGGCCCACAGTTTCTCCGCGGTCACAACAGGTAAGCAGATGAGTAGTAACCTCAGCAGGGCAAGCACAAGCCGAAGGGTGATTAGGAGACATAACAGAAGATGCAATGGGGCGAGAGCTGCCAATACGAAAGCCATACTGCATGCCTTGTGAAACATAAGAGCGAAATACTGCATTTGGATGAGGAGAGAGAAGATTGATAAAGCGCCGAACATGAACAGGCGTGCTAGTGGGCACCTGTAAAGCAGCGTCACCACTGGGGTGAGAGTTATTTCTTGGTCGAGTCACCAGACTTGGAGCATTGGCGTGCGGGGTGACGGCCGCGGCACTGAATGCAGACGTGTGCTCTGGAGCAGGGGGAGAGCAAGCAGCTGCCGAAGTTGAAATTACGACAGATGGCTTTGCCGTCAAAGCGAGGCTGGTGCGAGAACTGGCTCCCAGTAGGCGCTGTTGGGGCTGGGAGCCCCCCACGAAAGGGGCAGCTGCTGGGCTGACTTGGACCATGGAGCAACGCTGGCACGGAGGCCGCCCACGGCCCGTGAGACAAGACTGCCACAGGTTCGGGTCAATGACGGACCAGGAATAGCGGTGAGGGAGGGACGCCTTGGCCATACGGAATTTGCGGTCGTAGGACAGCCAGGCATCATTGTGGAACCGGACGTTGGCATCGACAATGATGGCCTGATACGCCCAGAGATCACCTGCCAGCTGTGGTGAGGCGTCGGCCAGCACCCTCGAGTAGGTGGTGAACGCTTCCACCCATGTGGCAAGATCATAGATGTGTCGTTTGGCGGGTTGCCGGTGGGAAGATTTGGGGACGAGCTGCACAGATCGGCCCGCGCCCACGTCGAGTTGCATCACATCATGATCCCCCTCGAAACCCAGGGATTCAGGCAGCAAATCACTCAATTCTGTGAACTCACCTCGCACAATCCGGTCTCGAAGGCGAGGCGGCACCACGGGGAGATCTCCAGATGACGGCCACTGTTGTGGCGGGTGGCTGGCAGCCGGTACTGATGCTGGTAAAACCGGCGCTGCAGTGGCGATTGATCCGGCAGCACAAAGCGAGGCCCCGCTGAACGTCGGAACATGAGCGAGTCCCGAGTTGACGCCAGTTCCTGGGCCGGCGAGTTGGGCCGCGCCAGCCTGCTCCAGCAGGGTAACCTTGTCGGCCAGAGGCTGAATAGCAACAGCCACGGCGGCGGAGATCTGGCTCGCCAGCGAGGGCTGGGGTGGTTGGCCGGCCGGCATTGACTGAGACGGAGGCACTTGGCCAGGTAGAGCCGGAGCACGAGGAGCACGAGGCGGCGCGGGGTTCTGGGCCGGGGCTCCGGCCTGGGTGGTTCCAGGAGCAGAGGAGGATGTTGCTCTAGCGTAGGGGCTAGAAGATGACCTGGCGGACCTGCGCGACATCTCTTGCCTCAGCGTGGGAAAATTTGAGAAAATTTGAGTAAACCACTCCGCGGATACAGCACTCAGAATTCCAGCCCGCCCAGGGACTGGACACCACAACTAGGCAACAAGAGACCGAAACGACGATGTCACCTTGTACAAGGAAGTCTGAACAGAACTGAAGAACTCCGGAGTTTGAAAACTGAAAACACGGAGCAAGAGTCATGAAGAACTCCGGAGTTTGAAAACTGAAAACACGGAGCAAGAGTCATGCGAGCCAATGCAACTAACAAAGAGAGCCAGGCACGAAGGCTGCTGAAGGGTGTACGTATGCAAAGCGAGCTGCTGGGAGAGTTTGCGCATGCGCACAACGGCGCATCCGTGAGCTGGCGCGAACACGCGCGTGATAGACATCAGCATACAGTGAAAACATTACGTCACCGCGTTAACATACTTTAGCTACGCAAAACTTGCAATAACGGGTTGTACCTGCCAAGTATGGGGTAACTTGCCCCGCAAAAAAGTGACGGCCATCTTAGATGCATACCTCCCACTTGCACTGTTGTTGAGGCAAGAAATGCAACCACGCCATTGATAAGCGGCTAAAAGCCGGCTTATACTAACAGTACACAATCATGATTTTCTCGGCTGTGCTTGATCACAGCTGAGCAGTATCAGCTACATGTACATGTGCTGCTTAGCAGCTAGTGCTTGCTAGTGCTTGCTAGTGCTTGTTTGGTTTCTTAGGCCAGTGTTCTTCCACCTGATGAGTTAGCATTGACAGTTCTTGTGGAAATGTTTGAAAGTGCTGCAGTGTTGTGAGGGACGTGAAGCTTGTTCTGTTCGTTTGAGCAGCATCAGGCTCACATTTCCTCACACCTCGTCAGAATGCCTCTCTAATGGCGTTAACCCGCTACCCGATTAAGCACAAGTAGTAAACATTCTCACCTCCTCGACTGGCTCGGGCGATTCACTGATATAATTCCCTGGGAACCAGCCGCTGAGTTGCTGGCAGGTGCCACGCGCCCAGCCTTCGTCGTTTCGTTCGTGCACTTTGACTTTGTCTCCGGCCACCAGGGCTAGTTCATCATCTCGCGTGGGTGCATAGTCATAGAGGATCTCAAACGTCCCAAGATCTATGGGATCATGAGAAAGCAGAATGATGGCAGAAAACACAGTTGAGTTGACTAAGGAGGAAATGGAGCATCTCCTTCACAGATAACACGGAACAGGCAAAGAGGTACCTCGAGAATGAAAATGTTACGAGTAGAACAATGATGTTGCACAGTAAAGCAGTGGTCTGGACCGAGGTTTCATAGTGTGCCGAGCTCTGCCCCTGCGGCATTTATGCACTTTCAGCCGCGACACTGAGTGCACCCTGTGTGAACACAACGACAAGTTTGTCCAGTGACTAGCTACAAGTCAACAATACACCAGGCAACCAAGACTGTTGGGATATCACACGGTGTGAAGAATCCTCTTTTAAACAGGCAATCACAGAAGTGACATGATACCACTGGCCTGGCACAACAACTAATGAAAAAGCAAAACAAAATATTTGTTTGATATCACATGGTACCTGGCTGATTAGATGCAGCAGTAGCAGCAGTGACCGTGTCTGGTGATGCGGCCGTTGTTGTAGCAGCTACATCCACAGCTACCACCGCTGGTTCCACGGCTGCAGAATCCCACGGTGAACTCTCCGTCACTGCTGGATGGTCGGTCTGGACCTCCGAAGCGGCAACGGGAGTGGCACTGGATTGATTACCATCATCTTGAGCTTGGGGTTTCAGTGCCACACCACCGACGAATGCTGCAGCAAGCTTTGCCGACAGTGCAGCCATGCCAGTTGGAGCATCATCAGTCGAGGAAGCACCCTGGTTTGATGCGTCGGCTGAAGAAGAAACCTCCTCCGAAATTGCCGGCCACTGGGCAGACGTGTGCACATCGGGTGCTGTGCTCGTTGGCTGTTCAGCAACTACTGCCGCCGCCGCTGTCGTCACCGCAGCTGCAGCTACAGGGGGTGGTGGGGGTGCAGCCGTTGGTTTTGCAGGCGGTGGAGGTGGCGCTGCAGACGGTTTCCGAACCGAGGAGGTCTTGCGCTGTCCGGTCTCCTTCTGCGGCTGTGTAGCGCGGTGAGGTGTTTGTGACTGTGTGTTGCTTAAATCAGCGGAAGATTGTTCAACTCCAGTGTTTGGATATCCGTCATCAGCCTGTGCATTCGCAAAGACAGTACTATTATCTTCTGGGTACTGCATTGTCGAGTTGTCTCCCCACTGGGAATAGGAGTCGGATGGGTCCTGCATCGGGGCTTCTTCAGCCGAGAGCAGGCCGCGTTCTTCCGTGACGGACGAAAGGTTGTGGCTCTTGCTGTCGGCACGCTTTCTCAGCGCACTGGCCAGCATGACACTGAGACCACCGCCGGAGCTCTCAGCCGCATCCTCGGCGGCGCTGCCTGTGCCCTGTTCGGCTGCACTGTTACCTTCTCCACTGATCAATGGCTGATCTTCGTTGCTGTAGGATTGCGAAGTAGTCGTTGAGACCATGCTTGCATCTGTGGAAAAGGTCAAGCATAGCCCATGCATCATCACATTGTTACTAATAATAACTTGCATGTACTGTGCATGTGCTATGCATGTACTATGCATGGACAAGTATGCAAACATTCTGCTATGGGTGCTAGATTACATCTACGTGTACCTAATTTACTGGCAAGGCTGTATTTATGTATTTATGTGGACAGAAGCCTCGGAAAAGCAGAGGGAATCCATACACGGGTTTCAGAGCACACCGCGCTTTGTTGTTCGGTTAATACACATAATTATGAGTTATAGACTACCGTGCTTTGTTGCTCGGTGGGACAGAAGGAAAGCATGTACAGGACATTGCAAGGCATTATGTTTCTGAGGAGGCATTTGCATAGCAAGCATATCCATGATGCACTGGCACTGATCAAAGAGCCATTATAGCATTTACCTGCTGCTGCCTCGGCAGTTTCAGCATCTCCAAAGCCCGTCGTCTCTTCATCTTGCATATCCATCTTTCTCACGACGTACTCGGCTGGGAACCATCCTTTCTCGCCTGTTTCCCGCATCACACCCCTCCACCAGCCGGATTCACTGCTCTTTGTGATGATGACAATGTCGCCGACCTTCAGGTCCAGCTCATCAGGTTGCGTGGCAGCGAAGTTATAGATGGCAACAAAGTGGTGCTTCTCGTTAGCTAAGCAAAAATAACCCAGATCACAGACAGACGATGCATGAGCACGAGATGGGAAGATCACATCTGTTTTGTTATTCATGGGCAGGGATTCATGGGTAGGGATTCATGGGAAGGGATTCATAGGCGGTGAGGGATTCATGGCCCGTGAGGGATTCATGGGTAGAGATTCATGGGTAGGGATTCATGGGTAGGGATTCATGGTAGGGATTCATGGTTAGGGATGCATGGGTAGAGATTCATAGAGATTCATGGAAGGGATTCATGGTTAGGGATTCATGGTTAGGGATTCATGGTAGGGATTCATGGATAAAGAGTCATGGGTAGGGATTCATGAGCAGCGTGTTGACAGGAGACAATTGCTACTGCTTTGGTTACCCAAGTCAAACTTCCACGTACCGTGGAGAAAGTTGATGACACAATCCACATGTTTCCTACAATCCTTAGTCAGTTGTTGATCTTGTACAAAGATTTCCAAACCCCAGCAGAGCAACTGATCAAGAACTGCAACCAGTCACTAACTTACACATCATTTCGGCGGTGACAACCACGGTATTGGTACGCATTCTACCCATCTCCACGTTGTCAGCGGTGCCACGATGAAATGTCCCGCTGACCGTGTCCACGCTGTTCTGATTGGCCGGTGTCATGGTGCTGTAGCTGTCTGGCGCCGAGGAGCTGGAGATGAAGCTGTGCTTGGCGGACGAGTGCTTGCGACAGTACATGATTGCCAGGAAGACGATGAACAGGACCAGCAGAGCCCCGGCAGCTATGCCAGCTATGGCACCAGCAGAGAGACCACCGCCTCCACCGCCACCACCGGCCGCTGTGAGGGAGAAAAGTGGAGAAAAGAGCAGTTTAAAAATGTGTCATGTTTGAGCCATCAGCGCAAGTCGTGGTGACAATATGTTCATTGCCGGTGCACAGGACAAAGAAAAGCAACGTACTAGTATACCAGCCTATGGCTCTACACACATCTGTGCTATTCCACCTAACCAATAGTGTTCCTCCACGTCACGTGGTACAGGCTGATACTGTTTACCTGTACCGATCAGCTCTGAGTATCTCTAGGCTTGTTGCAAGCTGAGAAACAATCATGTCAGAAGCCATCCCGGCATGTGCATGTGCAGCCCAGTGCTCAGTGGACACTACAATGAATGCGTGACATCAGAATCATGATCATCAATCCTATAAGACAGCAGACACAGCGTGTTTCGCCTTACCATCAGTACTGCCCTCGGTCGCCGGAGTAGTGGTTGCCGGGAGAACTGGAGTGCTTGACATCACGGGCTGCTGGGTCGGTGGAAGAACAACTGGCGTGGTGGCTACCGGAGGAGCCGTGCTCGGCCCTGTGGTGGGCATTGTGGTTTGAGTGTTTGGACCCGTCGTCGTGGCAGCCATTGTGGATGGGGCGGGTGAATTTGTGGTGGCAGCTCCAGCTGTGGGAGTGCTGTCTGTTGATTGCATGGTCATGGAGCTAGCCTGGTTGGTGGAGGCTGACTGTGCTGATGTACCTGTACTACCGCCCAGTGTATTACTAGCTCCCAATGATGTCACTGATGATGTCGTCGATGCCGCGCCGGTGATGCTTGATGACATGCCTCCCGCTTGCGTTGACGGAGTCTGCGCTGATGATGTCATTGTTGCCATGGATCCTGCTGGTGATGTCACTGCCGCAGTTGCCGCTGATGTGGTTCCCGTCATAGCAGCAGTTGTTGTTACCATAGGAGTTGAACCGGGTGATGTCATGGCCACTGTTGTTGCTATAGGAGTTGAACCAGGTGTTGTCACAGCGGCTGTTGTTGCCATAGGAGTTGAACCGGGTGATATCACAGCAGCTGTTGTTGCCATAGGGGTTGAACCAGGTGATATCACAGCAGCTGTGGTTGCCATAGGAGTTGAGCCGGGTGATGTCATAGCAGCTGTTGTTGCCATAGGAGTTGAACCGGGTGATATCACAGCAGCTGTTGTTGCCATATGGGTTGAACCAGGTGATATAGCAGCTGTGGTTGCCATAGGAGTTGAGCCGGGTGATGTCATAGCAGCTGTTGTTGCCATAGGAGTTGAACCGGGTGATATCACAGCAGCTGTTGTTGCCATAGGAGTTGAACCGGGTGATATCACAGCAGCTGTTGTTGCCATAGGGGTTGAACCAGGTGATATCATAGCAGCTGTGGTTGCCATAGGAGTTGAGCCGGGTGATGTCATACCAGCTGTTGTTGCTATAGGAGTTGAACCGGGTGATATCACAGCAGCTGTTGTTGCCATAGGAGTTGAACCGGGTGATATCACAGCAGCTGTTGTTGCCATAGGGGTTGAACCAGGTGATATCATAGCAGCTGTGGTTGCCATAGGAGTTGAACCGGGTGATGTCATAGCAGCTGTTGTTGCCATAGGAGTTGAACCGGGTGATGTCATAGCAGCCGTGGTTGTCATGAATGTTGTTGCAGTGGTGGCTGCTGGGGTAGTGACTGCTGGGGTGGTGGTGGCTGCTGGGGTGGTGGCTGCTTGGGTGGTGGCTGGTTGGGTGGTGGCTGGTGGGGTGGTGGCTGGTTGGGTGGTGGCTGGTGGGGTGGTGGCTGGTGGGGTGGTGGCTGGTTGGGTGGTGGCTGGTTGGGTGGTGGCTGGTGGGGTGGTGGCTGGTGGGGTGGTGGCTGGTGGGGTGGTGGCTGGTTGGGTGGTGGCTGGTGGGGTGGTGGCTGGTTGGGTGGTGGCTGGTGGGGTGGTGGCTGGTGGGGTGGTGGCTGGTTGGGTGATGGCTGGTGGGGTGGTGGCTGGTTGGGTGGTGGCTGGTTGGGTGGTGGCTGGTTGGGTGGTGGCTGGTTGGGTGGTGGCTGGTTGGGTGGTGGCTGGTTGGGTAGTGGCTGGTGGGGTGGTGGCTGGTTGGGTGGTGGCTGGTGGGGTGGTGGCTGCTGGAGTGGTTACTATTGGTGTAGTGGCTGCTGCAGTGGTTGTGCCCAGGGCAGTTGTTGATACACTTGCCACTATGGCCGCACTAGTCAGAGGTGGTGTTGGAACGGTGGACGGCGCAGACAAGGTACCTGTAGTGATTGCGGGATTCGGTGTACCAGTGGCAGATGTGGCTCCCGTGGTCGAGCTTGTCATGTGGGAGGTGATCTCCTCAGATGTCAAGGGAGTGGAGGCAGCCATAGTTGTAGGTGTACTTGGTGCAGTTCTTATGGGGGTGGAAGGTGCCATGGTTGTTGCAGGAGTACTAGAAACAACCATGGTTGTCACGGGTACGGATGGGGTTATGGTTGTCATGGGAGCAGAAGTGGTGCCCTGGGGAGTAGTGATGGGCTGTGCTGCTGTTGTGCCAGACGGACTGGGCGTTGTGGTTGGTTGCGTGGATGGGGAGAGTGTTGTTGTTGGCTGAGTTGAGGGACTGGGAGTTGTTACTGGCTGAGTTGAGGGATTAGGAGTTGTTACTGGCTGAGTTGAGGGACTGGGAGTTGTTGTTGGCTGAGTTGAGGGACTGGGAGTTGTTGTTGGCTGAGTTGAGGGACTGGGAGTTGTTGTTGGCTGAGTTGAGGGACTGGGAGTTGTTACTGGCTGAGTTGAGGGACTGGGAGTTGTTGTTGGCTGAGTTGAGGGACTGGGAGTTGTTACTGGCTGAGTTGAGGGACTGGGAGTTGTTGTTGGCTGAGTTGAGGGACTGGGAGTTGTTACTGGCTGAGTTGAGGGACTGGGAGTTGTTACTGGCTGAGTTGAGGGACTGGGAGTTGTTACTGGCTGAGTTGAAGGACCAGAAGTTGTTACTGGCTGGGTTGAAGGACTAGGAGTTGTTGTTGGCTGTGTGGATGGATTGGGCACTGTTGTTGGCTGAGTCGATGGACCGGGTGTTGTTCCTTGGCTTGACTGCATTGTGGGCGGTGTTGTAACTGGCGGTGCGGTGGACGGGTTCCCAGTGGTTGGGGCTGCAGTGGTAGGACTTGTTGTCGCAGATGTGGTCGGAGCTGTGGATGGTGTTTGCAGCTGAGCACACGCTCTGTTGCCGTTTGTATCAGCCAAGACAACTGTGGTGCTGGCAACTGAACGATGAAACGAACAAAAGCAAGATGGACACAGAGCGAGAGAGAGAGAGAGAGAGAGAGAGAGAGAGAGAGAGAGAGAGAGAGAGAGAGAGAGAGAGAGAGAGAGAGAGAGAGAGAGAGAGAGAGAGAGAGAGAGAGAACTAAGCAAGAGATTACCCATCATACCCCATGAAATATTCCTGGAACCAATCCCGGACATGATTAGGCATTGAGATCAGTCGACATCACACACATTCACCAACATGCATACTATAGTTATGCTGAGCTGTACGATTACCTCCTTCGTGTACCCAATCACATGCAATCTGTGCAACTCCACGGCTTAGTCAATACGCTACGACTTACAACCTAATCACATCACAGCTACAATACAATGCTGCTCGCCATCTCTACTGCCGAGTACAGTCAAATATGCCACCAGCGACCTCTGCTATTTACTACTGTCTTTCAACGTCCATTGTTGTTTTCATGTACTGGAGGTTTCAAGAACATGTACAGACTCACAAGCATAGGGGGACTGTGAATAAAGGCTAGCCCCTGTGCCCAAGATACACCAACATACGCACTTGAGGCAATGCACAGCCACGGAGACTTTTTTTCTCGGTGCACCTTGAGCATGCTCCAACACGTACAAATGTACATGCTGCTTCACACCTTTTACATGTAGTTGATTTCTTACCTGAATTGGATCCACTGAGAGGTAGGTTCTCAGTGATGCTGAACTGACGGAGTACCGACGAGCTGCCACTGAACATAATGTTGCCAAGCTTCCCGGACAGGTCGCCTGTGCTGCACAGGAGTGGTTGCGATTGGCTGCACCGCTGTGCGTAATCGCTAGCCTGCGCTGCGCCACTCGGATCAATTGCAATGCCGTTACAGCTAGCAGAGGGTGGCGACGACGTCAGGAGCCACGTGTACGGTGCAGAGGATGTAGTTTGTCTCTTCCGGCGTGTACTACCACCAGTACCTGCCACAAGCTGTAGATCAAGTGTGACAAAAGTCAATGCCGGATTGGATGGGATTTGTGAGAGCGTGACCGTCCCGGTTACAAACGAACTTGATATAGTTGCCGTGAGGGTTGTTGTGTTGGCCGATGATGGAGCCCCAATGTTGGCACAGAACCAACGCGAGCCGTTTGGGAAGTGCACCACAACCGACCGACCAATAGAGCTGAGCTTGCCAAGCAGAGGAACGAATCGCAGATCACTGTAGACTCTGTCCAGAGATGCGAGACCCGAGAGTGAGCCAAACTTTCCACTCAAATCGCCCGCTTCGTACGCATCCAGCGTGCCACCAACTGGCACAACCCCACCGCTGTAGATGGTCTGTAGGGGGTTGAAGTGACCCCCGGTAGAGGCGCAGTGGGAAAACACGGGCAGCTGGTGGATATGATATCCGCCTGCCATGCCGGCTAGATTGGCCACGTTCACAGCAAGCTGGGTGGGCGAAAATGGACCGATCTGAGAGAAATCAATCCTTCCCTTGGTGCCAAAGTCTGCCACACCACGTTGAACTGCAAACCTGCTTATGTCAGCACAAGCCAGCCGACCACCATACAAAGTACCATGAATTACGACAGATTTCCCCAGAATTCCATTTGCAGCCACGGGCAAGTCCACATCCGTATAGAAGTGCTTTGCCGATGCACCGGTAGAGAGCATCAGCTGCGATGACTTTCCCACAAGATCGCCGACTTCGCACAGCAGCTGGTTAGACAGCGAGCACTGATATAGGGCTGGAGAGAGGTCGACGTTGTGTGGATTGAAGTGCCCGCCTGCACTGGCACAGCGCAATGTCGTGGCAAGGCCATCAGCACCTAAGGGCGAGCTGTGCACATGCCAGTTGTGAGATGTAGCCGTAGAGTTGCCGGAGATTAGGCGAAGATCCGAGAACACAGTCGTATCGGACGGTTTTGAACTCTCGTCCTGTATGAACCAGATCGATCCGACCACAGAGCCCGTGAAATAGGCACGCGCCACACTCAGGGTTGTAGACTCCAGGAGAATGGTGGCGCATTGCCAGCGAGGTGAGCTGGCAATGTCATTGTGCAGTACAATGGACCTACCAACAACACTGTACGGCCCAAACAATGTGATGTACGTGTCGCTGTACGTAGCATTCAGGCTGTTCAAGCCTGCAAGGCCACCAAACTTCGCACTGAGATCTCCCACTTCATAGAAGTCCTGCGTTAATCCTGGTGGCAACGGTGTTGAGGCACTGAAGGGGTTATAGTGTCCTCCGACCGCTTGTGATCCGCAAAACCGAGTGCTGAGTGGCGGCAAGGTACTGAGGAGATCTAGCCACGGCACAGGCCATTCATGGATGTGATAGCCACCTGCCATCATCATCAGACCATTAAGCTGCACCGATACTATCGTATTGTCCCACGGTGACTGCTGGTTCAGCTCCACACGACCCCTGACGCCGCCGTAATCAAACACGGCAGTGGCTCTTCTGCTCCTGAGCTCTTGGATATTGCTGCAGACCACTCTGTCAGAGGAGGAGTTGTGAAAGACGATGGAGCGCCTCACAATGGTGTTTACTCCCGAAAGAGGTAAATACGTATCCGTGAAGAACAGCGTAGTGAAGTTCTGCGATGCAGGGATTGTGCCGTGCTTTCCCGAGAGATCGCCTACCTGGCACGCATTGCGCTGGGCAGCACACAGCGCAGAGTAGTTTGCGGCGCTGGCCATGCCGAACGGGTCAAAGAGGCCACCGGTCGCGTTGCAGCGGACTACGGTTTGATCGGTGTTGCTTCGGACGGGCTTCGCGTGAACGTGATAGGACAATGCACCGAGCAGCTGACTCTGATAGAGTCGCATGAGCACGGTCGTGTCATTGCTGCCCGCTGCTTGCCGAAACACGACGGTTCCACGCAGCGTGCCCTGCAGGCGTGCGATCGCCGTCGTGACGCGGGCAGCAGAGTAGCCAATCGAGGCGCACACCCACCGGCTGCCATTCGCATGGTGTATCACAACGCTCCGACCGGCTATACTGCGTGCTGATCGAGAAAGCGCAAGCGTGCTGTCGTTGAACACTGCGTTGCTGAGTCCGCCGTGGCGTCCGCTCAAATCGCCCACTTCGCACAGTGCCGGGTCGCTCGTACACCGCTGCGTGTAGTTGGTGCCCGCGCGGCCGTCCGGATCGAAATGCCCGCCGACCGATGCCGCCGAGCACCGTTGGCTAGGGGGAAGGTCTACATCGATGGGGAACTGGTGAACGTGCCAGGGTAGCGACTGCGTGCCTGTCGACGATAGCCCCGTGAGGCTGACGGTGATGATCACGCTAGAGACTGGACTTGCCTGCTGGAAGACAATCTGCCCGGACACGCCACCACTGTTGAACATGGCCGCCAGCTGCACATCTGTAAGGAATACACATGGACATCATAAAGGCATAAGCATGACTGTATGCGCCATGCACGCTCACTGCATACAGGTGTGTAGAACAGCTTGTCCTGACCTACACCTTACGGTATGCGTTCAAATTAGAGGGCATATCGCATAATGCTGGCCACGGACATCCGATCACCTGGGTATGATAAGCGCCCCGGAGTGAAGCAACCCTTGCCGCTATACAGTCGTGCAGCCCAGCTCACAGTACATTCAGGAGTAATTGAGCTCTGATTATTTTTCCAACCTGATCCAGGCAGAGCCTAGGCTGAAAAACACAGCACGGTTGCAGGTCTCACATCCGCCATTCAATGTGTGGTGCGCCGGTTCTCGAGTGAGTGGTCGGATTTTCGACCAGCGCTGTACGAATCGGACTTGACCGTGGTGTGTGTGTCTGGCTTTGATGTATGTGCTCCATTGTGAAAAACCTGAACTGGTAAAAACAGGGTAGCTTTGTCTATAGGATTGCTCGGTTCCCTGTTTGAATGGTTTGCTCGTGTGCTACTACCATCTTACATTGTATCTGTTAGTCGAAAACTACACGTAATGCGTGCACATGACAGCCGCGAGCCATCTTGTTGGCCCTCGGACCTCTGTGAATTTGTGCTTTATGAAACCGATGTATGCAGTGTAGAGGCTTGGACATGGGATAGTGCCGGCATGCCATTGTACAACACTCACGTGTAACAGGGCTCTCCCGGTTTCCTCTACAAGGCTGCACATGAATGTGCGTCCTCACAAGACATAGCAATGAACATGATTTTAGACATGATTTTAGACATGATTTTAGACATGTTCATTGCTTTGTCAGGTTTAAAAACCTTTTGATCATCACTGTTCGATGATGGTAGCAGTTATAACCATCCAAAGAAAAGCAATTGACCCTTTACTTTAGCGGGGGGTTCTTCAGAAAGAAATATGCCGACAACTTCTTCCCCGGGTTGGCTCACTAGTCCAAAAGTACAGGAAGGAAATGTGGGCCATTTGGCCATTTTGGGACTCAAAGCTCTGGAACATGGAGATGACAGATTTCCCTGCAAGACCACGATCGCACAGAGCCTTCGGTATAACTGCCAGCCACTAGAATTGCGTATTCTGCGTATATTACGTGCATTGTACAAACGTCGGGAAGACCTTTGCGTTGGACCATTCTACCGTGCTGTGACGGCGGAATCCCGTCGAAATATTTTGGGCGTAGTTCTACTCGCTGTAACATCAGCGCATGCCATATACGACTACAAGTGAGGTTCACGCCAACACCTTGACGAGCGGCCAAAGCACGCTTACCTTGCCCTTGAACCAAGGTCGAAATCCCGATAAGCACGAGACCAATCAGGAACGAGGTGCTAGTGGCGAAGCGGCACCACGATGAGGACGGTGGGACGGTACACATGGTTTTCTCCGCGTGCACACGTCCACGAGGCAGGTAAGGTCGCGTCCCAGCCAATTTCCTTCATTCACCGTCTCCAGCTGTTTGTCCGTTCCGACAGCATGACCACATAACAGACCAGCACTGATTCCTCGTTAGCTATTTTGGAAAAATTCTGAGAGGGCTTCCGAAAAGACTTCTGTTACCGAGCCAGCGACGCAGTCCGGCGTTCATTCAGCGGAAACTCGACGAAGACGTCCAAAACACAGGCGAGCCAGGCACAAGGCGCACAAGATGTCGTGATTTGGCGATTTTTCCCTGCGGCCCGCTGTGCATGTGGCAAGGCTTTGCGGAAAATCTAAGATGGTTGTAAAATTTCGACTCCCCCGTATGACTTCATCGACTACTACTACTAGGTACTTGTAAAGTTGTAGTACTGGTAGATCTACATGACTGAATACAGTTTAGTTCATAGACGTCTAGTCTGTGCCTGGATATGCAGGGGGCGCGGCGAACATGGTGAAACAGCGCACGCACGAAGGACCTTCAAAGGCTTCATTGCATCTAGCTCACACTCTCACATGCACAGAGGATCAGCTGTCCCTGACCTCATGGCCATTCGATATGTCACATTTTCACGCAGAAACGACAGACAGTCGACATAGGCTATCCTGCGGTCTGTCTGACTGTGACGCAAACCATCTAATCTTGCATCTGCGGCCCGGAGTGTATCATGTACATTATTGTAATAATAACTATTTCCTACCATGCAGACATACAGTGAATTTCCATGTATGGCCTTTTCTGACCTATTAGCCTTAGGCCAGGCAATAACATACACCCCGAGCAACTCGGAGCACCTCCAGCACACACACACACACACACACACACACACACACACACACACACACACACACACACACACACACACACACACACACACACACACACACACACACACACACACACACACACACACACACACACACACACACACACACACACACACACACACACACACACACACACACACACACACACACACACACACACACACACACACACACACACACACACACACACACACACACACACACACACACACACACACACACACACACACACACACACACACACACACACACACACACACACACACACACACACACACACACACACACACACACACACACACACACACACACACACACACACACACACACACACACACACACACACACACACACACACACACACACACACACACACACACACACACACACACACACACACACACACACACACACACACACACACACACACACACACACACACACACACACACACACACACACACACACACACACACACACACACACACACACACACACACACACACACACACACACACACACACACACACACACACACACACACACACACACACACACACACACACACACACACACACACACACACACACACACACACACACACACACACACACACACACACACACACACACACACACACACACACACACACACACACACACACACACACACACACACACACACACACACACACACACACACACACACACACACACACACACACACACACACACACACACACACACACACACACACACACACACACACACACACACACACACACACACACACACACACACACACACACACACACACACACACACACACACACACACACACACACACACACACACACACACACACACACACACACACACACACACACACACACACACACACACACACACACACACACACACACACACACACACACACACACACACACACACACACACACACACACACACACACACACACACACACACACACACACACACACACACACACACACACACACACACACACACACACACACACACACACACACACACACACACACACACACACACACACACACACACACACACACACACACACACACACACACACACACACACACACACACACACACACACACACACACACACACACACACACACACACACACACACACACACACACACACACACACACACACACACACACACACACACACACACACACACACACACACACACACACACACACACACACACACACACACACACACACACACACACACACACACACACACACACACACACACACACACACACACACACACACACACACACACACACACACACACACACACACACACACACACACACACACACACACACACACACACACACACACACACACACACACACACACACACACACACACACACACACACACACACACACACACACACACACACACACACACACACACACACACACACACACACACACACACACACACACACACACACACACACACACACACACACACACACACACACACACACACACACACACACACACACACACACACACACACACACACACACACACACACACACACACACACACACACACACACACACACACACACACACACACACACACACACACACACACACACACACACACATACATACACACACACAGTCAGTGAGCAAGATGGGAGGTTGCTGCCGGATACATGTGATGCGGAGGGCACTCTCACATGCACAGAGGATCAGCTGTCCCTGACCTCATGGCCATTCGATATGTCACATTTTCACGCAGAAACGACAGACAGTCGACATAGGCTATCCTGCGGTCTGTCTGACTGTGACGCAAACCATCTAATCTTGCATCTGCGGCCCGGAGTGTATCATGTACATTATTGTAATAATAACTATTTCCTACCATGCAGACATACAGTGAATTTCCATGTATGGCCTTTTCTGACCTATTAGCCTTAGGCCAGGCAATAACATACACCCCGAGCAACTCGGAGCACCTCCAGCACACACACACACACACACACACACACACACACACACACACACACACACACACACACACACACACACACACACACACACACACACACACACACACACACACACACACACACACACACACACACACACACACACACACACACACACACACACACACACACACACACACACACACACACACACACACACACACACACACACACACACACACACACACACACACACACACACACACACACACACACACACACACACACACACACACACACACACACACACACACACACACACACACACACACACACACACACACACACACACACACACACACACACACACACACACACACACACACACACACACACACACACACACACACACACACACACACACACACACACACACACACACACACACACACACACACACACACACACACACACACACACACACACACACACACACACACACACACACACACACACACACACACACACACACACACACACACACACACACACACACACACACACACACACACACACACACACACACACACACACACACACACACACACACACACACACACACACACACACACACACACACACACACACACACACACACACACACACACACACACACACACACACACACACACACACACACACACACACACACACACACACACACACACACACACACACACACACACACACACACACACACACACACACACACACACACACACACACACACACATACATACACACACACAGTCAGTGAGCAAGATGGGAGGTTGCTGCCGGATACATGTGATGCGGAGGGCACTCACACTGCATCGTCATTTTGTCACCAGACAAAAATCCCAAATTATATAATTACTGTATCATGTACCGGGGTATTTTCTTTTGGGGGGTTGTTAGATAAAAGAAACAACAAGAAACAAACCAAACTCCCCTGCAGTGCACACTGACTTCTCCGGGAATGTTTAAAAAAAGGACACAACTACTTGATATAGGATTCCCTGACTCACGAGGGTGGACCCGCATTGTTCTTGCAGACAAGCGAGCTAAAACCGACATGCTCGTACATTGTGGGCACAGCCACTAGCATGAATGTCATCCTTGCAGACCTGCTGCAAATGGCAAAAGCATGGGAGGGCTCCAACAGAGACTGGAAGGAAGGATAGTGGGCAGCAGAGGGCAAGACAATGTCATCGTATATTGGCTAATGCACTGGCTGACCAATGAACTGGCTGACCAATGCACTGGCTCAGTGACCAATGCACTGGCTGACCAATGCACTGGCTGACCAATGCACTGGCTGACCAATGCACTGGCTGACCAATGCACTGGCTGACCAATGCACTGGCTGACCAATGACCTGGCTGACCAATGACCTGGCTGACCAATGAACTGGCTGACCAATGAACTGGCTGACCAATGAACTGGCTGACCAATGAACTGGCTGACCAATGTTTTGTTGTGCAGTTCAAACATATAATTCTGCAGAGAACAACTCACAAAATGAATGCATCATAGTAGTAAGTAGGTTGGCCATGTTTAGAAGCAAGATTAAACTGCTGCCGAATTTTGGGCAGAAGTACATTGTATTCTGACAGAAGAGGATTACGCAGACGTCGAACCACATTCGGCAGTCTGGGCAGCCCTTCTCTGCCCTCTGAACTGACTCAGTGTGCATACTGCACATACATATAAATTCCTTGAAAACGATGATGTCACCAGCATGTCATAGTGATGTCATGATGATGCTATACAAGCACCGTATTGTGCACATACCCAATACTACCGGTATGTAGGTGTGCGCTGTGCAGGTGGGCTAGTTGTATTGTGAAGACCTGCAGTGTGGGGCAGCAGTTGAAGTGCTTACCAAACCCACCCAGCAGTGGAGATGGAATCCAGTTGCTGCCGATTAGAAACGGAATGATGCAGTAGATCTACTAACCCTCTCTGCTCAATGTCGCAATACAGCTGAGTTTGCAGTGGCAAGCTCAGGCAACTAGCAGGTGTAACTGATGTCCACTGGTTATCTGAGCAGCAGTGCAGCTCTACCACGACTTCTCTTTCCGCTTGTAGTCTACCATTGAGTTCATCACTGGTACCATCAAAGAGCTCGTAGCAGAAGCTAACATGGTAAAATGGGTCTGAGCACGTGTCTGCCCGTAGTCAGCACAGTCCCTAGCATACAATGTATGGCAGGGACTGTTTCGGTGCAGAATGCAGACAAGTTGTGTCATCTCTACTAGCATAGGAAAACCCTACAGTGGAGGTGACTCGTCAACGGGATCATTGATGGAGCTTGCACCAATATCTACCTGCATTGCAGGTGCCCTAGTCATGGTGTTCGTGAGCTCCTGCACGCGTAGTCTGAGCCGCTGTCACGTAGATCCTCCACACGAGCAGCACACAGACCACGCCGGTGACGAGGACGGTAGCAGCAGCAACCATGCTCTCGTGCTGAGCAATCCCAACGGGCACTTGTAGCGTGATCGAGGCCGCAGCCTGTAGACAGCAACGCAAACACAAAATGCAGCCTCTACCACATGATACAAACAACTTCTTTTTAAAGAAATTGTCCAAAAGCTGAGAACCGTGTCAGCAATAAGAAGCTCGCAAGTCGGAGTCGCAACGCACCTAAGATTTGATAGTTCAAAGTGTTGTTATCCCACTGGATGCATTTCAAGGCAGCAAATCGGTGCACATGTGCCGACGATACCTGGTGGAAGACCAGCAGCTGTTGGGACCTTCGTTGAACTTGAAGAGGTGCTTGGTGGCATGCGGAACGCAGAACCATATCCAGTCCATAAATAGCCTTGCATGCCGGTAGTACCCACAGACTGTGGAGTCGATACTCGCACACGTCAACAGCTGCTTTCCATGCCGATATGAAAACGCATCGTGGTGCACAGACGATTCGGGTCAGAATGTACGTTGATGCACGGTCCAGGGCCTGAGATGACCCCCCAGCGCCGGCGGTGAAATTCAAAGCAGCTAAATTACGCTCATTTCAACACATTCTCCATCATTGTACTAATGAAGAAGCATGCTTTAGGTGCTGAAATGACCGGCTGCATAAGGCAGGTGGTCTCTTATCACAAGTGGTGTCTTATCACAGGTGGTCCCTTATAGCAGGTAGCCACTAAACACAGGTTAACAGTGCTGAGAAGTACATGATTGTACGTACATGTTGGTTGTCAGGGGACATCAAGGACACTGGGCACAGCAGACCATTACTTCCATCCAAGCTGGACCACACATCAGCGCTATCAACACGACTGCAGCCGCTGGACAACGGCAGAACAATGTCTGTGAACAAGGAAGCACACGTGGGAACACAAGTAAACTCTCCTGGAACAGCTATACACATACAGTAGAAGTCCTCCTATACGGGCAGGTTGCGAATAGGCACTGCCCGTAATTAAGGACATACATAATTATGTGTTGCATGCAAGTAAACAATCAATAGTTCTTGGGACCGTTTTTCATTGACAAGACGATTTGTGTGGCTCTAAATGGGTCAGAAAGGTGCCTGGTAGACGTACGTGCCCGGATTAGGGACGTCCGGATAAGGGAAGTTATTATTATTATTATTATTTCACAATCACGATGACATAGTGCCAATAAGCATGTGATGCGGGCGATTTTAACCAGCCATGGTGGGGACAACTGAGAAAAAGAAGGAGAAGAAAAAGAGAAAAGAAAACAAAACAAAAGGAGTACTATAGGAACCTGGAGAGAGCAGTATGAAGATTAGGCTAGCAATGGAAAACAACGAATTCAATTCAATTCAACTTAGGCGCGGGCAGAATGGAACAAAATGCAGCGAAGGTGTCACGAGACTTTACCTCCTGCGGAAGCCGAGACCAATGAGAATAGGACTTGAACAGAGGGGATTTTAAAAGGATCGATGACCTGGCAAGTGGGAAATGGAGAGAACATCTAGTACGCGAGCTATTATTGAACCAGCTTAAATGCGCAAGTGCATGAGGAGGAGCAAGTTGAAGCTTAATACGGTGAATGAATTTGCATGCCGAGTGGGGAAAGCGTTCTGAGAGAGGGGAAGAGGAAGCCAAAATGTATAGCGTCTGAGAGGAGGTCAGAGGGGGCATGCGAAATATTAATCGAAGTAATTTACGGTGGGTGACTTCTAACCGATGCATAAGAGCGGAGGATAGACCGGAGGACCAAACGAGAGAGCAGTAATCAAACAAAGGAAGAACATAAGAGTGATAAATTTGTATTCGACAACCATGGTGTAGATGGGAGATGTGAGGAGAAATGCAGCCTATCGCGGAGCAAACTCGCTTTTCAATATAGGTTACGTGCGAATCCCAGGACAAGTGTTCATCAAGAAATATACCAAGGTGTTTGTGATTTTTAACAATGTTGATAGCAATGGGATCATCAGGGAAAGTAAAAAGCCGAGTCGTAAGGAGGGTGAGGTCACTGGAGGGTCGTGGGGGGATACAAAGGATTGCCGTTTTCGACACATTGGGGCGGAGTTTCCACTTCGACATCCAGCGCACAACTTGATTAATGTGATACTGTAGCGAGTCGCAGGCTTGCAATAAGCCTGGCTCGGTTATATGGAGCGCTGTATCGTCCGCGTAGAGTGAGGTATGATCCAAACCTGCCAAATCATTAACGTATACGATGAACAATAGAGGCCCCAAGATAGAGCCCTGGGGCACTCCAGAGTGGACTGTTTGAGGGGCGGACAGGGCATGTCCAATTCGGACACTCTGTCGACGTTCAGTGAGATAGCTGGTGAGCCACTGCAGACACGTCCCGGCTACGCCAAACGTTTATACTGTATAAGGATTGCAGAGTTCTTCTTGGTTTGTATCTGTTACGCCCATGTACCATAACCACACACTCCTGTCTGCCAATGACGACACTGAGAACTTTTCAAAATATGCAGACCGCATTATACCGTAGCTCAGTGTAGATTGTTGCCTTGAAGCAGCAGTGGTGTATGGCAATGCCAGGTGCGTGACTTATGCATGATCTCAGAGAAGGTACTGCTAGAACAATCCAGTCTTCTTTTAAATTTTAAACTACACACAAGCGGAAAAACCGTCAGAGATCAAATTCCATTACACAGTGTTTCACCGTTCAAGCAACGGATCATCAGATGGATGATCAAACAAAGTATGATACACTGGTTATATACTCAGAAGGTGTGAACTCCGTCACTATGGAGTGTGAAGATTATCATTATGTCGGGTCCCGGATGTGACAAGTCCATTTTTCATGATGCATTGTACAGAGTGCCTAGGTGCTAGATGAGGGTGATGATATTGCGGGGTGTGACCAGCCCATTCTTCATGATGCATTGCACAGAGTGCCTAGGGAAAGGTGATAGCACAGAGTGGTGCCATGCCAGGTAACAGATATAGAGGCGCTACCAAGGCCATAGAATAATCACTGTCCTTATGTGATGGGCACAAAATTTGATAGGACATACTTGCTTTCGTGCCTGCATTTTGACACAATCTCATTTCGCTTGTTTAGCCTAGTGCGGGCGTCGGTTTCGAGGATGTGATACTTCTCGGTAGTGCAGAGGCCGCATCTCTTGGACGTGTTATCGCACTAGGCTAAACAAGCGAAATGAGATTGTGTCAAAATGCAGGCACGAAAGCAAGTATGTCCTATCAAATTTTGGGCCCATCACATAAGGACAGTGATTATTCTATGGCCTTGGTAGCGCCTCTATATCTGTTACCTGGCATGGCACCACTCTGCGCTATCACCTTTCCCTAGGCACTCTGTGCAATGCATCATGAAGAATGGGCTGGTCACACCCCGCAATATCATCACCCTCATCTAGCACCTAGGCACTCTGTACAATGCATCATGAAAAATGGACTTGTCACATCCGGGACCCGACATAATGATAATCTTCACACTCCATAGTGACGGAGTTCACACCTTCTGAGTATATAACCAGTGTATCATACTTTGTTTGATCATCCATCTGATGATCCGTTGCTTGAACGGTGAAACACTGTGTAATGGAATTTGATCTCTGACGGTTTTTCCGCTTGTGTGTGATGAAGCTCTGCCTCGCTTGCATTGAGCACTCTCCGCAGTTTGAGACCATTCCCTTGTGTAAATTTTTAACTACAATATTAAAAATTCGACGAGGAGACAATAATTTTTAATAATATGGCAATAAGTAGGACGAGCTGAAGCGACATGTGGACTACTTTATTAACAATGTAAGCGATGGAGACGATGCAAGAAACAACCTAAAGGGTAAGGAAAAATACATGTAAGAAGAAAAAGGGCAATGGAAAAAAAAAGATGATTCGAACAAGCTTACATTGTTAATAAAGTAGTCCACATGTCGCTTCAGCTCGTCCTACTTATTGCCATATTACAATATTAAAGCAAAACTAGTATTGCAAACACTAACACTTCAGTTTACATTGGATTGAGCAGGCTAAAGAAGAGGTTGGTGTGACTTCGGCGATACTCGGCAAAACTCTCTCAGCAGGCTACACTAAAAAAAGGCCGTTCAATGTGATGGAGTCGTGAGCGTGTTGCAAATCAACGTTCTACCGTGGCAAGCTGTCACAGCTTTCCAGACACCATGCATGGCCAAGACGTGTGTACTGCATCCGCACAATCATCCAGAGTGAGCGCCTAAAGTCTAATATGTTGCATGAACTGCACTGGGAACTGCAAAGCAAGTATACTGGTCCATGGAGTGGAGATGATTTGGCTGCGTTCTACAGAAAAGTTGGCTGGGAGAGCATTTCTTCTTGGCTGTTTGTATCGTCCTCCTTCAGCCGATGCTCAATTTCGGAGCCGTGTTCAGGAGCTTGTCCACTACATCCAGGGCGAGGATATTATCTTGCTAGGCGACCTGAACATTGATTCATTCCAGACCAATAGGCCAATGGCTTAAACACGTCGCTACTTCTTCCCCTTAACCTCCTGAACAAGGTTTGCTCTGCGACACGGACCACCCCCTCATCTGCTTCGTCAATTGACTATATCCTCACAAATCTGGCTTCAGCCAGAGACGGAGCAGTGTCTCCCTGCGAGGTCTCCGATCATGATCTGGTTTGTGCAGCATTGGACGTAAAGACCAATATACAACTACTTGCTTACGATGCTACCTTGAAGACCAGCGACTATAGGAATATCAACTTCCCAGAATTGATAGGTCTGCTTGAGCATGCAAACTTGTCTTCGTTCTCGTCTACCAACGCCGATCTAATGCTTGACGAATGGTTGGGGAAATTCAACACCGTTCTAGATGCGGTCGCGCCGTACAAACAACCTGGAAGACCCACAAGACCGCGCAAGAAGAACTGTCCGTTCATGACCCCAGAGCTCTTGACACTCATCCGCCAGAGGAAATCAGCTTTTCGTCGATATCGCGCCAGTGGCTGCACTGACACTACATTACAGCGATGTTTTACCTCTCTAAGAACTGCGTGCAACAATCTCTACCGTCGACTTAGAATGGACTCGGAAGGAAGTCGACTTAGAAATTCCCATTTCCAGAATGTGTGCCTAAAATATAAACAGAGCCCAAAGCTGGTGTGGTCCACTATCAACCACATAACCAATCGATGTCGTTCCCACATCCCTCCTGCGGTTGCAGCTGATAAGTTGAACACCTTCCACAAGATAGTGACTGATCCAAACCCCAGATACGACATCCCAGATGGACCCGCGCCTCAATCTGCATTTGGTATGTTTAAGCAAGTCACTGTAACAGACGTCAGGGCAAGACTTGCCTCGGAGGCTCCCTCGACAGCAGCAAAGTACCAGGACCCGATTGTCTTCTTCCCAGTATCCTAAAGGCCACATCCAATGTTATTGCTCCTTCTATGATATCAGCCATTTTCAATACAGTACTTCTCTTCAATCTTCGACTTTCCCTCATCTTTTTAAAATCGCTAATATCACCCCCCCCCCCCCCCCCCCCTCTTAAATTCGGACAGGGTGATCACACCTCTTCGTCCAATTATCGCCCAGTGTCGCTTACGAGCATTCTCAGCAAAATGCTCAAACGTTTTGCCCTTGATCAACTGCTTCGGGACTTCGACCTGTATACTTGTCTACACGATCATCAATTTGGCTTCCGGCCCCAGCGATCAACAGTGCAGGTCATGACCTTGGTTGTAAATGACTGGACGTTGGCTAGGGACGTGGATCATACAACCCTTGGAGCATTTATTGACTTAAGCAAGGCCTTTGATCGAGTTGTGCACCCTGAAATGGTTCGCTAAGCTACACAGGGAACTAACGTCACTGGGCATGAGCGTTAATGTTGGCAAAACCGTGGTTATGATGATCTTGCCGAAGAATGCTCCTGACGTACGAAGACCAGTTCTTGTTGAGCTGGGTGGCACTACCTTGAGGGAAGTGAGTGTAATTCGCTGCCTTGGTATCCTTATCGATAACAAGCTCTCATTTGTTCCACACGTAGATCACCTCACCAGCAAGGCGTCATGCAAGATAGGCGCGCTGCGACGCACCTTCCACCAAATGGCAGCATTTGCTCGTCGCCAGTACCGGCTTAGTGTGATTCAGCCAGACGTTGAGTATTGTTTCCCTGTTTACGCCTCTCACCTATCAGCACAGTCCAGGGAGAGATTGTTTACCTTGTTCCATAGAGCTGTATGAATTACCTGTGGGGCTTCATACCATGCTGCTGTTCCACCCCTTCTTGCTGCTCTTCAAATAGAACACCTTGAATGTCATACATTTATCAATTTCTTACGTTTACGTTTATTTGTCATATTGTTAAGCCTGCATCATGCTTACGTAGTCTTTTCCCTTTGCCCACCTCTATGCGGTCAACTCGTGGAACTACAACTAACAATTTGCCAATTTGCTTGTTTAAATCCATGGCAGGGTACAATTCTTTTTCCACCAGAGCATCCCTTATGTGGAATGCCCTCCCTGATGACTTGAAGCGAATTGAAGACATTAGATCATTTTGTACAGAACTTTTTCACGCTCTTAATGATGACAAATTGGCTATAATAATATCCCTATATCCCCTCCTTTTTGAAAATGTATTTTACCAATAAAATAAGGCTTGGAACTTTTTAAACATGAATATCGACGCACTTGCCCCTTCTGTTCATGTCTTGCCCCGCTCTAGTAATGCTTCATGAATCCGCCCAGTCCACATTCCTTCTCCGTTTTTCTTTCCTTCCAGTTGCATCCTCCTTTCTGCTCTGTTTTACTTTCTCTTTTCGTTCGTCCCTTTTGATATTTGTACTTTGTACTGTTGAGGCAACGAACTGAAATAATAAAAACCAAACCAAACCAACTGGGCAATGAAGGCCCTAACATACAACGGTGCTACACAGTACGTACTCTGTGCAGACACAAACAAGTGAAGCTCCGGCACTGCAATCGTTGCATTGGCATACTGGTGGTGAGAACTAGGCGCCTGGTAGCGTAAGTGAATCGGCAGGGTGATGTTCACAGTCGCTGATGCCTCCGAGCTGGCATAAGAACACGCAAACATAGTAACATAGTAACATACACATGATGCACACACACACACACACACCGACGAGGTGCGGACTTGCAACTAGTGCCACCCTGACCATGGTGAATGCATAGTACAGTACACATGTAGAGTAAAACCTGTGACTAGCAACCACCCCTTGGGGCCAGAGAAAGCGGTCTTTGGTGGCAGGTGGTCTTTAGTTAGAGGTTTGCACCGCACATAATATGAATGTGAGACTGTCCGTGCCTGGCGAAGTGGTCTGTAGTACCAGGCTGGTCTGTAGTACCAGGCTGGTCTGTAGTACCAGGCTGGTCTGTAGTACCAGGCTGGTCTGTAGTTACGTAGTACCAGGCTGGTCTGTAGTACCAGGCTGGTCTGTAGTACCAGGCTGGTCTGTAGTACCAGGCTGGTCTGTAGTACCAGGCTGGTCTGTAGTACCAGGCTGGTCTGTAGTACCAGGCTGGTCTGTAGTACCAGGCTGGTCTGTAGTACCAGGCTGGTCTGTAGTACCAGGCTGGTCTGTAGTACCAGGCTGGTCTGTAGTACCAGGCTGGTCTGTAGTACCAGGCTGGTCTGTAGTACCAGGCTGGTCTGTAGTACCAGGCTGGTCTGTAGTACCAGGCTGGTCTGTAGTACCAGGCTGGTCTGTAGTACCAGGCTGGTCTGTAGTACCAGGCTGGTCTGTAGTACCAGGCTGGTCTGTAGTACCAGGCTGGTCTGTAGTACCAGGCTGGTCTGTAGTACCAGGCTGGTCTGTAGTTACGTAGTACCAGGCTGGTCTGTAGTACCAGGCTGGTCTGTAGTACCAGGTTGGTCTGTAGTACCAGGCTGGTCTGTAGTACCAGGCTGGTCTGTAGTACCAGGCTGGTCTGTAGTACCAGGTTTTACTGTGTACTAACGTGTCAAGTTGTGATGCTGACTGCGCGATTGGCAAGAACACGGCCACTTGGTGCTCGGTGGAGTCATGTGCTGGCTTTTCCACGTCGATAGCAGTTCTCGTCCTGGCCTGCAAAGATCAGATAGAACGAATGCACAGCACAGCATTACACAGCAATACGGGGTCAATAATGCATGGGAAGTTGTCAGGGGAACCTCCAGTTTTGAACTCCCGGCAAAGAAAAGTATGGACAAATAGAGACTTTCTCTGGAACAATAGTGACGCAATGATCAGTATACCATGGACGGCGGCATGGTATACACGTGTGTTCGTTACGGTCCAATACAGAAGAATGCCGAATATCTGAACCGTCGGATCGAATACCGGTATTCGAAATTAGGGACGAAGCAACTGCAGACCTGCGAACACTGGGCTGTTAGGATTTCATTGAGCAGCATGGATAGCATTATGTAACAATTATTATTCAATATTCTAATTGTTCTAGATGTGCACGTGCGAATCAGCTTGGAAAAACAGGTGCACGAGATCGAGACTGTGTCTGCCGACTGGCATGCATGCATGTGGAGTGTCGCCTGATCAGCACTGGCCACTGCTGTCAGGGTCATTCTGCACACCACCGACTGCATCGACAGCTGCATACTAGATCAGATCTGACTGTGACAGCTCTACTCTGTGAAATTTTTATTTCGTCTTCACGACGTTCGTGTGCATATTATGGGGTGCCAAGGCGCTAGGCGCTAGGCACCGGCACGTCGTTGCGGAAACAAAATTTGAAAATTTCTTCAATTCATCTCGCCGATCAAGAAATGAAAATATTAGCGAGAGGAAGAACTTTGCTTTGAACCTGCGTGTGCACGGCAGTTCAAGTTGTCGACTTCTTGTCACTGCACCGAGACAAGGCGAAAAAGACGGAGAGGATGAGTGAGCCTCTGTTGACAGTGAAAGACGAGTCGCCGTCGAGCGATGGCACGCAGCTGTACAGACGAGCCAGCAGGCTGCTGGAAGCTGAGCAGGGAGATGAACTGGCAGCACAAGGAGCAGCGGAGGCGAGTCCCATAGCAGAGAATCAACATCAGTCGGAAGCGCAAACATCCTCCTCCGGCTCCTCCAGCGCTGAGCCGCCTCCGTCGTCGTCGTCGTCCGTGCCGGCATCGTCGCAAAACGGCACAGAGACGACCGAGAAAGCCATCAATCTACTAGTCCGGGCTGTTCGTGCGGGCAGCACGCAAGCCAGGGAACTGCTGGAGGATGCGCTGACAAAAGGTCGTGGAATCGGACACAAAAATATCGTCGAGGTACGAATACTAGTAGTTTCGAAACTCTGAGCACACAACTGTGCCCTTGGAAAATTACAGTGATTTCAGACCCCCCCCCCCCCCCCCAACACACACACACACGCGTAGATCTACGCACACGCACAAAATTACAACTAATTTCTCCACAGAAAGCCTTTGAGCAGGGAGTGGTGCTTTCAGCAGGCTTGCAGGTTTGCCGAGTGAAACGGGTGCTATACGCGTGCTCCGGATGGCAGCTGCGAGTCAGTCAAATTCGGCAGCCTGAAGTGTGTGTTCCACGTAGGAGCAACGACTTCATCTACTAAAACCACAGAAGCCGCTACCGTCTTTTTATAAGTTCAGAAAGCCATACAGAGAAAGAAAGTTCGAGGGCGGAAATTAATCTTACTGTCACCGGGACCACAGCACCGTATTTCCCCGAATAACTTATAAGAGTCAAACCTTGCGAATAATGACCCTCGTTCGGCCAGGAGAAAAATGATATTCGCGAGTTGTCGTCATCCGCGAGGTTAAAAGTATGGGATCACGTGGTTACTAGTACTTGGTCTGAAGATAGTGTTGTTATTCGTGAGCTGTTGTTAGATCCGAGGTTGTTATTCGCGAGGTTGACTGTATTGAAACAAGATGGCTCAGGCCTGAAAATGGAGATGGGGCCTATGATCGAGAAAATACGGTACTCTGGAATCTGGATCCTACGGCATTGCGTACTGTCTCCATGGCAAAGTATTCTGCATGACTAGTGATGATATGAACAGCTACAGCCTTGGTAGACTTGAGAGCATGCTCGAAAGAAAGCATTGTACATAAGTGTGTGTGTGTGTGTGTGTGTGTGTGTATGTGTGTGTGTGTGTGTGTGTGTGTGTGTATGTGTAACATGTGTGTATGTTCATGTTGGTAACCGTGGTGACGGCACATGTACGTCTGACACTAACAGGTGCTCTCCACCATCCGAAATCAGACTACAGAGCCGGTGGTCATGGCAGCACGCGAGGTCTTCACCTCGCTGGCCACTCCGGGTTTGAAGAGTGCAGCGGAACGATCCGACATAAACTACGCCAATATGTCGGCCGACCAGCTGGAGCGTGTGCTCCAGGAAAAGTTTGCAAAGACCAGCGCGGACAAACAAGCGGCTGGCGCGGATGATGATGATGTAGCCGGGGCAGCAACAGCTGAAGATCAAAGGGAGGCGATTCGGTCGATTATCGAGAAGACAGTGGAGCTCGGAGATGACAACAAGAAAGTGAGCTAAACGTGGTGTGGTGGATGCCGTGGCTTGTGTCTGTAATGCTGAATCTGTGATGTGTGTGTGTGATGGGTGTGTGTGTGTGGGTGGGTGTGTGGGGGGGGGGGGGGCTTGTATGGCTGGGGTTTGCTGGGTGTATTGCCAGAACAAGAATTAATTAAGAAGCCCAGTGTGCCACTGAGTTCAGTGGTAGATATAGGCCGTCCCACGTTAACACGGTCATACATCACACATATATCTTTGTTACATGCAGATGGCACATATGCACTTTGTAGTGCGGGAACACACACCACCGTTTCTACACGAGATGTGTGTTTGGTGATGATGGCACATCTCATCCTGTTCATAGCCTGTTTATTTTTTGTTTTTTTTCATTCTTTGTGTGGCACAGATGGTATCCGAGGATGAGTTCCTGGCTGTGGCAGTTTCCTATGCGAATGGTGAACTGCCAGGAGGAAACCTGCAGGCACTGCGCGAGTCAAGTGAATTTAACAAATTAGGATGGGTGGAGCGGGTAAGAGACGGCTGTTTAAACATACACAATATGCTTGCCAGTTGGGTATTAGGATCTTGCAGGACCGGCAGAAGCAGTTTTTGATTGGTCCGGCCATACCATGGTTTTCATACAGTTTGTGTATGATATGGCGGGGTCACATGACCTCCTCAGCGGTGAATATGCATGTCGGTGGACAGACAGTTGGTCCAACCGTGGTCTAACCAACCGGACCGGTTCCGCTGTCCCCGTCTTGCAGAGAACGTGCGGACAGTACTATAACAATCCACTACAGCAGTTAGCTAGGCGTCTGCATCTGTGTGTGTGGAATGTCCACACATGTGGATACGATTGCTCAGTGTATGTTGGATAAAAACATGGGCAAGCGCTTGCGAGTGATGCCGGATGGCGCTTACGAGTGATGGCGGATGATGGCGCTTACTTGCTTACCTACTTACTCTGCTACTGGTTCCCTCTGTGTGAACTCGTCAAAAGAGAAATGATGCGAGGCCAGATTGCCAGGAAAAATAAATTCCCAACGCCAAACTTCAAACCGGGCTCTACTGAAACAAGGTCTCACCAGCTAATACGCCTTTTCCGCTTCTCTCTAGTGGCACCTAATCCTATTGCTATCACTGTACACCTTCTGGCTAGCTTTATCTCATTTTCAGTTGCTGAAGCAATAATTAAAATGCAGCCAACAAGCTCTATAGTGTTTGTGAGTTTCTTGTTACAGCGTTGCCCTGTGCCCGAATCTGTCTGTAATTTCACGGAGAAATGAAGTTGTGTCAGTTTCTTGTTACAGCGTTGCCCTGTGTCCGAATCTGTCTGTAATTTTACGGAGAAATTAAGTTGTGTCGGCGGTGGGAAAACGCTAGGACTGATCAAGCAGAGTTGCAAAAACTCTATGTCATGAACACGTCCACGCATCGGTGGTCAATGTGCATTTGGTGCATTATACGTCCCAGTGCAAAAAAACTGTATGTTAGGCGCTCACTTGCCGTAAGCACCACTTACTTGCCCACAGCACCCAAACCTTACTCTGCAGTGTTCATTGGACTGCTTGACTTCTGTCACACGGACAAGCTTCTGGAAAGACCTGAATTTGTGGGGTATTAATGAAATTGATTTCTCCTTACCTGTCAAATTCTACCTGTGTTGCCCACTGTAGGCGCAGCTGGACCCACTCAAGACTGCCAAGAATGTGGCAAAGCATGCGCTGCACTTCGCCGAGGACAAAGGCGAGCGCTGGCTGATCAAGGCCATCCCGTACCACCAGCTGGCCTACATCCTCTTCCTCTACATCATGACGTACGTGGTGGTGCCGAAAGTCATGTGGCACTTCGTACCGCTGTTCCTCTTCTACGCATCGCTGGCGTTCATGATAATCGCCACGTTCCAGCAGATCTGGTTCCAGCGCATCTTTCAATTCTACCACGTCTACTCGTACGTCTTCAGCGGATTCAACAGCGCGCTGGACGTGAACAAATACGAACTGATGTTCACTCGCAAGAATGGCCTGCATTCCCTCGTCCTATTCTTCAGTGCCTACGTGGTCATCGTGGCTATACGGCCTCTCGCAACCGAAATGGGATTGCTGAATGAGCTGGTCACACTGATGGCGTTCTTCTTCTCGGCGGTGAGTTTTCTCTCGTGTGCTGGCAGCCACTTTGGGGAGATATATCGCTCCATGAAGCTGCGTCTTGCTGCCGTGGCTCTTGGCTGGTTCTGCTCTAGTGGTCTGCTGGAGGGCACGCCGTTGAGTAGCTTCCTGGGCGCGTGGTTCAGTATTCCTCTAGCCTACACTGGCGTCAGCGTGACTGTTGGCCCACAGACTGCACTGTTGGCTGCGAGTACGGGACTGCTGGTCCGTACCGGTCTGCGTCGTGGCCTGATCTCCTGGCCGCTGGTCGTACTGCCGCATCTGGTCTTCCTGGCGTGGTTCGACCTGGCGTTGCTCATCCTGCCCACGTGTTCCCTGGCCGGTTTCCTGAAAGTCGGCCTTGCTGTCCTGGCCCTGCCCTTCTCACCCGTACTCATCACCCTCACGCCAATCTATCTGGCATCACGCGGTGGCCTGGTAGCCATCGGTCTTATCCTCACTGCCATGCTGATCGTGGCCGGTAGCCTGGTAGTGCTTGCCAGGATGCTGGACCTGTCCAAATCGCTGTCCTGGTTTTCAAAACTGCAGGTCGGCTCGCAGCTGCTGCTGCTGGCGGGATTTATACTGGGCGTTACAATGTCAATTGCCCTGGTGCACAGCAGCTTCAGCTCGGTGATAAACCCCATGGCCAGCTCCACAGTACTGCCGATCGGCTGGAAGGACTATGCGGACAGGTGCAACAAGGCCAATAGCAGTGTGGCAACTCGCCAACTGGCGTGTCTCCACTTCAATGGTCAGCTGATCCAGTGGCGTGGTACGGTGCAGGACCTGCGTATAACAGAAATCAATAACAACATACGCTCCACGCTCACCAGTATCCCATGGGGACTTGGCTACTATTTCTACTGGCTCGGCTTTCCGGATAGCTCGCGGTGTCCGCACGAAGAAGAGGACGGCCTCGACTGTAAAATTCACCACGTGGCCATGTCGCACTTGGATCTGGTCAACGTGTACAAGTTCTCTTTGACCGTGCAAATGCCAGAGCCAGACGACTCGCTCACGATCAGTGTCGGTCACCATCTCTTGCCCAATGTACCGTATATAACCGAGGGGACGCTGCTGGAGTTCAAAGCGGTCATTCACAATGCCGGAAGTGACAAGGGACCCACGCTGACGGCAAAGAAAGTATCCGTTCTCGATGAGGACGGCCGTGAGGTCCACGTATCGCAGATTCCGCAGGAGCAGAGGTCGGTCGCGGATGAAATGGAGCGGGCAGGACAAGAAGTGATGGCAGCTCTGGCGGGCGCAGTGAGTCAAGTCGACAAGCTTGATTTAAGTGAGAGGAGCCGAACCAGTGAACCATAGCAAGTAACAGTATGAGTTGTGCCATGGCGTCGACAGTAATATTTGTCTGGCTGAACTGCTGTATAGCTGTGCAATTTTATGACAAATAAATTATAAAAATCATTGCTTTACAGGTGCAAAAAAATTCATCAAATCAAAAATCCTGCTCGAAACGATGCAATCGGACAGAGTTATTTCTGAAACTGCTTGCAGTCCTATGTTACAATCGACCTCAAGAACTGCTAGTACACGTGGAGCGTGTCCTTGGTTTTTTGGCCTTTAATGATAGCTTGCATAGACCTCGGTCCTACCGGTAGGACCTACCGGTAGGACCATCATACACAGACATGCTGCATGGCCTCTGTTCTAACATTGACCTAAAACTTGACCCTAAACTGTTGCTCAGGGGCTAATGAAGAAGTCCACACATTTTAGACGTGATCGCACAAGGCATACTACGAAATTCCATGGTAACAGCCCATGGTAACCATGGAAACGGTGTATGGAATTATGCATTCCACTGCCTTGGCAGACTAATAAAAACATTAGTACCTCACCACGATTGATGTGCCATGGTCAATATTCACTTTGGACAGAGTTGCTAGCGCTCCGACAGGAGTATGTGCGGCCATTTTGACAATTGATAAAATTGCGCGTATGCAATGCACTGGACATAGCCTTGCATTTTGCGCCATTACTTTGCCTGACAAAGACCTCATCTCAACAATTGTTTCAAGAAATTTCTCAACCGAAAGCACTTTTGCAGCGCGATTTCTTGGGTCCTACCGGTAGGACCCGTGGTCCTACCGGTAGGACGGCATGCAAGCTATCATTAATTATCTGAAGACCCTACACTGATTCCTTGATTCCTCAATGGTTATTCAAAAAATAATAATATCACTTTGAAAAAAAATGTGCATGTTCTTGAGTTCACCCATCAGCAGGCGAGCCATGCTGCCATGCTAAGCACTGTGCACGCACTGTGGCGAAACAACCATGTCGTCACAGTGCAGTGTACATAGTTCAATGTCAGGAAGGAATTTCACAGATGAGAAGAAAGAGGCAACTACTAGTATGTGCACATTGTAGTAACTTGGACGTGCCTACCCGACCGCTGAGCACTGTAAGTATGAACGCTGAGTAATAGCAAGAGTGGATACTGTAAAAGAGTACATGTATGTAACTGTGGTTATGGGTCAGTGCGCGGTGTGCTGCCTTCATTACCTAACTTGCCTCCATCACGCTCTGAAAGCATGCACTCAAACCCCAACTTCTCGTACGAGCCCATCCGTTTTTGCTCGATTCGTTCCAGTACCTACGTGATCTCTAAATTCTGGCGCGTGAACTCCAGTTCCGTACGAAAGTTCATTTCAAACTGGAGGGAAAGTGCGGTGTTTGATTTTCCGCAGTGCGCGGACTGCAGCTGAATGATGTCATGAAGGCAGCGCACCGCGCATCTGGCCTATAGAAAAGAGATCACAGTTGCATACTCTTGTTTATGGACTCTTGGTAATACCTGTACATTGTACTTCTGCTCAAAATCAACTGATGGTAGCCCAGCCCAGCAAACACACTTTGGCGGTTGGGCTGGCTATTTCCTTGGTATGTGCCATAACGTTGCAACTCAAAAACTTCAAATTGTACTTACGGTGAAGCCATGCCAGTGTGCCAGGCCTGCCAGCTGAGCAGAGAGAAAGCATGCACATGTCAAAACACATAGGTGCAATTAAAAGCATGTGACTTGTGAGTGGAGACCCACGCTAAAGCCAAGCGTGACCAGACCAGAACCACTTCAAGCCGTTACCAGCATCCGGATTTAGTAATTAAGATACAAGTGCAAATAAAGTGACTCCCGTTTCGGCCATTGTCTGAAGAGTGACGAGATAACAATTATGATGAAGTCATATAGGAGAACCGGGCTCAGCAACCACCTACCTGTCTGGCTCATTGTGGTCTTTGAAACCAGGGTAACCCTTGCACATTCCACACATTCGGAGCCAGCGAATAGTGGTCTTACAAAGCTGGCGATTGCTGAACCAGGTTTTCTCCTGACCCGGCTTTTCATGTAATAGTGACCTGTTTCAGCCCTAGTAACAAATCACCCGTGCACAAAGTCCCAAGAGGGATCGAGCGGCGTTCAGTCCCACTAAGCTTAGTCTGGAGAATGCACTAACCTCGTCCATATCCATGTACATGGTGCTTGGAATCGTGAAGAGCAGTCTGACAAAGACGCCGCTGTCCGAGCTACCTGTCCTGCCTGCCTCCGCATGACCCGGTGACGGTGGTGGAGACTTGGTGTGCAGCAGAGCCAATGATGACTGACCTACGTCCAGGTCCGCCGTTATAGCCAGTTTCCTGCATGGAAAGCATCCAAACATGTCAACGAGGAGAACCGGGTACAACTGTCAAATTCTAGTATAATATGAGCCAGCTCACAAGAACACTGGTGCACAGTAAGTACTTTAAAAAGTGTGCTCTTGAGAAAACCACGCCTTTGAAAAATCTGGCCATTTCACACATGGTATCCTGGAAAGAAAGAGTCACAAAGGAAAGGATGGTCCGCCCATTGGGGGTTGTACAGTGCTAAAACATGCACCGTTGGCAAAAAAATCCGAATGTCCCCCCCCCCCCCCGGGCGTACCACTCCACACTGCCCCATGCCACCACTGCTCACCAGTGCAGCTGCTGCTTACCTGTGCAGACCTGCACCTGTTGCTTTCCAGCTCCATTGCGACACACGCACCATGACGTCACTGCTGCTGCTAGCTACGCCATCACCACCGTTGACACAGACAATGTCAAGCAAGAGCATGACGAACACTGAGCAAAACAACAAGATCAGAGCGACCAAATCAAAACACAAAGGCAATAACCAGTAAACAATTGTTAGGTCCCTGAGAAAGGTTGCCAGGGCAACTGATCTGCACTCCATTATTTAGTTCTCATAAATCCTCTTGGTCAACATTCACAGCAAGGGCGAGGTAGGTTGGGGACGACATTGGTATTGAGGGGCAAAGACAGGGTTTTGCATAGAGTGGAATACCCTTGATATTGCAGCACAGGCTACACAAGAAGTCAGTGAATGTCAGCTGCATGCTTTCAGGTGCTGTGCAAGGCTCCATCCACGTGTGTTAGATCCACCATTTCATGCCAGGAATGCTAGGATTAGTTTCAAAATAGTTCCAGGGGGTTGTTCCCCCCCCCCCCCCCCCCCCACACACACACACATACCTCTTGGGGGGGGGGGCTGCTGCTATGTGCCTGCAATACAACGCACGAGAGGCAAATCTGTGTGGTAGATACACTCACCGCACTCTCGAAGGGACAACCACATGTTGGCCGTGTGCATGTGTATGTGTGTGTGTTCAGCAGCAGTAGCACGGCTCTCTGCATTAACACAACATACAGAATACATATCAAATGCCATCATCACACCTAGTCTGATGACTTGTCGGGTCAAAGAGCGACCAGCTTCCACAGCTGCCACCCATACCATACTGCCAGTAAAGGACAATGACCCATTCTAACATGATAACAGGCTACATTTAATTTTTTTAGAAAACATTCCACGGTTTCAGCTCAGTGCTCAATCTCACACAAGAAAGATGTACGTTTTTACAAATTTCCCAGTGAATAGGAAAACTGGAGTGAACTCTACATAGCTTCCGACCTTGACCATCATCATAAAGTGATGCCAGTTGGAACAATTTCCACCAATCCTTGATGGAGTCGGCACTGCAGCCCATGTGGACGTTTCCTACATAGAATATCGCTTTGTCCACCTTTTCGACACCGGCCAGGACTACAGGGTTTGTCTCGAACGTGGGCATAGGCTTGACGTACCGAGATGTGACCCGACGTCGTACAACATCTACCCAAGAGCTCTGTCCATCTGATTTGTTGCAGGAACGTCGAACTGCTGTCCGTAGTGACGTGACCGTTGCCAGCAGGTCTAGGTGCTGTACGTGTTTGCGGTGCAGTGGTGATGGATGTGTCAGTTTCATACAGGGAGGGCTCTACGGTAACTTCGTTAGCACTTGTGCGACGGTTGTGGGACTCATTGGCAGTTTGAGAAAGTGCGCCTGTTGTGAAGTTCCTCAGCTCTAGTACTTCCAATTTTAGGCTGGAAACCTCATCCGGAAGTGAAGAAACAATGGCATTATCATGCTTCGCTTGCTCAAGTTGCTCTCTTAGCTCTATCACTACACATATAAGCTCGTTTAGAGACTTCAGACTACTACTAGTACTGACCTCATGGGGCTTGATCGGGGTTACACCCACACCAGCTTGTCTTAGGGAAACCACAAGATCAACTCGGCTCTTTGACTCGGCTCCGTCAATAGGATGTTGCTTGGCAAGATGCCGCAGCTCTTCGAAAGTCAGCAAGGCGAGGTCGATGTCCATATTCAATGCCATATAACTAGTGTGTCCAGATCAAGTTCTCTGCCACAGGCACCTAAAGTAAGCGGAGCTTAAAAACTTGCATCCGCACCTTACCCTATCAAGTCTCGGACGATATGAGTTTACTTCCAAGGAGTTCCGAGATTCATTTGTCAGCTACTACTCAAGATCAAAGTTGAAGACACCACTGCAGCTGTACTTATAGAGCGTGTGTGGGCAGGCGTGTGTTTACCGCCATATTGCCAGGTGTGTCTTTACCACCATATTTATCAACTACTCAAGATCAGTTCTGTAAGATCAAAGGAGTCTTGGGGGAGTTACCATTGACACGTATTGATACACAATCATCAAGTTATCAAGATCTACTACAAAAGATGAAAAAAGAAATCGAGCAGGCAGCGGAGCACACCCTCAAGATATCTCAGAAGGTGAGGGAAAAGCTGCCGGAGTTGACTACTATCGATGATACATTAAAAACTATGGAAGCTGCGGTATATATACCGTAAAGTCTTGTATAAAAGCCGCACTTGAATTGAAGCCGCCCTCGAATAGAAGCCGCAATTTTGGGCCCATCAAATCACACATAAGCCTGGTTTTAGTGTTGACATATATAGAAATACCTGTCTTGTATAGAAGCCTGCAAAATTTCACCTAGAAAGTCATAGAAGTCGCGGCTTTTATACAAGACTTTACGGTATAGCTTTTACAGTACTTGTAGTTGTAGGGTAGGTGTAGGATTAGGCGTAGTGCAAAAATGTGGTGAGAGCAGCAGTATTAAATAGCCAGGTCTCGGTTTGAATATTTGTTGCGATATTGAAACTTTTATCTCCAAAATTGAGCGCTCTGACATGGACAGGCCAACTGTCCACTTCCCATGCCCGAAAAGCGTGAAGCACATAGATATTGCTGAGAGGCTTCAGTCCTATGGTCACTCGCTTGGTGATGTCCTGCGGTCGATCTGCATGGACGGCCCGGATTTTGTGCCGTGACCCTGCGAGACTTCGCCACACGAGACTAGTTGGATGCCTCCACCCTGGAACTGGACGGTAAGCAGATCGCCGGGCTGCCAGGGGACGGGACTATCTCTGCTGTCCGTGTACATATATATGGATGTGAACCCCCCCTGCACTTTGGCCACATTGAATCAGCGCTTTGCGTATAGGGTGAATTACTCGGCGAAATCGAATGTGAAAGCATTCCCAGTGAGAATTTCAAAATTCTCACTGGGGCGCGCAGAGTGGTCCATGGTCCTCAAGAGTGGAGTACACGTGCCCTGTAAAGTACGCATTGGCCGAAAGGAGTGTCGTACGCACTACCACCGTGACCCGGTGCAGCAGACGTGTTACCGCTGCGGGGCTACCCAGCACAAGGCACGTGACTGCCCAGGTCGCCCACACTCGATGAGTACGCACTCTCAGCAAGCATCGTACTCTACTGCCGTACAAGGCCAAACTGATTGCCCGCCAACCCCAGCCGCCCAGGATCAAGACCATAGACCTCCTCAAACAGGTGCAGTTGATGCCGGCACCCTGGTGGACGTGGTGTCAAATGGCCCTCCAGCCCCAGAACAACAACAGAACCAGACGCAGCAGCCGCCACGTACAAAGAAGGCATCTACGGCATCTATGATACCAGTCCCCGCAAAAGCAGCTCTACTGAAGGCTCAGCCATCAGCTACCGCCCCAGAGACTCCTGCTTTCCCCGCTCGTTCATGTGGCAAAGCAGCTCACACCTCCCCGGACGACAAGGGCTTCACTTTGGCTAGTGGAAAGCATGCATTCACGCCCAAGGCTCTGTATCCCCGTCAGCGCGACCCTTCACCAGATCCACAGGTCACCCGGGCTAATGAAGCATCAGCCCGCGAGAGGGAGAGGCTTTTCGAACGTGTTGCAGCTACCCTCAGAGGAAGCCGCTAGTGCAATCAAGGTAATGACGGTCTTAAGTCTGCTGTCACTCCGTCAGCGTTAAGGATTCCCTCGCGCTACTATGCAGTCCCCCGGACCACAGCCACGTTTCCAGGGTGAGATTTGCGTCGGCTGCTTGAATAAGCCCATTGCGCATTGCCAAATATGGAAGGTATGAGTAATGCATGTGAGTACGCTGGGATCAGCAATGCACTGTTCAACACCCCAGACGACCATGGTCAGGTGGCTGTGTGGGGTGCTGACTGTACAAATTATGTCATTGCGCAATGGGCTTATATCTGCAGTCTTAGACACAAGGTTGCAGAGCTGGAAGACCTTATTAAATTGCATACATGGGATATATTTTGCCCCGTGTGTGCGAGAGTGACGGCAGCGAGACGTGGCCGAACAGCACCATATCGGATAACGAGGTCAACATTCCTGGTTACCATGTCGTCCGCTGTGACCGCCGTGACCGGCAGGGGGGAGGAGTGTGCATTTACACGCAGATCATCCCCTACACCATGTAACTGAGGAAAAGCAAAATTTCTGTTGATCCCCTCCACACACGATCTCTCTACGCTGAAACATTTTAAATTCCCATTCTCATTCCCATCCTTGTTAACATAAAAATATGTTATGTTTATTCTCCCTATGGCCGTAGCCATCATCACATTCGCTCTCACGTTATTGGGTTCTTGCCCGTTTGAAGTTGTGAACTCAAATAAATACAAACAAACAAGCATGACACACAGAGTGAGCTCTCACCTCTTGTTTGTACCAGTCGCGATCACTAATTCAGCAGGCAGTAGCTTGTAGAACAGTGTAGATAAACTACTCGAGACCACGTTCATTCATTCTCTCATCACAGCCTCAAGTTCAAGTGTCAGAAGAACTGAACTGTTTTCAGCCTGCATGCTGGGCAGGATTTTCTGTTTTGAAACTCAAGTGGAATGTGCGTCGAGCGTCCGCTCGTTCGGAGCAGCGCCGCTTTGGCGTGGTCAGTCTTTGATCGTGCTTCCCCACACTCGGGCCACAGAAATCCGGTGTCTGCGTTGCTGGATCCGACTCAGCGGCTACCATCGACGTCAACCATGCATGAGTATGACTATTATTTTGTACGAGGACCTACGCTTGTGTGCTAGTACTTCTCTCGTCCTTGTCAGTCTCGTAGATCTACTCACTCAACTAACTCTTTCATTTTCAGTCAAGTAACAGCTATGGAGAATCTCTGCGGCTGTGCTTCGTGGCAGGTCATTTTAGCTACATTCACACTCGAGTCGAGGCTATTTTCTTATTGGCTACGGCCATCGTTACGTGAGAATAAAGAATTGTCTATTGCTGCAACCTTTGCATGCATTGCCTGAGTATTCCGATACTTGCGTGGTACCAAACCCTGTCCGCAAAGCTGCGCTGACCTCCGAGGTCTGTACAGGGCAGGAGTTGTACTTTCAGTGACGGAGAAAGTCTGCGAGTAGTAAGTTGACCATGCCTTTCAACTCAGTGACCTCGTTCTCCCGATCGCCTATTCGCTACGCTGCGGTGGTGGTCACCACGCTGGCAGTTGGCCTAGCGCTGGCATTAGTTCATAGGGCTGGTGATAGCGACGGTAGGGAGCGGTGGTTGTGGATGGTAGCGGATGAAGGCGCTCTAGCTGGCCTAGAAGCAGAAACTCTGGGGATAGCAACCAATAAGTTTTCAACGAAAGTGACCTCACCAGTCACGGGGAAGTCAACTGCTGAGGCCGGAATCAATGACCTGTTGCCAGGCAGAAGTACTACTAGTCACACTGCAACTCGACAGTGTACCAAGCAATGGGAGAAGCAGTTTGTGATGCCGCCTGCGGGCACGGCGGTGTCGTTCGGCTTCTTCAACCGGCCTGGGTTCACAGCGCTGTTTAAGGAGGCGGAGCGCCGTAAGTGGACCATACAGCACAGCATTAAGGCCAGCTTGCCGTCGCTGGAAAGCGTCAGCTTCATCTTCACCCACCCGTCCGCCTACCTGCGCTACCCGAGCCTGCGTGAGCTCAAGGCGCCGCACCATCTCATCTCAGCCGTCCAGGGCATGCAGGCTGCGTGCGGCTCAAAGACAACCCAGGTGCGCGCGTTCCGGGAGCACGCCGACAAAATCAAATGCAATTACAGTCGTGTGAGATTCCTACCGACGTCGTTCATCTTGTCGGAGCCCAGTCACTGTAAGGAGTTCTTCAGACTCGATGCGCTGTATGAGCCACGGTGGATTCTAAAGCCGTCCAATAGCTATGGTGGAGCGGGCATAGAGGTACTACATGGTCGCAGCGGCATAGAGAAAATGAAGGAACGTTTCACGCCCTGCCAACGCTGGCACTCTGGTCTGAAACCGGACAACCGTTACATCGTACAGCAGTACCTGGAGCGACCTCTTCTGCTGCACGGCAAGAAGTTTGACATCCGCATGTACATGCTGCTGGCCAGCACCCAACCGTCACTGGTGTTCTACCGGCAGGGCTACGTCCGGGCATCATTGAACCCGTACAACCTGAACAACACCAGAGATATGTCCTCGCACCTCACCAACACACATGTCCAGGAAGCGAGCCGGGCAAACTTCACCGACCAGCTGCACAGCCACTTCTGGTCGCTGCTGGAGTTTCAGGAGTACCTCGACAAGCATCTGGCTGGCGACAAGGGCAAAGGGTTTGTCAAGCAGCACCTTGAGCCGTTTGTGAAGAATGCCAGTCTCTATGTATTTCATGCAGGTGAGCGTAGGGTCTACAAACCCACCTGGAATTGTAGGTTATGGTATGTGTGTGTGTGTGGGGGGGGGGGGGGGGGGTAGTCTTTGCAGTGCTGTATACAATTTTGGGTTTTAAAACTCAATTCAACTGTGTCACATGGCATGGCTCGTTGTCGGTTGCTTTGTGCAGGTCGCGACAAAATCATTCGATCGCCGGGGACCTTTCAACTTGTCGGTTTGGATATTATGGTTGACGAGAACTTGGACTGCTGGTTTATAGAAGCAAACAACTACCCACTGTGGCCATATCAGGGGCGATTCTCCAGTCACCTGTCTCTCAGAATGGCGGTAAGACCGAGCACAATCTATCAGCTGTAGCTACTGTTCTCTGAACAGTAGGACTGAAAGTTTCCCAACATGGCTTCTTAGTCTACATGTATAGAACTCCAGCGCATGCATGGCACTGACTTAGAAATCCCAGTATAATCCTTGTGCGTGGTTTTACTCTTTCATTAGACGGCCAGCTGACTACATGTGCATCCAAATGGCATTCGACGTGCGTCTGCATTCGCGCACTTGTCAACTTGTCGGTACTTTCGGGCCAGTTTCGGCGGTACACCCTAGCCGACTTGCAGCAACTTCCTTGAAAACAACGTGTGTGTGAACTTTTGACTGTGTACACTGTCGCGGTAACTTGTAGACACGTACTACACTGATCCCTGTTCAGGGGCGTCGGAACCGGTGCGGCAGGTGCGGCCAAAGCCGCACCAATAGTTTCATCTAGTGATTTTTGAAGCAATGGAATATGGTCTAGTTGAGCCCAATTTACCCAACATTTTCTCAGGGGAGGACTCCTGGACCCTTCACCCATTCATGGCCGCACCAATGTCGAATACTTTCCGACTCTCCTGCAGTTGTTGCCAGTGGTACATGTGCGGAGCTGTCTGCCTGTAAAACGCTGCATTCTCAGTCAGCGCATGACTGAGAACGGATGCATCACCTCATCTGTGTATCGATATGCCCAATTTCACATGACCATTGTGTATGTGTACATGCCATTATCTGTTGGTCTTGTTCGATCATTGTCTACCTGTGTGTTTGTTTGCTATTGTTCTTCAGGAGGATCTGTTTGATCTTGTGCTGTCACTGCACACAGATGATGCAGTGTTCCTCAAGGCAAAGTCAGGTGACATGATCTCGTCATTCGAACTGCTATACAATGAAATAGAAGACTGTTCCCGCAAGGAGGCGATCCTATTTGATCCTTGTGATGTGTTTCCCCCGTAGGCCAGAAACTATTCAACTCATCATACAGGCAGATCAGAGAGAGAGAGAGAGAGAGAGAGAGAGAGAGAGAGAGAGAGAGAGAGAGAGAGAGGAGAGGAGAGGAGAGGAGAGGAGAGTATGATGAAACGGGGACCCGTGTACAGTGACGAGCCATTCGTGTAACTTGCTGCCGCTGAACTGTTCGCCAGTCAGCCATGATTATTAGTTATTACCAATTCAAAGTACAGCCATTGAAGAGACGTGACTACAGTCCGTCTACAGTCCGTAATATTCAACCACCCACAATCCTGCTATATTTCATCAGTCTGAAGAGCCATATATTTAACTTTAAATCAGGCCTGGCTACTATATCCTGGACACTGAGGATATTCAGGCATATGAGTTGCACGTATTGGTGAGTGGTTTCTTGACATTATTTACTTGATTCGAAGTGCATATTTCAACAGCGCACAGTACTCGTACCGGCATACGCCGCTAATGCAGTGAAGTTCATGAGTGGGAGAAAGTGCGTCGACTTTCACAGATTACTTACACATGCATGTAGACTGTATCAAAAAAATACTAACATGATTACTCAGATCACAGATACACAATGACTAACGAAATTCAAAGCAACTTCAGAGCTTGCGGACACACACGGCACCAAGAAAAGGGTGCGTTAATTAGTATATTGACAGAAGCACGATAAGCACACGGCATACATGCATAAGGGCTCAGCATACGGAAGCATGTGCTATGCCAGAGAAGTATCACTGCAATAGGAAACATAATTATGGGAATGTGTCGCGAGCTGAGGACTTGGCAATGCTCACGACAAATCACGCACGCACACACACATCGGCTGGAGAACTTGTACATAAACCTCAAAACGAAACTCACCCCACCTAATTGGCGGAGGGAACAACTTCACAAAGCAGGCACTAGCAAAGGAAAGGAAGGAACTACTGATGCGTTACACCGGACAAAGAGGAAGAGAAAAGACCATCAAAGTAACAAGTATTCTACAGCAGCTAGTGACAGCTAGTGACAAAATTGGGTTAAACACATAGTGTTGCAAAAGAAAAACCAAACGATGAAGGCAATCGGAATGTCACAGTTGCATGTTGCAATGAACGCAACTGTTGGAAAGTCGCTTGGATGTGTACAGTATATAATAACGTTATAAAGACGGCCTGCGGGCAGAGTGTGGTGCAGCTGTGGAACCACCAGTCACCGTATCACGATCTTAGTTCACTGGCAGAACATGAGTGACGATGGGAGCATGAGAGCGCACCACAAACTCTTGCCTCAACAAGTACCGAGGGCTCAGTCGAAAAATAGACTACAGGGGAAGGGCACCTCCACTCTTGTTACGTTCTTACTTCATTCCGATATTCTCCAGTGTGGAGGCTTCTGCGTTCTTCTTTACCCATGGATGGCTGAGTACTTCCCCAAGAAGAAGGCGGTTCTTCGGGTTATGTCGCAATAACTGCGGGACACACATACACACGGATAAAAAACAGTAAGCACTAGTTATGATACACATCCAGGACTGCATAACTCTACTACAGCTTCATTTCGGATGGGAGTGTTGATTCGCTGGAGGAAAACAGGAAAAAAGTGTGCTGTGACCAGGATTCGAACCTGGGTTACTACGGCCACAACGTAGGGTCCTAACCACTAGACGATCACAGCTTGCTACGGGAGCTCACGTGGTCTACGGAGTTGATTGAGTTTATGGATTCATATCCGTTTGAGATAGAGAGAGAGAACTTCTTTTAATTAATCTACTACACGTTTTCTGTTTACAATCCACGTACTGGCTGTTCTTTGACATAATCAGAATAAGGGCATGCGCTATACTGAATTCGCACTGCCGCCGGTTCTGCTACGATTTACGACATAACTGCAATGGTGTTTGGATAGCAATTTCCAATTCCATCCAAGCTCCCCACTGACCATGCCCTAAGGAAAAAGGTGTAACATAGCAACAAGCGGGGGAATTTTTACAAGCCTAATGAAAATCCCATAGAAAATACAATGAAAGAGGGTTATTGCTATGTGGAGCAAATCCTAAAGTCATGCACTAACCTTTGCGATCAAATCCTTGGCATCATTGGAGATGTACTCTGGGAAACGCAAATCCACCTGCACAGGCAAACACAATGGAAGTCACCAACACAAGACGTATGGAAATCTTGCTCAAACGTCATACAAGCCGGATTTCATGTACCACCACTGTGCATGTACATGTCACTACAGTCCATTTCAAAACTATAGACGCGTACCCAGGCAAAAACCGTTATGCCAGCATCTATACCACATAAAATCTGCGATCACTTTGTGCATAAAATTTCCAAATTGGGCGTCTGTTATCCAATCGTTTAGAAACTATATGAGAGTAACTGTGGAGCGGACCTGAGCAATATTCCGAAAACTATTCTCAAAAAGTTCCAGCCAAATTTGAAATATTTCAAAAACACTGTGCGTCTATAGTTTTGAAATGGACTGTAGAGTGTATTTCACTATCATTTCCCCTCCCAGTTGCTATCAGTTCCTAGTGGATAAACTCTTGATGACAATTCACTGAAAATCAGATACAATTTGAACTGAGAGGATGCAAAAAACAACAACAACAACAACAAAACAGAACTTGACAATGAAGTTTGGCAAGAATTCACAGACTTACCCTGGTAATGCGGCGATATGTCTGACTATGATCGTCAGCCTCAAACGGAGGCTTTCCAACCAAGAACTCGTAGGTCAGAACCCCGAGACTCCACAAGTCAACCTGGTAGTGGGCAAGAGAGAAAACACACACACACCGGTACACATTGCACAAGACTGAATAAACCTGTGCACACTGAGCAGTATGCCTTCAAACGTTTCAAAGTCTAATTGCACACCTGGATTTAGAATAATTCCTACTCAAGTGAGCGGGCTGTAAAGACATTCACATAAGCCTTGATGCCCCACCCATACAGAACTACTGCACCATAATGAAAAACATGGACAACACAATGCTCCACCAACTCTGGTGAAGTACTGACCTGACTTGAGTATAGCGACACACACATACCGCAGAAATGCTAAAAATACATCCCTTGGTGTGCTCAAAGTTGGATATGTCTGCATGTACGCTCAAACAATATGTGAGGTCTGCTATGATGTGTGTACCAATACAGGTAATCCTCTAGCTAGTCACTAATAGGCCATTCGCACGACGGGCAAACACTTTGATCGTACTGTTTCCAAGGATATTTACTCGGATACGATAAACTTGGACACACGCGTGCAACTGATTTTTTTATCTTGGCCGAGGCCCTTTTGCTCGCAATTATCTTTGCACGCTAGGAAAAGTGTCGGTTGTTGAAAGTGTGTACTGCAAATGCAGTGCTTGAAGGGAAAATTCAAAATTGAACATTTCCCGGTATTTTCAGGTCACTATGGATACATTGACGGTTGCAAAGTTTGCCCAGCACCGTGTGAACTGGATCACGGTTTGCCAGTGTTATCTTGGTCACACACGTGCAAGTGTTTACACGTCGTGTGAATGGCCTATTAGAGAAGGTTATATAGGAATGGCTTACCTTGTCATCGTGTTCATGTCCCTCGATCATCTCCGGTGGCAAGTAATCAAGAGTTCCGCACATTGTTGTCCGTCTGCATAGGAATCGAATGCACAAGAGCAGGAGGACGGGCATTGGCGAGTTATTAACAACTGGTGGTGCCTCAGGAATCATAAAATGCTGCCATGATCCATGATATACAGAAGCTGGCACAGGGACACCATCTTTCAGTGCAACTGCTTCTAGTCAGTACCCAGGATTTCACCCAGTCAATCATCAGCCAGACACAGGCTGCAGTGTTCTGTGTAGGTAGGTAGCATCTTCACTGTATGTTTGGGTTCAAAATCAACTGATGACAGCCAAACACCCGGTTGACATACAATGTAGGTAGAGTGCTGGCTACTTCCCTGTTCAAGCATGTAAGGCCATGGGATAATCCAGCAGGGGGTTATTCAGGAATAAAAATATCACCGAACACCATGGTAATAGGGTCCCCGTACTTTAATATTAGTTATTAATTAACTTATTACACATTTCCAGACAAGAGGTTTGTAGTAGACGGACTTTCTCCTACACAAATCACTATGTATTACAGTGGTCCCTCTATAATCCGCCCCTTGGGTTGTACGAGTTCACGGTTCTTCCTGTGGGTTGCTGCAATGGGCCTGCCACATTTCAGCACTTGATGCAAACGATCCTAAATGATCTCCTTACCAGTCATGATCCCGTCTGCCGTGTGTTTTTTGTCAATCAGACATTGGCCTTGGGTCAGCCACAGTTAGCCTTGGCTTGGATGGCCTCCGGTCCGTTTTCACGTGTCTTCGTCGGTACAATCTCAAGCTTCGGCTTGAGAAATGCGCTTTCCTGCAGCCCCGCACTAAGTTCCTTGGTGTGGACACCTCAGCTTCGAAGGTTCACGATATTGTTCACTGGCGTACGCCGACATCCGTCCGTGAAGTGCGTGGTTTTCTCGACCTTGCTGGGTATTACCGGAAATTTGTTCCACACTTCGCGCAAGCTGCCGACCCACTGGCCGCACTCACTAAGAAAAATGCGAAGTTTTCCTGGGGTCCTGCTTGTCAGGCTGCTTTCTGTGTACTGAAAAAACGCCTCTCATCTGCGCCTGTGCTTGCTCAGCCCGACTACATGTCTGCCGCCGCTCCCTTCATCCTTGATGTTGATGCCAGTGATTTTGGTATGGGCAGTGTGCTCTCTCAGGTACAAGATGGCCATGAGTGTGTGATTTCCTACGGTAGTGCTATTCTCAACACCACCCAACGTGACTACTCCACTCCAGAGAAGGAACTCCTTGCAATGCCGATGCTCTGTCTCGCCGTCCGCCTGAGTCTGTTGCCGCCACTACCTGTCAGTCACCGCCTGACCAGTCGTCACCAGCCGCACCAGCAGCTCCTGCTTGTGATCCTGTACCCACTGTACCGAAACCTGCACCCGAGTCCTGGCTGTCGCGCTTTACTGCTGCTGAGCTGCTTGCTGAGCTGCTTGCTGGCAAAAAGAGGATCCTGATTTGTCCATTGTGTTAGGCTGGCATGATTCTAGTCATGATGTGTTTAATTCTCCCCCTGCACACACATTAACTGCCTCTGGCCGTGCTGTTCGCCGCTATGCTTCTCAAATTCATTTGCTTTCCCTGCGTGATGGTGTTTCGTATCGCACAGACCCATCTGCTGATTCTGTTTTGCAATTAGCTGTTCCGTTCTCTTTCCAAGCTGATATCCTATCTGCAGTGCACGCCGATGTTAGTGGTGGTCATCTCGGTGCTACAAAGACCATTGACAAGGCCAAATGCCGTTTCTTCTGGCCAGGTATGTCAGCTGATTTGCGCGCATTTGTAGCTAATTGCCAAGAGTGCATGTCCCGTAAGAGCGCTATGACTGGCCGAGACCATTGCAGTCCATGCGAGCTGGCTTCCCTAACGAGATCGTAGCTATGGATCTCGTTGGACCACTGCCTACCAGTCGCGGTTTGGTGCCCCAGAACAACTCCACACCGATCAGGGCACACAATTTGAGTCTGAGCTCTTCAGTGAACTGTGTCGCCTCGTGAATATCCGAAAGACTCGGACCACCGCGTATCATCCCCAGGGCGATGGGCTCGTGGAACGCCTCAACCGCACCATAGTTTCAACGTTGCGAGTGTATGTAGTGGATCTGCCCACCTTCTGGGATCAGTATGTTTCAACCGTCCTGCTTGCATACCATACAGCCAAGTATTCTTCTACTCAATTCACACCAGCTCAGCTTATGTTTGGTCGCCAACTCCGTCTGCCTATCGACCTTGTTTATGGTTCACCCCCGACAGAGTTTGTGTCACCCGCCGAATATGTAACACAACTGTCCAAGTCCCTCCACTATAATTTCGATACTGCCCGTCGTAATGATAATGCTGCGCACCACAGCCAGAAGGACCACTACGACCTTCGTCAATTCAAGTCGGTGATAGTGTGTGGCTCCTTGAACCTGGAATTCGTCGCAAACTCCAGCCACCGTGGACCGGACCATACCGGATCGTCCACATGTCGTCGCCAACGTCATACGACATCCAATTGATCAACGAGCCCTCTAGCATCAGTAAGCGTGTACATTTCAACCGCCTCAAGTTACACGCCCGCTCAAATGCCAAGTCGTCTGTCTCTCAGTCCGGCCCCGATGTCCCGCTGTCTCAAGCGCCACTGGCTCCTACTTCTCCATGTCCGCCGCCTGTTCCGCTATTCTCCTGGCCTGATGCTGATGATGCCCCACAACCTGTTCCTCCTCCGCCGCCGGTTTTGCTGCCGCCAGCACCGCCAGCACCTGGTCCGCGTGCGCATCTGCACCGCAACGCCGGTCTTCCTGTTCGTTACAGGAACAACTATGTGTTCCCACAATGAGTCTCCAAACTCACCCTTGCCTTGCCTTTCTGCTCCACTCTGTTTCCATTGTGTGCTTGTGTATGATTTTCTTTTCCTTGCTGATGTATTTTGCTGTTTGAGCCTAGTTTAGGGCTACGTTAATTCTGTATTATGTTCTTGTTTGTTTTCCGAGGACGGAAAAATATTTGAGGGGGGGGGGAGCAGTGTAGTAGACGGACTTTCCCCTACACAAATCAATATGTATTACTATGTATTGCACTATGCATTGCTGGCACCATCAGATCCCTTGCTTTCAATTAGAGATCGCTAGCTAGCGCTCGGAGCTGTAACTGGCAATCTCGTACCGTATATTGATCCGTCTGTCAGTTCCCCAGCTCAGTTGTTGCAGAGTCTTTGCTTCCGTTGTTTTCTGTCGTCCTGCCTTCACTTGAGTCTTTCAATATACTATAAGTTCTGTGCTACCTACGTTTGTCTTTTCGTGCAATATTGTTCCCTGAGAATACTACTTGTGTTTTGAGTCGGAGAGACTGAACCAGTTTCGCCCTGTCACTCGGTCGCGCACTACAAGGTTGTTTTCACCAAGCCAGTAAAGCAAGCCAAAAGAATGCAGAGACAACATTCTCGCCACACATACAGCCTCACTCGGCCTCACTTGGAAGACGGTGCATGGACAGACAAAAAGCAAGCCAAAAGAATGCAGAGACAACATTCTCGCCACACATACAGCCTCACTCGGCCTCACCTGGAAGACGGTGCATGGACAGACCAACCAAAGTCACCGATCTTGAGCTTGTTCTGTGAAAAACAAACAACATATAGTTTACTCCCGAAGCTATGCAAAAGACGTGTGCCGTCACAAAAAGTGATACAGTGTGTGTCTGACATACAGACATGTAAGAATACAGCGAAGTACTATGCAAAGGTGACTTTTAGGATTCAATTTGAACTTGACTGCATGGTACACGATTTTGATTTGACGAGATAGCGCCCTTCAGGAGCATATTTATACAGGTCATAAGAGCACCATGCGCCAACAACTACTGGCTTGGGAGTGGCTGGACGTTTGTAAATTGAGGTTTTCGTGATTTTAACTGGATTGTTGGTTACTATCTACTAGTGTTGGAAGATGAGTTACAGTGTTTACAGTGTTTGCATTTGCTTTGTTAGTCACTTGACTTCATTGCACCCATTTTTCGGCCAGTCACTCTGAGTTCTGCTGATGTCACCTAACAAGGTGGAAATAGCTAGCCGTCCAGAGACTAAGGAGTTCGAGCATTGGTAGAAATTTGAGTTGCACTTACAAGTATCAGCTGATGGTCTGCAAGCGTTCCGAGCTGACTAAAGATTTGCCTGCATGCAGTGTGCCATGATAATTATAGTGAACTAAGTGAAGTCACATGCGGCAAAGTGACTGTCCGCGTCATGACCGTATTCGTACTACAGAACTATTAAAGCCAAGTTTTTTTTCATGAAAGCCCTAATGACCTGTACAATGAAAGCCACGCCAAGAAAATGAAATGAAAACCTCTGAGTGCAGAACTCACATTGATGGATAGCAGCAGGTTTTCCGGCTTGATATCTCTGTGAATGACCTTTTTGGAATGGCAGTAATTTAGGGCATCAGCCAGTTGAGCAATATACTGAAGAAAAAAAGGAGACGAAGAGAAAAACAGTAGAGTACATGTGCATCGCCGTAACTACGCCCTGCAATCCCAGGGGCAAGCCATGGATAAAAAGTATGCGGTGCTCAAGTGCTGGCAACTTCGCATTTGAGCGACGAACGCTCCCCAATCAGTGTGTACATGCATGGCAAAGTCTGTGCGAGAAGGAAGAGAGACCCGCTCACAGACACACTGCAATTGCGAAAGCTGTCTGAGCACACTGAATGGCTGTGGCATTACTTGTGGTAGCAATCAGATTAGAGTCAAAAGAGGCTGCGTGGGGCTGTCAATCTCAGTTTCAAACTGTGCTGAAACATCAACTGTGTGAATGCGTCTTTAGGTGTAGCATACCAGTGGCTTGTTAGAAGTGTGATGTCATGTAGAAGTCTACAGCCTTGCTGCTCGAGCCGGTACTAGCATGAATGTGCATTTCTACATGTGTGAAGCGCAAAAAGACCAAAGTGAGAATGCATCCAAGCACACACAGCAGGCATCTTACCGTTGCTGCAGTTGGCTCATCAAACCGCCCGGCTCTCTGCAGCTCCTTGTAGAGCTCGCCCTTAGCAGCGTACTCGAGGATCAAGTAAACACGCTTGTCGTCGTAAAAGTATCCATACAGACGAAGAATATTGGGATGCCTGGACACACAAAGGAGAATAAGTCCATATACATGTAGCTCACATAATGCTTCCTCTGTCCTTAAAAAAGAAGGTGCAACAAGTTTCAAATTTCAGAAGTTAGTGCTGTTCCCTGAAGATCGCATCCAGCATGAAAAGAAGTTCAAGATGCAACTGAATCTCGTTCCACAGCACGGATCATAATATATCAGGGAAAGAGTGCTATGCTTCACCGTACACCCTAGTTGGTTTTGACAGTATAGAATATGGCCTTTATCTCCTTGGCCTGCTGATCTGAAATGGTCAATTCAAGCAAAGCATTTTTTGTAAATTTTGAAATTCCACATTCAATGAAGCACTCACCGCAAATGCGACTGGATCTCAATTTCACGGCGAAGTTGGTGCTCAACCGAGGCCCGCTGCAGCTGAGACTTGAACAGCACCTAAGAGCATACAGACGAATGCACGCACAGCATTGGAACCATTTTTCCCCAGCATCCACTCAGTAACGAATACTCCTGTCATGGAAGCAGCGAATAATCTGATCCGCCCACCTCTCCACACTGCGCTCTTGGCCCACATTCACAACACCATACTCCACAGCGAGGAAGTTCGTTCTTGGATGCAGTGAAGGAGTGTTTAAAATGTAGCAAAGGCAAAAAAAAGGTTGAGGAACTAGACTTACTTTTAGTGCCACGATAAATTTTGTCTGCTTTTCTCTGGCCAAGTAGACATTGCCGAATTTTCCTGCAACGGGAACAGAAAAATACCGACTGTTTATATTCAAATCATCTGGAATATTGCGAGGTCCACCGCTGGTGTTCCAACTGACAACGACCATCAGAGATTGAAGAGAAGAGCAAGCACAATGCGCGGACGCCGACGATGAATGCATACTACTCACCTTTTCCAAGGGGTCTGCCAATGTCGAAGTCACTTAACTGCCAGCGGCGTCTGCATGAAAAGTAAAGGCACGGAGAGACAATTAAGTGTCAGGTAGTGGACACCATCCCCAAGTAACAGTACTGTATATTAGCAGACACATCGATATTCCGGATACACTTGTTCAGCGCCAATTGCTCCCAGTCAAGTAATACAGGGGCTAGGGACTTTGCAACCAGGACATCTCTCGATATCACAAATACACCTGGTCTCGAAGTACAGTTGTGGCAAGTGAAATCCGACACTTGCCATACGGGACAGCGCCACAAATGGACACCAATGATGTAATGCACTGCACCTAATTTGTACTATAGAGCCGTATGCATCCCGAACAGATCGAAAGGTCACAGCGTAGATACACACAGTTCACAAATATGGTACACATAAGGAGTATTGGTATCCAATCCCCATTCATTTTGCCAGCACCTTTTGGACCTTGACTGTGATGAGTACTAGTTTTGTCATCAGACAGATAAAGTTGTATGTAACACATGTACTGTACGTATGCAGGGGCTGCAGACTCCATGGTGCAGTCCCTTATGCCAAGTGTCGGATTTCACTTGCCACAACTGTACTAGTATCTGTAATAGAGACATTCCGCTGTACACAAACATCCAACACATTATCGAAGTCAAAGTACGGCAATCGGTAGCCATGAAGGGTCCCGGTCGTGGCACAGCCGAAAATGTTCGTACTGATGCACAACCGCCTGCGGAGAAGAGGGGGATCAACATAACAGACACTTTGGTGAATAAGATAGCCTACCGTTTGTCTGCTGCATCCGCTGAGTCTGAGAAAGAACTAGGGACGGCAGGTGCACTCGATGCAGCTGTGGCTGTAGTTGCTGTTGCAGCAGTTGTAGTACCAGCACTACAGCAACCTGCTGAAGTTGGTACTGATGAGGTAGTGCCATCTGTTGGCCCGGGAGCATGCTCCAGCTTCTTGGCAGGTGGTGCAACATTCTTTCCACCTCGCACCCACTACATTGAAAAGCAGACAAACAAGGAGCAGAAATACAAAACGTAGAATTGTTCGTTACGACAGTCAACGAAAAATGCATTTCGACCAAACACCATTGAATGCATAAGTAGTATGTACAGGCAGTTAGTGTATCCTCCATTTTCTATCAACATTCCACACTGTTACGAGAAGCACTAACAAAGTACAAGGCGCTTTCCTCTTGGAAAAGCGGGGAAAGGGGAGAAAGGGGAAAGGGGAGAAAGGGGAAAGGGGAGAAGGGGAAAGGGGAGAAGGGGAAAGGGGAGAAGGGAACAGTGGCTATTACTACAGTCATGTATTTGCAAATCTAAATCAGACCAATGCCGGCCCAAGGGTGCTAGATAAAGGAGTCTAATTTCCAGAATACTTATTGCTTGCATTAACCAATAGCTTCTCAGCTAGCTGTCAAGCCTTGTGACATAAAATTAATACCATTTTAACTTGCATACATTCGTGGAGACAGCTTAGGAAAAATTTCAGGAAATTTGTAATAGACTCAAACAAAACACACATTGACAACTAGTCTCTTATACTTTCCAAGTCTAATGAGATTGTGTATCTCCTTTTGTGAAACGGTTACCGGTAGTAGTTATTGACGTATAGCTAGTACATGTTAGCATGTCTATACAAGCCACTCGTCCGGTCTGGGATTTGAGAAGCTTGAACACCTGAACTGGTCAATGCATGTTTCACAGGTTCCCGCTTGAGGTCAAATGCATTTTGTGAGACAAAGGACACTGCAATAGTCAAATTTCCAAGAATTTGATCATAGACAGTCGGACAAAATCGTCAATAATTGAGTAAGCCGAGCACGAAACACATGCAGATCAAAACATCGTTCGGGCTCTTACTTGTCCTGCGGGAACGTTCTCTTTGTTCACTATGTTCAGGCCCCTGACCTGTATATAGTGCAAAGGCAAATCCAAAATAAACAAGAATTTTCACCACGCTGTTTCTTGAACCGCTGTTGAAAACAGACACTGTCGCTTGCCTGAGTCTCGATTCCATTGACTCTAGAAGATGTTGCCATCTCCTCTCCGAACTCAAATTGAAATTGGGAAACAGAATCCTTTCCAATAACCACTGTTTGCCTAGTTACGGTTCAGTTCCTTTAGAAATTACAATCTTCGGCGCAAAGGGAACCTCAGCAACGAGCTTGGCAAGCAGTAACTGTTGTTCTCTCATGGGATGAAACGCAACGCAAGTCCAGAGTTGCTAACATTCGAATCTGCATCACCTCAGCTCAGCAGATCAGCTGGTCAAGGAGAATGTGTTTTTGAATTTCGAACAATCTTGTGCGTTGTCTTTGATTGGTCATTTCGTGTTGCTATGGTGTTCCATAGCAGCAAGCCAGCAACGCACTGACGTCGTTTCGCTGTGTGTGCCGCGGCCGCCGCCGGGCACGCGCATGTCTCGCTAGCGCTCCGCGCTCGCGCTGCCACAAAAACGACGGGACCTGACGTGACCAGGTGATGACACGTCACAAAGAGTGTTGAAAAAGTGTCGGTGTAGATCTACGTCGTGTAGGGCTCGTACTACACCGTAGGCGTAGAATGCGTTTGTATGGCGCTGAAGCATGATCGTGAAGCACGCAAGTCTGGCCTGCTGGGGTACGGTGCTACGGTGTGTTTCCTTCTGTACGACTGCGTATCACACTGCGTATGCGGATCGCAACATGTAGAAAGTGCAGCGCAACCATACAAAACACAATGACTTGATCAGCAAAAAATCTAGGAGCGCAGTTTTTCACGTGTTTTCAATCTTCACGAATCATTCAGTTGTTGTTGTCGACTCAAGACGAGGAGAAGGTCTTCTCCCGGCCTCGGTAGCCTTGCCCAAAGCCTGGTGCTTTCTCTGTTGTGAAGTCTGCAAACACCACTTAGCACAATGTCTGACGAAGTTCTTACCCCAACTGAGGAGGCTCTCTCGTTTGAGGGCGATGTTAGCGAAACTGGCTTGGATGCTGACACCCCTGCAGATGATTCTCTGGCCGAAGATCCCGTGAGTGAACGTCCTATAAAATTATAGTAGGGTTTTAGTACGGTGCTCGTGACGAGAGTTTGGATTTCTCTGACGCTGGCGATAATCCCTTGTGAGAAGCAACGCAGCAAATGACAAAGCTGTTTGTAAAATATTAGGTGGCTCTCTAGCTCTGTAAAAGCTAAAAAAAACCTGTCTCTACATTATTTTTTAGAAGGCTTTGTTTCCATGATTCCGTACTTTACCCTCAAACCGATGGCAACAGAGCCAAACTTACTTGTTCTAACCTCCTTGTGTAGCGTACAAGCAAACTAATATTATAATGGGCCCACACAATCACATATCTCGGTAAAATTGAGCGCTTGTACATGTAAATGCTATGATAGATTGGCTATACGTTTGGTAGATGGCCGCTACCTCTGCCTCGGCAATCCTATGGCGCTGAGAATGCAAGTCTAGTTAATTGTCTATGCGAACAGCTCTATTATTATGAGTATCATTATAATGTAGTATTGGAGTAAATTGCCAGTAATGGTACAATGTTTGTGCGTTTTGAAAAATGCTGGAAATGTGAGGGTCATCCTGTGGGCAACATTGCTGTTCTTATAAAGATCGTTCATAAATTGAGCGCAAAGTCCTGCAAAGCCCTTGAGTACTACCAGTTCTACAAGCACCAGGCAAAATAGGTATTGACATACATATATTTTGTATTTCCAACATGTTTGTTTTTCTACAGGAGCTGGAGTTGATCAAAGCTCGAGTCAAGGAGATGGAGGAAGAAGCTGAGAAACTGAAGGAAATGCAAAATCAGGTTGACAAGCAAATGATGTCACCAAAAACTGCGGGTTAGTGACTCTCATCTGAAGATTTGGCATGTATGTTTATTTGTTCATCCCATTATACTCGTACTGTGAATATTTCTTATTCGTAGTCTTTGCCATTGCCATAGCTACTGTTGTGTGTGTTTGTGTGTGCGCACGCGTGTGTGTTTGACCGTGTCCAGGTACTCCAACCGCCGCCTCTTTCCCCACGCCTGAAGAGAAGGCTGACGCCGATGCCAGATCAGTCTATGTTGGAAACGTACGTGCGCGCACGCGCTGTCACCCTGTTTATATTCTGTGCTCGTCATCGTCGAATCAGATTGCAGGAGTTGTATACTGCTGTGTGCGTTTGTTCTGCGTTAATAGAGAGGTTCCGCACTACGTAAAGTTGAGTAACTTTACGTAACTGAGAGGGAAAACCCCGTGAATTCACGACTCGAGTTTTCACTCCGCTTACGGAAAGTTGTCTATGTAGAGTACGTAAAATGGAGCTCTACTAACAGAGGTGCTCCATAAGTGGATTTGGGGTATAAATTTATGACTCTCCCTAAGTTGTACACTGTCGCGCTTGGAGTTGCCATTGGCAACGACGTGATTCGAAAACTCCGTATGGCGGAACACGGATCCGCATGCAGTGTACATAAAGACTTTCTATGGATCGATAACGCATTCTACTAACTACTAACGTAATTACGTTGTGCGGAACCTCTCTATTTCCATGACTTTTATGTATCCATCTCTGCCTCTCTATTTCCATGACTTTTATGTATCCATCTCTGTGTGTTCAGGTGGACTATGGTGCAACTGCAGAAGAGCTCGAAGAGCATTTCCACGGCTGTGGCTCCGTAAACAGAGTGACGATAATGTGTGACAAATTCTCCGGACACCCCAAAGGGTATGTTGTTCGTGGACTGCATGTGTGTGTGTGTGTGTGTGTGTGTGTATGGCATGCATGCATGCGCTGAGTGTGTGTCTTCTTCTCCGCTGTACTGCAAATACCACACATGTTGCAGCGATTATGGGTGGAAAACACAAGTTGGGTTTGATTACATGTTCTAGACTGTTTGTCTCAGTAGTAGCATATGGAGAGCTGATTTGTTCTTTGAAGCTCAAGTGCTTGTGGTCCTGTGTTTGTGTGTGTGTGTGTGTGTGTGTGTGTCCCATATGGTGCAGTGGTATGTGCAGTCGATTTCCAATCGAGAGGTTGCGGGTTCAATTCCCGACGATTATGGTCGCACACGTCTTTCTTCTCTTTCTCGGACTCTTCCTGACTTTTCTTTCATTCTCCTGGGTGGTTACCAACAGCCAGTGTATGCCGGAGTATGTGATGTGGTGTGTGTGTGTAGAAAATGGAAAAATGGAAAAGTGAAAAAATAGGGATTCACTGGCCAGAAAAAGTCACTTCAAACAGCTGTGTGGTGGATACCAGGCTAAAAATAGTGGCGGTCAATTCATTAGCCTTGCAAGCTGTTGAATGGTGTAATCCCAGCACAAGTCGCTATGTCTAACATAGCTGTTCGCTATCATCGCTTCCGCGATGGGCATGCCTGAGGTCTGAGGTGTGTGCACGCGCATGCGTGCTTTCGTGCGTGCGTGTTTTTTGTTGCAGCTTTGCCTACATTGAGTTTGCCGAGAGGGATTCCGTGACCACAGCTGTTGCCATGGATGAATCCCTATTCCGTGGACGCCAGATCAAGGTGAGAACGCTTTGCACACACTCTCTTGATTGGTAGTGAGGAAGTATGGGGTATGGCATGAAATGGTTTTCTTATTGGTGTCCTCAAGTTTTATGTTTTGGTTTCGCAGCAGCTTACCGGTATCATCCGGCAAGATGTCCTTAATCATTTGTACGTGAATACCAATGTGTTCCTGTAATCTTTGATTGTTTGTTTGCTATAGGTGTCTGCCAAGCGTACAAACCTCCCTGGCCTGAGCGAGCGTGGCCGCGGCAGAGGGCGTGGCCGTGGAGGCTATGCTCCTCGTGGTGGAGCTCCTCCCGCTGGCATCACTGGCTATCGCATGGTACCAGTATATGGCTCACCACGCGGTAGAGGCCGCTACAGAGGGTAAGTGTAACGTTGCTCTAGTGTGTGTCTGTGTTTGTGTGTGTGTTGTTTGCTATAGGTCTGCTAATGGGCTCGGCGTGTATGTTCACTTTGCTTCCTGCTGTTGAAACCTTAACTGCATGATCCACTTGAACAGAGAGAGAGATAGACAGACAGAGCGGGAGACAGAGAGAGAGACAGAACGAGAGACAGAGAGAGAGAGAGAGAGAGAGAGAGAGAGAGAGAGAGAGAGAGAGAGAGAGAGAGAGAGAGAGAGAGAGAGAGAGAGAGAGAGAGAGAGAGAGAGAGAGAGAGAAACAGAGAGAATGCATTGAGAATAATGTTTCAACTTTTGTTCAAAGGGTATTGGGCAAAAATACTTGGTATATGCCAGAATATTGGCACGTTCTCAAGCTTTTCAATAAGTTTCCTCATCCTTGCAAACTGCCCTTCTTTGCAGTTGTGTGAAATAACTCACCGATTGAAGTTCTGCCTTTACAGTATTTCATAAATGATCTATACCTTCACCAGATGACAATTGGGTTTGAGTTTGCTATGTGTTCTCTCCTGCTTGCTTGAGATTTCAATCCAGATGTCAAAATTAATTCTTGTACGTTTGGGAGAGACTGGCTGATTGCATTGAATTCAAAATTGATTGTGGGATGATGTTCACTTTCATAGGGATGTGTCTGGATCCAGTGGACCTTCGATTTGACTCTCTTTCTTTTGTTGTGTTGTGTTGTGTTTGTTGTGGTCTGTGTGAGAGTGTGTGGGCCTCGAGAAAAAAATGGAAAAGAGGAAAAAATAAGAAGAGAAAAAAATGAAAAAATGACTGTGTTCCTGGAAATTTTCCGTGTCGAAAAATCATTTCGCAGCTATCATTGCCCCACCGCTGTTATTTCTCATTTCTATGTAAACCTGTTGTTCACATTCGCTCTTATCTGCTTCTTTCCAATTAATGAAGGACACCTAAAAACTCGCGAAACCCGCGCATCACCGAAGACGCAGAGCTCAACTCTGCTCCCGACGAAGAGGGCTTTGAGGGAGACTTGATTAGTCTTGAGCGCGAAGAACTCGACACCCCACTGCCTTTCAGTCCCTCCCCCTCCCATGACAGAATTGAGCGCCGGGTTGTAGAACCCGCTTGGTAATTATTCCGCTTCGCCATCGTTTGCACCACTTTGGAAAGGTACTGGTATTGTTGATTCTCGCCGCGACTCCGCGACTATGAACATTATGTTTCCAGGAATTCAGAGAAAATGATTAAAAAAAATTAAAAAAAATGTATGAAAAAAATAATACAAAAAAAGAGAAGAGGCTCGGAGTGAGTGTGCCGACTTTTGCGCGTGCATGCACACACCAAGGCTTGTGAGCGTGGTGCTACCTCCCGGAGCATTGGCATGTCATGGTGAGCTTTCTTCTCGCATTACATAGGCTTCGTGTATTCCGCTGCTGTTTCACTGCCCATTGTGTGCTGGCGTGTGGTTGACACCTGCTGCTGCTGCTGCTGCTGCTGCTACTGGGTTCTTCGTATGCTGAGGTAGTGACATTAGACGATTCTTGCAATTGGATTTTTCCAGGCTACGCCGCACTCTAAGCCTTTTGATGTTCCTTCGTTTTGACTAGACAAGTCGTTGGTCTACTCTCATGATATCGCTGCGGTACTAAGTCTACACGTGTGATGTGCGTACGTGCTCTCATTGCATTGGTTGCTGCTTTGGTTCTGAGGAAGATGTGCAGTGTGTAATTCTTTGCAAAGCCACCTATTCTAAGGTGCCCTCTTTCTGCTGCTTCTGTGTTGCTGTTTTGCAGGTCGAGAGGTCGTGGCATGAACTGGTATAGCCCTTACTAATCCAGAGATGCTCTACCCAGCCTCTTGCTGGCTACTCTGCCTCCTTCTACTGCTCTGGCTAGTGAAACTCGACCTCCTGAGTAGAGTATTGCCATGTTCCAGTGCGCATGGTGTTTGTGCAGCTAGGGCCGTGTGTTGCCTGCAGCATACTATTTCATCAGGTTTAATTCCACTGGCCAGTACTTTTACTTTATACTCTCCCTTTCCCTCTGGCTGGACCAGTAGTTGATGCAATGCCATTTTTGCCAGATGTCCATGCATGTGCATCAATCATCATCCATCTTCTCTCTCTGTTTCTGTCTCCTTTTTCCACTGCGCCTTGTGATACATTATATTCTTAGTAGTGTATTATTGCCTTTTCTTTCTCCTGTACTTTCAAACTAACACATGCAGATGCATACATAATTATGTGCTTCAAGCTACTATACGATGTGAATGTGTCTTGTGCAGTGTAATGTAGAGCATGCCGCCATTACGATTGTGCTGTTCTTTCGGATGTCTTGATTTGCTACTTTGAAACGCGGGAAGTAGTTCATTTACACACCGCGTCCTGCGCCGGTCATCTTTTAGAATTGTGCCAGTTGTTATCGTCTGGGTGGTTGGGTGAACCATCATGCGAGTGGTTTCTTCCCCAACACTGCTGCTCAATAAGGCAGCCCAGCTTCAAGCCACTGCATGGTGCACTCAGATTGCACAATAAAGTCATATTAAATTTTGTTTTCAACCTCACTACATTCACTTGTGCCCAGGGGTCCTTTGGCCTAGCTGTTTTTCCAAGCACCTGCTACTTCAAGAAGCAAGAGTACCCCCCCCCCCCCGTACATTGTAAATCACTGGTGCAGGGATCAGGGAGCATTGCATCTTAATATTGACGTCAACTATTACTTGAAATTCTGTCGGGACAGCTGGATATGTGGGAGTTGCACACTCTCGGGGGGTTATGTACTCTTGTAAGAAGGGTTTGGCTTTCTCACAACCGTGAACAGTGTACTGTGGTTCTCAACTGGTGGCTTCCCATGCATTGGCCGGGTGCCTCCTTTCAACAATGGTGTTGGGCAAACGCCGTTCTCCAAGTACATGAAGTAACTTTTTTTTATTGGAGCTAGTAATAGCTGTGGATGCGTGCAATTGCGCAGGGAAGTCATAGAAAAAGAAAGCCTAGCATGTAATCAAAGGCATTGTTGCCTGTGCCTATAATGAAGTAAATAGGAGACTACAACCACAACAACACTTATAATTACTGGTATACTTGTCGCTGTTCTTGTTGTTCGTCGCGGCTGTTGCTGTTCTTGTTGAATTCTTCAGCAACAACCTAGGCTATCAGTAAGACCTTTGCAGAAGCAGTTATAATAATAATGCAACGAAAACAAACAAAAAAGAATGCTACAGGGGCGGTGTAAAGGGCAAGGTTGAAAGTGTGTTCAAGTAAACGCGGTGCGTGTGCAAATATAATTGGTGTAAGTATGAAAGGCCATTCGAGTCACAATCAGTGGCACACGTGCATTCATTATGAGTTGGATTCAGTGGAGTTCTATGGAGTGCATTGATCTTTCCAGACAGGGAGTGCATTGATTGACTATGCATGTGTACTGTCTATCGTTGACCAGGGCCGGTTTTAGTTGGGGCGCTCGTAGCCAGTACAATCACACCATTCGTGTAAGCTGATCCTCTGGTCGGCATTAGCGTCGCAGTACTCCAGGAAGTTATCGGCACAGGCACGTGGTCCTACGTTCTCGGAGAGGTTCACATCAAACCACTCCACCTCATGGAGCTCCAGGAAACGGTCGTACGGCGCAGTGTCGAGCTTGTCAAACGCCCAGTAGACTAGCTCTTTGGCTGGCGTAGCCAGTCGTGGCTCTGCACTAGGCTCGGGGAATGGTGTGACACCCTCGGGACGCTGAATGTATGGGTCTTGCTCACGCCATGAGCGGACGTGCGCTAAGAAATTGTTGTTGAAATAGGTTCGCTTTTCAGGAGTACAAACTGCAGGGCAGGCAAGAAAAGAATGGAACAAAAAATTCATCAAACCACAATAGTCCAGAAAATAGTTAACGTTCACTTCCGTTCCTGAGGGAACTCACAATGGACGCAACCACCGGAAAAAAACCGAGCAAGATGCAGCGCCTAATGGTGTGGTGAGGGGATCAGTCTCGACCTCACAACTACTGGCAACGGTGTGCTCAGATTGGCATGAGCATACAGCGGTACACAACAGGATGAAGCTGTGGATACCATTCACACTGCACGGGTTATACACCAAAGAGAAGAAAGACCATATGTGGGGAAATAAACACATGTTTGAAACGGTGCAAATTTTTGTTGGCACCAACTTCAATGCAACTCATCACTGGACTTCAAATCAATCCTGTAGAACGGGTAATTTTAGCGACGTAAAAACCCTAGCGAATTTAGCGATTGACTCCTTTTCGCTAAAGTTTCAAGTCGCTAATCTGTTGAGACATTAGCAGTGCACTGGTGATCCGTGAGTAAAATCGCTGCAAATCGCTAAAATAAAAGGTCGCTAACCGGTTGACAATGGGAAAACGCTAAAATTAATAGTCGCTAAAATTACCCGTTCTACAGTAAACGGACTTGCAAACTACAAACTCGGAGCACAGTCAGCGGCAATTTCTTACCTGGATCCAGTCCGGTGCACCAACACCATTCCATCAGGCTGATGTTGCCATTGTTGTTGTAGTCACAGCGACTCCAGTGCTCCAGTGCACACGCACGTGGTCCCACGCTGCGCTGCATGATGCTAAAGAACGCATCCGCCTCCGAGTGGGACAGCGTTCGGTCCATTGGCGATACGTCTAGCTCGTCAAACATCCAGTAGATGGCCACCTTGGCTGGTGTAGTCAACCGTGGTTCGGCCTGTGGGTCGGTTACTTGGTTGGGCTCCTCCGGCGATGGTTCGACATGTCCGGCTTCTTGGCGCATGTCAGATATGTACGTCACCAGGCGAGATTGGAACTGTGTCTCCTTCTCCGGCGTGCACTCTGCCACACAGTAAGGAATAACAGAGCTCAATCAGAAAACCACTCCATGAATTTCCGGGTCAACTAATACATGTAAAGAGGGGAGGGGGGGGGGTATTATCCAAAGTGGTGACAGCCTGCGAACCTGTTACCGCAGAGCCCCACCGAAAGCAGACAAATGTACAGCTTGGGGCTGGCAACACATACCTGATCTTCAATGGTCAGCTCCATGAATGGTGGCACCAACAGAATAGGGTCAGTAGATTTAGTTCATCACAAAGACTATGATGCTCCTTTGGAGAACGCAGAACCAACTACTGTCTACAATTCAACCCAAGAGGTACTGTGACGTATCTCAGTCACACCAATGATTGCAAACACAAGCATTTCCATGGTATCACGTGTTCGGAGGTTCTGTTGTAAAGTGTACTTGCTTTCTGAGGTGATGAACTTCAGTGTACACGTCAACCAAGCTAAAACGAAAATGGTTGATTCAATTAAAATCACGTCGGTGACAGCAAATTTAACGGTGCCAATACTGTTTCACCCCCTGTGGACTTGTGAGTGTAGTACAGAGAACACTAGTATGCAAGAATCCTGAGTAGCAGGGAAGAAGCACCAAATATTGCAACCTGTGGAAAACAATAGCATGATAAGATACTACACTGAACTCTACACGGCTGCCGCTAGCTTACGATTGTCGAGGCCGTTGCACCAGCACCATTCTGACAAACTGATGTAGTCATCATCGTCATAATCACAATAGGTCCACTGACTTTCTGCACAGGCACGAGGATGAACGTTGCGCACTGTTTCATTCATGAATGCTCCCACTTCGGCACGACTTAGCTTCCTGTCCATTGGAGCTACATCCAGTTCATCAAACATCCAGTAGATGGTGATCTTGGCAGGCGTGTTCATACGAGGCTCGGCTGATGGGTTACTGGGCTCTCCAGTACTGGGCGAAGGCTCAACATGGCCTGCCTCTGCTCGTTTCATTGACATGTACTCCAAGGTATTGTGTTGGTAGAAAATTCTCTTCCTTGCTGGGCAGGCTGCAGATTTAACAGGCAATAGTTGGTAGACAGAGGGGGCGGTGTTAGCATGCAGTGTACATGAACATATCCCCTGTACAACAGTGACCAGATGTACCTTTGGGGCACAGTGTCCTTCAAGCAGCCACAATACCTTTTGATCTGTTGCTGCACATTATGTACCATAACACCTCCAGTACAAAGGTTGTGCAATGTTGACATGCTTAGCATTTTTAAAGGCACAGAAAAATGAAACCGAAACAAATTCAGCGCTGACTTACTCGGATCTAGGCCAGTGCACCAGCACCATTCGGATAGACTAATTGCGCCATCTTGGTTGTAGTCACAGCGATCCCAGTGCTTAACGGCACATGCACGCGGACCAACTTCACGATCTACTTCAGAAAAGAATGAACCTGCTTCGGCACGACTTAGCTTCCTGTCCGTTGGAGCTACATCCAGCTCATCAAACATCCAGTAGATTGTGATCTTGGCTGGTGTCTTGAGACGTGGTTCAGCTGTGGGGTCTGGAGTGCTGTCTGGTTCAGGTGATGGCTCAACGTGACCAGACTCTTGGCGCTTTGAAGACATGAATTGAAGGAGATTGGCTTGGAAGTGGCTTTCCTTATCTGGGCTGCACTCTGCAGGTAGAACGGCAAGTAAAATACAGCACAGGATTTGAACAGCAACAAGTGGAGCATCATTGAAAAAATATATGAATCTGCCGTTTCACCTACTAGTACTCTTTCTTTGCGCTGTTGCTATCACATCAGTACTGTCTAAATCCATTATATTCGGTCATGTTCTTTTTGCGTGTATTCCACCTGAGGAGAAGGCAATGAAGGTACTAATGGAGAAGTTTGGAGGTGTCAACTGTACGGAACCTGGAGCTTGTTGCTTTCCCGGGCGTTAATACATTAGACCGTAGAAAAACCCGCACAAAGCAGAATACTAAAAAGACAAGCCTGCATGCTTTTCAGCACTGTTCGATGGAAGAGCCATTCAAAGAGACATCACATGCTATTGCTGCCTTCCTGCTCGATCGTTCTTACCATTGTCAAGTCCAGAGCACCAGCACCATTCTGACAGAGAAATCATTCCATCCTTGTTATAATCACAGTACTCCTGCAGTGTCTCTGCACATGCACGAGGATCCACTTCACGAACAACTTCACTCATGAATGATGATATCTCATTCTCACTCAGTTGTCTGTCCATAGGAGATACATCCAGTTCATCAAACTGCCAGTAGATGGCTACTTTGGCTGGTGTATTCAGACGGGGCTCAACTGCTGGATCGCGCTCACTATTATCTGATGTTGCCTCTGGTTCAGGAATTACATTTGCTTCCGATCTCTTCTTCTTGATGAACTGAAGCATCTTGTGTTGGAAGAACTGACGTTTGTCAGCTGGGCAAGCTGAAAACAAAAATGAGCACAGCAGGAGGAATATTGGTAGGTTTACGGGACTGAAAGTTAAGGAGCATTATATAGCCACAAAGCAAAACAACTTCAGAACACAAATCAATGTCAATAAAGGCTGCTGGAGTGCGCATCCAAAATGTGCTAGAGCTGTTAGCCAGTTAGTTGCAGAATGCCAGTACTGTCGGTCATTGTCGTGCAATGTTATCGCATGAGCTGATTGTTTAGTAACTGGTGGTGTTAGTAGACATTATAGCATAACTTGTAGTGTCTTGGTCCTTTTTTCTTTACTATAAATGTCAATGCAAGAAACGAATCTCTGAAAACTTACTTGGATCAAGACCAGTACACCAGCACCATTCCGACAAACTGATAGAACCATCATCATTATAATCACAATAGTTCCACTGACTTTCTGCACAGGCACGAGGATGAACATTGCGAACAGTATTGTTCATGAATACTCCAACTTCAGCACGGCTTAGCTTCCTGTCCATTGGAGCTACATCCAGCTCATCAAACATCCAGTAGATGGTTTGTTTGGCTGGTGTCTTGAGACGTGGTTCAGCTGTGGGATCTCTGGGTTCATCACTTTCTGGAAGAGGTTCAGTATGGCCAGCTTCAGTACGTCTTGCTGTCATGTAGTTCAGGAGATTATGTTGGTAGAATGTTCTCTTGTCAGCTGGGCAGGCTGGAGAACAAAGAGAGTAGAGAGTAGAGGCACATGTAGGTAAATGCATTGAGGAAGCGCTGCAGTGTATACTGGAAGATGAACACACAGCATGTTACAAGAAATTGTTACTTTCTATCTGTGTACACCCAATCCTGTCTCATAGCTTTTGTGTGAAGCTCAGAGTCGGAAACCTCTCTCTGTAGGTGAACCGCAAAATCCTGGAATTCCTGCTACAAGCGTGTCCTAATTTAGGCCAAGCTCCTGGCCAACAGGCAGGACAAATACAATGTCAACAGATGAAGTATGGAAAATGTTACAAAACCTACCTTCCATTTGTAAAGGCATGACAAACAAAGAGAAATGTAAAGTTCTGGATGTGATCAGTGAAACTCCAAAGGTTTAGAAGTAAGCTTGGTTCGTTTATACCAAGAATAGAGCGAAGAGTAATCAACATTAACTCATCTTGAAGTAGACTTACTAGGGTCTAGTCCAGTACACCAGCACCACTCTGATAGACTAATGGATCCATCATTGTTGTAATCACACCGACTCCAGTGATCCTGGGCACAAGCATGCGGACCAACTTCACGATCTACTTCAGAAAAGAATGAACCTGCTTCAGCACGACTTAGCTTCCTGTCCATTGGAGCTACATCCAGCTCATCAAACATCCAGTAGATTGTGATCTTGGCTGGTGTCTTGAGACGTGGTTCAGCTGTGGGATCTGGATTGCTTTCTGGTTCAGGTGATGGTTCAACATGACCTGATTCTTGACGCTTCAAAGACATGAACTGAAGGAGGTTGGCTTGGAAGTGTCTCTCCTTTTCTGGGCTACATTCTGCAGATATGAACGGGGAATGACATGAAACAAAACATTGAGTAGAGGACATACAATGTATGCTATGCATTGTTTGTAGCAGCAATGTGGCAACAGGTGTCAGAATAAGCACGATTCTGACACGATTGCGGTTCAGAAGCCTCACGATGTAGGAAATTCAAAAACTGCAGGTAAGACTTCAGTCACTTTTGCATCAACGGTCGCACCAAAAGATGCTGGTGGCGCAAGGAGAAGCTTGTCATTTGGAGTGACAAGTGATCATATCAGAGTTGATGATAAACTTTTTTTCTAAAGCGTTGGGAGAAGTTTTGGAGTAGAAAGTGGTCGGACTAGACGTCACGGAGGGCCTGGCTTTCCGGGGCAGTTATGAGTTTGGCTGTATTTCAGCGGGGTGGAGTGGACATTGTCAAAATTGTATATTTCAAGAATATCTAAAAAGGATGATGTAGGGCATGGCTTCAGTGCTAGAGGAGAAATTCTACTATCTGCCGGTGTATAGCTCTTGTTAATGCTGGACGTATCTCACTGCTTTATCAGAGCTTGCCATCGGCTTTTTTCGACACGATTATTCGTGGCACTAGGGGATGCTGGTCCTCGTCTCCTGGCACGCTGGCATGGGTAAGTGGCGCTGCCTCAGGAACTCTTCTAAGGTGGTTAGGCCATGTTGGCTTGATGGAGTTTTGTTCGTAGCTTGTTTGTGTACGCTGCCCCATTGGCCACTTGCAGCCCCACAAATCATGTGATTTTTGGGCCACTTTGATGGGTATGCCAGTTTCAAGGCTTCCTTCTGAGGGCTTTGCATTGTCAATCCATATCCCCAAAGGAAACCTACCTGCAAATTGGAACGAAATCTGAGAGATCGACTTGCACAGAAATCGTTTGGTTTCCCAGATATGCTTTAAAATGCACCGTGGATAACATTCCCAGAAAGAGTGTACAAACACAGTGCCCTGTTTCTGCTCATCAGCAATGACACTGATTCCCAGACAAGTCATAACCTAGTACTGCATTGACCATACTAGCAAACTGCTTATGGCACTAACTTACCATTGTCAAGTCCAGAGCACCAGCACCATTCCGACAGAGAAATCATTCCATCTTTATTATGATCACAGTACTCCTGCAGTGTCTCTGCACATGCACGAGGATCCACTTCACGAACAACTTCACTCCTGAATGATGATATCTCATTCTCACTCAGTTGTCTGTCCATAGGGGCTACATCCAGTTCATCAAACTGCCAGTAGATGGCTACTTTGGCTGGTGTATTCAGACGGGGCTCAACTGCTGGATCACGCTCACTACTGTCTGATGTTGTCTCTGGTTCAGGAGTTACATTTGCTTGCGATCTCTTCTTCTTGATGAACTGAAGCATCTTGTGTTGGAAGAACTGACGCTTGTCAGCTGGGCACGCTGAAAAAAAAACACACATACAAAATGGAGAATATTAGAAGGGATATACGGTGAAACCTGTCTAAGACGACTGCTCAAGGGACCTTCACAATGTAGTCTCTGTGACCAGGTGATGTCCTTAGCCAGGGTCATTTGACTGGAAATAGCATCCCTTGGTCCTGGTTTCAGTGCTCCTTTAGGACAGGTGGTCGCCTTATCCGAGTGGTCGCCGTGACAGGTTTTGCTGTTAGTCAGTCAGTGTCAACGTGTAACCAGTTGCAACACCAGAAACATGCCAAATGCAAATCACAGGTAATGAACAAATCTCTGAAAACTTACTTGGATCAAGACCAGTACACCAGCACCATTCCGACAAACTGATAGAACCATCATCATTGTAATCACAATAGTTCCATTGACTTTCGGCACAGGCACGAGGATGAACATTGCGAACAGTATTGTTCATGAATACTCCAACTTCAGCACGGCTTAGCTTCCTGTCCATTGGAGCTACATCCAGTTCATCAAACATCCAGTAGATGGTTTGTTTGGCTGGTGTCTTGAGACGTGGTTCAGCTGTGGGATCTCTGGGTTCATCACTTTCTGGAAGAGGTTCAGTATGGCCAGCTTCAGTACGCTTCATTGTCATGTAGTTCAGGAGATTATGCTGGTAGAATGTTCTCTTGTTAGCTGGGCAGGCTGGAGAACATAGAGAGTAGAGAGTAGAGGCACATGTAGGTAAATGCATAGAGGAAGCTGTGCAGTGTATACTGGAAGGTGAACACATGGCATGCTACAGGAAATACTGACTTCCCTGTGATAGCTTATGTGTGAAGGCCAGAGTAGCCAGGGAAGTATCACCATACCCAGACAGAGCTCTTAGCCAACAGAAACAACAACAAATAACAACGTGAACAAACTTGGAAGACATAATAAAACATTTCATTTGTAATAGCATGGCAAGCGATATGCCGTGTAAAGTCTACTTGGTAAAGTGTGAACAGTTATAGAATCAGGACTAAAGCCATGCGTGATCCATCCCAAGAAATTCCAAGAATGAAGTCAATGGTAAACAACCTCTACTCATCTTGAAGTACTTCAGCAAACTCACTCGGATCTAGTCCAGTACACCAGCACCACTCTGACAGGCTAATGGATCCATCATTGTTGTAATCACACCGACTCCAGTGATCCTGGGCACAAGCACGCGGACCAACTTCACGATCTACTTCAGAAAAGAATGAACCTGCTTCGGCACGACTTAGCTTCCTGTTCATTGGAGCTACATCCAGCTCATCAAACATCCAGTAGATTGTGATCTTGGCTGGTGTCTTGAGACGTGGTTCAGCTGTGGGATCTGGAGTGCTGTCTGGTTCAGGTGATGGCTCAACATGACCTGATTCTTGACGCTTCAAAGACATGAACTGAAGGAGGTTGGCTTGGAAGTGTCTCTCCTTTTCTGGGCTACATTCTGCAGATATGAACGGGGAATGACATGAAACAAAACATTGAGTAGAGGACATACAATGTATGCTATGCATTGTTTGTAGCAGCAATGTGGCGACGAATATCGGACTAAGGACACTTCTGAGACATGATTGCAGTTCAGAAACACCATTCGCTTCATGGTATGACCAGCCGCTGGCAAAAAAATGGTGGCGGAGTCAGATTTGGGATTGGTCGACCTCGGTAACTTGTCTACCTTTTTTAAGGTAACACGGTAGAATTATTCTTGAAGCAATTATTTGAAACTTTGAGTAGTAGATTTGTAATAGAATTTGCATTGTACAGCTATACAGGTAGAGCTATACAGGTAGAGCTAGAATTCGACTCTGGCTTCACGGCAGACACTGAAAGGCAGTGTTTGGGACATTGGGGCCAAACATGCACATGCTGAGCAAGGCCAATGGATCTGGGGTGGGAGGTACACATGACCCCGTGCTTCTCCCGGACTAGGCATCTTCATCAGTGGAGATCAAAAACATGGCCAGCAATCGAGGACATCTGAGAGTTGTAATTTTTGTACTCCTCCGAGGTGTGATTTTTGGCGTGCTGGGCCAAGCACAAGGAAGCCATCTGCAAAAAAACTGCAGAAAATGGTTGTTGTTTGATCCTTTGGTGTAATCTTTGTTTCTAGTCGAAGCTAGATGTGGGCTTTGCGCAGCAAAGCCTAGTTAGCCCATGCACACGCATGCTGGTGGTGGAGTGCTGCGAGTGCGTGTCATGTGACCACCTCGTGATTAAGCCGTGTGCGCCGTGTATGGCCTGGCAAAATTTTATGGACAATCGTGGATCCGGCGTCTAATTATTTGGAGACGTGTTTTGCTGAGCTGTCTTTGTGCGAAGGAGCATTCTTTGCAGTTGCAGTTTCTGTGTCAAGTCAAAGTTTTTTCCCTCCCTCCCACCCCTTTTGAAGGGGCATTTTGTTTCTCCGGTTGGGGGGGGGGGGCAAACGGGCCTCCTATTATGTCTGTATGTTGTGACGCCTGATGCCAGGCAGTCGTGTGAGCCCTCGGTGGGCGATTGGCTGGCCTCGGTGGCCGTTTGTGTGCCCTCGGCGGGCAAGATGATATCGGCCCACGGTGGGCAGTTTGCTTGCCTCGGTGGCAATTTGCGCACCCTCGATGGGTTGTCTGCTGGTTTAGCCCTCGACGGGCGGTTTGCTGGCCGCGGCGGCCATTTGAGCGCCCTCGGTGGGCAGTATACTAGTTTACCCCTCGGCGGGCGGTTTGCTGGCCTCGGCGGCCATGTGTGCGCCCTCGGTGGGCAGTATGCTAGTTTAGCCCTCGGCGGGCGGTTTGCTGGCCTCGGCGGCCATTTGCGCGCCCTCGGTGGGCAGTAGGCTAGTTTAGCCATTTGGGCGCCCTCGGTGGGCAGTATGCTAGTTTAGACCGCGGCGGGCCGCGGTGGCCATTTGGGCGTCCTTGGCGGGCGGATGCTAGTTTCAGGCATGCATCTTTACTCAATCAATTATTATCAAAGAGCATATTCTTGAATATTTGAATTGTCCAAAAGATATCATGGCAACCCCCAACCCAATGTGTCTATTGTATGTTTGTGCACGCCATAGAGAGCGGTACGTTGTGCGGGTGTCTGCGTGTCAGAGCATGGGTACACCAGTGGCGTGTGCGTGCATGTGTGCGCTTGTGTCTGGCTGCATGAGTGCACGAGTGCCCAAGCTGGGCGTGCGGGTGCACTTGCGGTGCTTGCATGTTGACGGGTGCAGGGGTTAATTGCTGTTTGGAGCAGAACCGCTGAAATTGACTATTTTCTGCATGTACTCATACATGTACTCATGTACTCAGGCATGCAGTCTCACTCGTATTTTAGCTCTTTTTCTGGAATGGATGCTGCTCTGCGCCCCTTGGTGAAAATTTCCTGCGCTCGTGGAGCAGCTGAAAAGGACCACTGGTATGTCTGGTTCCTGGTTTGAAAGTGGAGAGTCGACTTTTGTGCCTTGAAAAAGGAGTAGAGAGCGATAAAGGTACGTCTGTGGCCAATTTTTGAGTGCTCCTCGTACATTTTTGATCGTGATAGAAATTCTCAGACCAAAGTCAGACCAAAGTCAGCGCGATGATGGCAGTACAGTTTTCTTGTGGATTTTTTAGTTGTTTCATCTCGTATCTATGTCAGTATCGTGATGGTGAAGTGGAGAGGGTGATTTTCTTCCTCTAGGCTTCGTTCGGCCGACTTTGCTTCGTCCTCGTCGAAAAGTGATCCTGAAAAAAAGGTCGATTCGCAAAATTATGTTGATTTTCAATGTACGTGATGACATGCGATTGCTGGCTATGAGTATGCCAAGTTGCACACTACCGTGACTTGTTACACTGTATATATCATTCCTAGGAAGAGTGCACATACACAATACCCTGCAATTTAAATTAGTGGTGCGCACAGGTAATCGGGTACCCATGCTACCCGTGAGGACCTCGGGTAGACGGGTACAGAATAGTACCCAAAAACCCGAAGTCGCAGATGACATCATATACAGTGCACGTGTACAAATTCATATAATACTCCGCATGTCTACCCAGTGTGTAAGAGAAGGGGTGCATTGTGGTGTTACCATGGAAACATTACCCGATCGGGTATCCGTGCTACCCGTGGAAAACTACCCGAACCCGATACCCGAAGAAAAGGCTACCCGACTCAGCCCCAATTTAAAGACAAGCCAAAACCAAGTACTCCTGTGACCATACTACCAAACTGCTTATGGCACTCATAATCTTAGGCCACACGTTTTTATTTCTATGTTTCTCGTCACCCGCGCGCATACGATTCAGGAGTCTGGAAGAAAAAAAGAAAACAAACTCTGCTGCACTGACTGTGCATGTGGGGACAAGCACACTCATGCACATGTGGCCTGTGCGACACATGATGCGAGGTCGGCATTTGTTGTGCGCAATCTAGCTGCACATGCACAGATTGTGACAGAAGCTCCTATCACATACTAGTTGCTAACTATGGATGCTATTTTTCATTGTGTATTGGTGGATTTTAGTGTGAACAAAGGTCTAATAAACTTTTTTTATTCTTTGGTCATTTTTTATTTTTTTCCACCTCTCGCATACGTTTTTAGATTTTCAGGTGACGAGAAACATAGAAATAAAAACGTGTGGCCTTACCATTGTCAAGTCCAGAGCACCAGCACCATTCCGACAGAGAAATCATTCCATCGTCATTATAATCACAGTACTCCTGCAGTGTCTCTGCACATGCACGAGGATCCACTTCACGAACAACTTCACTCATGAATGATGACATCTCATTCTCACTCAGTTGTCTGTCCATAGGGGCTACATCCAGTTCATCAAACTGCCAGTAGATGGCTACTTTGGCTGGTGTATTCAGACGGGGCTCAACTGCTGGATCACGGTCACTACTATCTGATGCTGTCTCTGGTTCAGGAGTTACATTTGCTTGCGATCTCTTCTTCTTGATGAACTGAAGCATTCTGTGTTGGAAGAACTGACGTTTGTCAGCTGGGCAAGCTGAAAACACAAATGCGCACAGCAGGACGGATATTGGTACGTTTACGGGACTGACAGCTTGGGAGTATTATATAGCCACAAAGCAAAACAACTTCAGAACTCAAATCAATGGCAATGAAAGTCACAAATCTCTACTGAAAACTTACTTGGATCGAGACCAGTACACCAGCACCATTCTGACAAACTGATAGAACCATCATCATTATAATCACAATAGTTCCACTGACTTTCTGCACAGGCACGAGGATGAACATTGCGCACTGTATTGTTCATGAATACTCCAACTTCAGCACGGCTTAGCTTCCTGTCCATTGGAGCTACATCCAGCTCATCAAACATCCAGTAGATGGTTTGTTTGGCTGGTGTCTTGAGACGTGGTTCAGCTGTGGGATCTCTGGGTTCATCACTTTCTGGAAGAGGTTCAGTATGGCCAGCTTCAGTACGCTTCATTGTCATGTAGTTCAGGAGATTATGCTGGTAGAATGTTCTCTTGTCAGCTGGGCAGGCTGGAGAACAAAGAGAGTAGAGAGTAGAGGCACATGTGGGTAATATGATGCACTGAGGATGCGCTGCAGTGTATACTGGAACGCAATGTCAACAGATGAAGTATGGGAAGTGTTGCAAAACCTACCTCCCATTTGTAAAGGCATGGCAAACAAAATGACATGGAAAGTTTTGGATGTGATTAGTGAAGGTTCAGAACTGAACTTGCTTGGTTTATCCCGAGAATAGAGTGAAGAGTAATCAACATTAACTCATCTTGAAGTAGACTCACTTGGATCTAGTCCAGTACACCAGCACCACTCTGATAGACTAATGGATCCATCATTGTTGTAATCACACCGACTCCAGTGATCCTGGGCACAAGCACGCGGACCAACTTCACGATCTACTTCAGAAAAGAATGAACCTGCTTCGGCACGACTTAGCTTCCTGTTCATTGGAGCTACATCCAGCTCATCAAACATCCAGTAGATTGTGATCTTGGCTGGTGTCTTGAGACGTGGTTCAGCTGTGGGATCTGGATTGCTTTCTAGTTCAGGTGATGGCTCAACATGACCTGATTCTTGACGCTTCAATGACATGAACTGAAGGAGGTTGGCTTGGAAGTGTCTCTCCTTTTCTGGGCTGCATTCTGCAGATAAAAAAGGACATGAAACAGTGAAGCACACGAAGTAGAAGACATACAATGTATACAATGCATTGTTTGTACACGTAGCAGCAATGTGGCAACGAATATTGCAATAAGGACACTTCTGAGACATGATTGCGGTTCAGAAACACCATCCGTTTCATGGTATGACCAGCCGCTAGAAAGAAACATGGTGGCTTGGGATTGGCCGACCTCAGTAACTTGTCTACCTTTTAAAAGGTAACACAGTAGAAATATTCCTGAAACAAATTGATACTTTGAGTAGTAGATGTGTAATAGAATTTGCACTGTACAGCTATACAGGTAGAGCTAGAACTCGACTCTGGCTTCACGGCAGGCACTGAAATGCGATGTTTGGGACATTTGGCCCAAACGTGCACATGCTGAGTAAGGTCAATGGATCTGGGGCGGGAGGGGGGGGGGGGGGGTACACATGCCCCCGTGCCTCTCCCGGACTAGGCATCTTCATCAGTGGAGATCAAAAAAATTATGCCAAGTCGCACACTACCGTGACTTGTTACACTGTAGATATCATTCCTAGGAAGAGAGTAACTTACACAATACCCTGCAATTTAGAGACAAGCCAAAATCAAGTACTGCCATGACCATACTACCAAACTGCTTATGGCACTCATGATCTTACCATTGTCAAGTCCAGAGCACCAGCACCATTCCGACAGAGAAATCATTCCATCCTTATTATAATCACAGTATTCCTGCAGTGTCTCTGCACATGCACGAGGATCCACTTCACGAACAACTTCACTCCTGAATGATGACATCTCATTCTCACTCAGCTGTCTGTCCATAGGAGATACATCCAGTTCATCAAACTGCCAGTAGATGGCTACTTTGGCTGGTGTATTCAGACGGGGCTCAACAGCGGGATCATGCTCACTATTATCTGATGTTGTCTCTGGTTCAGGAGTTACATTTGCTTCCGATCTCTTCTTCTTGATGAACTGAAGCATCTTGTGTTGGAAGAATTGACGCTTGTCAGCTGGGCAAGCTGAAAACACAAAAGTGCGCAACAGGAAACATATTGGTAAGTTTAAGGCACTGAAATTTGGAGGTATTATCTAGCTGCAAAAGCAAAACAACTTCCGAATACAAATCCATGGTAAATGAACAAATCTCTGAAAACTTACTTGGATCGAGACCAGTACACCAGCACCATTCCGACAAACTGATAGAACCATCATCGTTATAATCACAATAGTTCCACTGACTTTCTGCACAGGCTCGAGGATGAACATTGCGCACTGTATCGTTCATGAATACTCCAACTTCAGCACGGCTTAGCTTCCTGTCCATTGGAGCTACATCCAGCTCATCAAACATCCAGTAGATGGTTTGTTTGGCTGGTGTCTTGAGACGTGGTTCAGCTGTGGGATCTCTGGGTTCATCACTTTCTGGAAGAGGTTCAGTATGGCCAGCTTCAGTGCGTCTTGCTGTCATATATTCGAGAAGCTGGGTCTGGTATACGGTTCTTGATTCATCATTGCATACATCTGTATGTCACACAGGATGACAAAGTTGGAATGTGAGGTTTGGAATATGCAGCATACCGGTACATCTAGCAATGTGAACTAGGTGTTGCACTAGGAAGTTAGTAGAAAGATCCTAAAAAACTCTAGTGTGGAAGGAAACGCTATATAGACCAACCAGGTGATGCACTTCACAGCCATCAAATATGCTTCAATTTGAGGGTGCGTTCATCACATATTGCTATGGTATTAGCAGAATGGAACCAGGCCTCTATCAGCCTGGACATTTCCTAATTGACTTCCGCCAACACCATCACCGGCATGCACTGGTGAAAACAAGGAGGGCTTACCAGTTTCTGGCATTGTGTATCCACACTGTCCTGAGAGCGGCCAGTATTGACACATTCCAGTGCCTGGCTTGGTGGCGTTGGGGCACTGGCCTCCCGGTGGCATTGGACACGGAGGTGGCGGGTGTGTCATGAACCAAGCAGTATACTCGTCATGCGTCTTGCAGTACCAGTTGTTGGCGCAGCACCAGCCGCGCCATTCCTCGCACACCGGGTCGGATGATTGCGAGTTGGTGTCGGAGACATCGTTAGAGCTGGAGACGGAGTCGACCACGACATCATCTGTGGAGCCAGCAAACCAAAAAACAATAACAGCACACAACCGAAGTGATCGTTTGGTAGCTATGCATGTAGCACAGGCCGGTCCATAAGAGTTGCATGAACACAATACCAGTAGCGTGGGAGCAAAGTTACAATACTTCTCTAGCAAGGAAGTTGGCTTTGCCATCCCTTCATGGTAGAAGGTATTGCCATGCACTGGGGCAAGAACATATATGGGTCTTTTTGAATCCATGCCCTTTACCCATCCGGCCTATTATTAACGGAGTGAGACATTTGTTCAAATATTACCATTCAGTTCAGGCAACGAATATGAGCAGATTGCACTCAGTGGCCAGTATTGGCACTCTCCAGTGCCCGGCTTTGTAGTGTTGGGACAAACACCCCCGGGAGCCGGGTACGGGCAGGGCACCGGAGGCGGTGGGTAGTGCGCGTTCCAGATGTCGCGCTGCGAGAGCGTGCCGCAGAACCAGGGACCGCAGCACCAGCCGCGCCAGGTGAGGCACTCCGCATTCGGCGGGTCCTCGGCGGCATCACCCGGTACTGTGCCAATACGTGCAGAGCAACATGATACACAAATCGCACACACATGCATGTACAAGGCAAACGCCATGCTTTCTTACTACCCAAAATACAGTGTACATATAACCAAACGGCTAAAAAAGCTTGGATTGCACTTGCACAACTAGTCTACTGCAATTACCATCTGCTGTCAGAGGCAGTTGAAAGGCGCACTGATCAGCCAATGGCCAGTATTGGCACACACCAGTGCCAGGCCGAGGCACCGGAATACAGCCCGGTGGCGGTGGAGGCGGACACGGCGGAGGTATGTGCGTGCGATACCAGACCTGGCGCTGGCCTGGCGTGCCGCAGTGCCAGTCACGCGAGCCACAGCAGTAGCCCGGCCAGGACACGCAGCCGCCAGTGTCGTTACCGCCGCCTTGTCCATGTCAATGGGAGACAGTGCGCAACACAGACAACACACAACTAGTACCGTAGCATCTACCCACACTGCATCAAACCACATAGTATAGAGCCACAAAGCCTCTACCTACTACACAATATCTACCCACACTGCATCAACCCACACAATATCTACCCACACTGCATCAACCCACACAATATCTACCCACACTGCATCAACCCACACAATATCTACCCACACTGCATCAACCCACACAATATCTACCCACACTGCATAAACCCACACAATATCGACCCACACTGCATCAACCCACACAATATCTACCCACACTGCATCAACCCACACAATATCTACCCACACTGCATCAAACCACACAATATCTACCCACACTGCATCAACCCACATAGCATGGAGCCACAAAGCATGAAGGCACACAGCATCTAACTACATGGCACCCAGGTGGCGGCTTATCACTGAAGAAAGGCACAGCACCACACTACGCCGCTTTGGCCACAAGTTCCCACAACCTTGCTGCATGCCTCATTCAGCAATGCAATTGCATACACACCGCAATATGAACATTAGCCATGACAATGCTAGTACTACTGCCATGAAAACGCCAACACTACTGTCCACGCTACCACATCACCTCACACATACTCAAAACCATGACACGCACAATGCAAGGAAGGTCCGTTGGGCATGCTGGGCTCTGCTATTATAGGAAACATTAGCATCATTCCACTTCACGTAACCAATCACGTACAGCCCGATGTAGGATCAAAAAATCTAGAATGACCACAACCCACAAGGTCATCATTCCTTCACCTCCGCTCCAATACCATCTCAAGTCAGCTGTAAGTGGCTTGTGCAGACAAAGCCAACACGTGCGATTTTTTATTAGACCAATGGGGCCATCCAAACGGTACACGCCACCAACAGTAGTTGTGTTCTGATAGTTCTCATTGCTTCAGAACCCTGGGGACATCTCTACACACCCACCGACAAAGAGCTCGGACACTGCTTAATGCGGCAATAACAAACACAGCTGAAACACACACACACATAGTACAAAAGAAGACTCACTTGGGTCTAGTCCAGTGCACGAGCACCACTCTGATAGACTAATGGATCCATCGTTGTTGTAATCACACCGACTCCAGTGATCCTGGGCACAAGCACGCGGACCAACTTCACGATCTACTTCAGAAAAGAATGAACCTGCTTCGGTACGACTTAGCTTCCTGTCCATTGGAGCTACATCCAGCTCATCAAACATCCAGTAGACTGTGATCTTGGCTGGTGTCTTGAGACGTGGTTCAGCTGTGGGATCTGGAGTGCTGTCTGGTTCTGGCGATGGCTCAACATGACCTGACTCTTGACGCTTCAAAGACATGAATTGAAGGAGGTTGGCTTGGAAGTGTCTCTCCTTTTCTGGGCTGCATTCTGCAGATCATTGAAAAGGGGAAAATGCAAAAGAAAAGTAGATTAGATGACAGAGAAGCCAAACACTCACGCAAGTGCTAAAAATACACTGTCATATCTAAGATAACGGCGATGGCAGCAAATGCAAACCACACATTTTCGTACAAAAATGCAATCGAACACACATGCTTAGTTTGCAATTCTGTGTACAGAATATAAGCTACAACGAAGAAACTTGAAGGTACATCAATGATTATGAAGAGAAAGTTCATGTGGCAGCATATCATGTACAAAGTCTTCCAATGGACACAATACGAATGAAAGTGTGATGCAACCACAACACGTCGATCCACACATGTTCAAGAAACTGCTAGGTAACAATTCCTGCTGGATAAATCTTACCATTGTCAAGTCCAGAGCACCAGCACCATTCCGACAGAGAAATCATTCCATCGTCATTATAATCACAGTACTCCTGCAGTGTCTCTGCACATGCACGAGGGTCCACTTCACGAACAACTTCACTCATAAATGATGACATCTCATTCTCACTCAGTTGTCTGTCCATAGGAGATACATCCAGTTCATCAAACTGCCAGTAGATGGCTACTTTGGCTGGTGTATTTAGACGGGGCTCAACTGCTGGATCGCGCTCACTATTATCTGATGTTGCCTCGGGCTCAGGAGTTACATTGGCTTGGGATCTCTTCTTCTTGATGAACTGAAGCATCTTGTGTTGGAAGAACTGACGCTTGTCAGCTGGGCAAGCTGAAAACAAGAATTGCACACAACAGGAAAATATTGGTAGATTTATGGGACTGAGAGTTTTGAAGTAGATTTATCATTTTCTCTGTGCTGCGCCGATGAGTCCACAAAGGACGAAACAGTTCTGTCCGCAGATTCAGTAGATTTATTATGTAGCCAGTATTAGCCACAAAGCAAAGCAACTTCAGGATACAAATCCATGGTAAATGAACGAATCTCTGAAAACTTACTTGGATCGAGACCAGTACACCAGCACCATTCCGACAAACTGATAGAACCATCATCATTATAATCACAATAGTTCCATTGACTTTCTGCACAGGCTCGAGGATGAACATTGCGAACAGTATTGTTCATGAATACTCCAACTTCAGCACGGCTTAGCTTCCTGTCCATTGGAGCTACATCCAGCTCATCAAACATCCAGTAGATGGTTTGTTTGGCTGGTGTCTTGAGACGTGGTTCAGCTGTGGGGTCTCTGGGTTCATCACTTTCTGGAAGAGGTTCAGTATGGCCAGCTTCAGTGCGCTTCATTGTCATGTAGTTCAGAAGATTATGTTGGTAGAATGTCCTCTTGTCAGCTGGACAGGCTGGAAAGAAACAGAAAAGGGAGTAAAGAATGCATCGATTGAGTTAATGATATATCTCACTTCAACATTCACCCAGAAAGGTTCGTCAAAACACCCCGGAAGGCTTGGCCTGATTTAAGAAATCCAATCAAATGTCGCTTATTCAGTTGCGAGTCTTGCGAGTATGATTTTTATAGTGACTTAATAAGCTATTATATACTCAGGTAGGGGTGAAGCGGTTACCCTTTAAGGTTACAAACGGGTACCTGGCTTAACGAGCGGGTTATCGGGTACCCTTTAGCAGCCAATAGTAACAGTGGCTATATAATAGCCTTTCACATTTCGTACCAGGAGTACATGCAATGTCATGCAATTCACAGCAAGTACTCTACACCGCGACAAGCGCAGCATACACACTTACTGTGCTACATGCAAAACAGTCAAAATTGTCATAAGTAGCAGGATTGAACAACCAACATCACATTCAAACTGTACATCAAACTGTACAGCTATACAAGCCAGCTAATAATACCGTACTGTACCGTCGTACACGACTTAAGGAGGCTCCGAACAGTTGCGCAGCGCAGTGTAAAAAGGGCACCTCCGAAATCTGTTTTTTGCCGCGAGATTCGAAAAAATGTTGTGTTCCATGCGGAAACAAGCTGTTGTGTTCCGCAGGACTACACCACGCTAGTCCATAAACATTGAAAACTGTGATGGATCGTAACTACACACTGGGTTCTTCGTTATAACCAAAACGCAAACGTGCTATTAGTGAGTAAAAGCAAAGTGTAATCGACAGACGCTCTTCGTCTCACTTGGACTCTAACTCTCTAAACGTATTCTGACTTCTGGCTTGTGTAACTGAGTCCAAGCGACCAATATTATGCTATAGATGAATATCGCAGCACAACTGCAGCGTAGCTAAGGAAAGGTGAATTGCCTAGAGGCAAATGCATAGCTTGTCGCGATAGAACTGCGACCACATAGGTGCAAACTGACAATACTGAAACACCGGCGATGCCACAAAGTGTCTGGCGTGCCCACTACTAGTCTATTGACATGATCTATGGAAAGGCGCCTACACGTCTACCTCAAATGTCTAAGTACCGTGAAAATGGATGAATACAAACCAGCAAAGCGCCATAATGCTGTAGGGCATGCACATAGAATCGGTATGGCTCGTCTAGCCTGCAGTTACCTAAAGTACCATACATGCACAGAACAATGCATCCAATAGTCCGTGTCCAGACACACTATCTAATGTATAGTCAAGGAGAGCCTCGTGAACATCCTCCCCCTCGAATACGCGATGAGTTACCTCGCAGCGTATTCCACTACTACCTAGCTTACAATTGCATGTGTTGTACCTCTATCGGTCTAATCACTGCGTGGCAAAAAGATGTGGTAAACATAAAAATGATAACACTGTGGTGCTTATGTGATATGCCTGCAATGTATGCTGCATCTATTGAACTACTGCTTCTGTCTTACTTGTGTTACCACCATAACTGAATACGTACAGATCTAGCTGCCATCTTCTCTATGCATCTAGCGGGCAGATCTTGGTGATGGGACGGGTGATTCGCTTCCCGCCGACTTGCACCTCCACAACACGCACGTGACCATCTGGGCCCGGCTTGGTCTCCATGACGCGTCCGAGTGGCCAGTGCCCACGTGGTGCATCCGGTTGCAATACCAAGACGATGTCTCCTGCCGCCACGTCTCTCCGTTCTTTTAGCCACTCCCGTCTCGCGTTGAGAGTCGGCACCCACTCCTTGAGCCAGCGCCGCCAGAACTGCTTCACCACGTCTTGAACTTGCCGCCATCGCTGGTTGGGGTGGAAACCTGTGGTGTCTACGCTTTCTGGGGCGAACTGACCGCCCATCTGACCCGTCAGAAAGTGGTTCGGCGTTAGCGGCGAGCTGTCGTCAGGGCTGGCCGACTGGTACGTGAGCGGTCTGCTGTTCATAAGGCTTTCGGCGTTCGTGAGCGCAGTTGCCAGCATCTCATCCGTCAGGTCAGCATTGCCGAGAACTGCCTTGAGGGCGCGTTTCGCCGCCTTAACCATTACTTCGTGGACTCCGCCGAAATGCGGGGCTAGCGGCGGGTTGAATTTCCAAGCCACCCCACGGTTGGCCAGGGACTTGAAAACTGCGTCGTTATCCAGAGCCTCCACCAGTTCCCTCAGCTCACGATCGGCTGCCACGAAATTCGTCCCATTATCTGAAATGATCTCCAGCGGTTTTCCACGGCGCGCGACCATCCTTGAGAACGCGTTAAGAAACGAGCTGGCGTCGAGGCCGTAGCTCATCTCGAGGTGTACGGCTCGGGTTAGCAGGCAGGTGAAAACGCAGAGGTAACGTTTGGCTTGGCTGCGTCCTCGCCCTTGTTTCGTTAAGTATGGGCCGCCATAGTCTACCGAGGCTCTAGCGAAGGCTCTCAACGGTGTAGCGAGCCGGACCTTCGGCAACGGCGCCATAACTTGCTCTGCCGTCCTGGCTTTGCGACGTCGGCACACCATGCATTCAGCTTCCCACTGGCGTATCTCCTCTCGGGCAGACTCCAGCCAGAACCGTTCTGTCAATGCCGCGAGCGTCTCGTTCGTGCCACCATGCTGTCGCAGCTCGTGGTGGTGCTTCACGATTAGCGACGTAACTTCATGTTTCCGGGGTAGAATGATCGGGAAGCGCGTGCTGTACGGGAGCCAGTCAGCTAGGCGGGTGCGGCCGTCACAACGTAGTAGGCCATCCTCATCCAGTCGCGGACACATCTTTGCTAACCGCGATGCTGCTGGCAGAGTCTTCCCCTTCTTCAGTGCGCTGATGTCGTCACCAAATGCATCCTGCTGCGCTCCGTAGATGATGGCAAGTTCCGCCGCTTCCAACTCTTGGATGTTTAGCTCTCCGCTGACGCGGTCCCCTTGTCTGCAGTTATTGACGAACCGGTTGATCCATGCCTGAACTCTCACAAGTCTCGTCCAGTTGGAGTAGCGGCTTGGTTGCACGACGGTGATCTGCTGCGTCACGAATGCGCTCTCAGACGCCTGCACAGCTGCCTTGCGAACTTCCGGGTCGTCGCTCAACCCCGAAGTATCCTTTAGCTCCGTGGCTGGCCAGGTTGAGCCGTTGCTCAAAAACGCCGGTCCTTACCACCATAGGTCTGCGTTGACCAGGTCGTTGACGCAAGCTCCTCGTGATGCCAGGTCAGCTGGGTTCTGTCCCGTAGGGACGTAGCGCCACTGTCGCGGTGCGGTACGCTGCTGGATGTAGCTGACGCGATTCGCGACGAATGGTTTGAACCGCCGACTGTAGCTACGAATCCAGTGGAGGACCGTCGTGCTATCGCTCCAGAAGGTGACAGTACTAAGTGGCACGTCGAGCACTTTACTCATTCGAGTGGCAACCTGATGGCCGAGAACTGCCGCCATGAGCTCGAGCCGGGGAATGCTGGTAGCGGCGGTGGGCGCGACACGACTCTTCGACACGAGGAATCTGCACTCCGCTGTTCCATCTTCGCGCACACTTCTCGCATACAGAACAACTCCATAGGCTTCGCTGGACGCATCGCAGAATGCATGCAGCTCGAGCTTGCCGGTCGATGCTTCAAATTGACGCGGGACTCGGACGTTGCTGAGCTCGCTCAACTCTTGGAACCATTGCTGGGCTTTATCAACTATCGCGTCGGGAAGTTGCTCGTCCCAGTCGACGCCACTCATCCAGCATTCCTGCATCAGCATCTTGCCTCGAACGACGAACGGCGATATGAAGCCGAGTGGGTCGAATACGGCTGCTGTCCGCTGCAAGAGGTAGCGCTTTGTGATACGCTTGGGCAGATCCGGTTGCTGCACGCGGAACGTGAACTCGTCATCGAGGGCAGACCATGTCACTCCGAGCGTTTTTACCGATGGTAGGTCTCCCACCGTCAGGTCGACATCCGCTGCGCGTTCTTCTTCTGGGATCGTACTCAGCAACGCAGTCGAGTTGGATAACCACTTTCTCGGTCGCATGCTTGCCTTCCCCCACAGCTCCATTAGGTCGTCATGGAGCTTGGTACCGTCGGCGACCGTGGCAGTACTGTCCATCGTATCGTCCATGTACGTACTGTCCAGGATGGCCTCTGCTGCTGATCGGTGGGTATCGACGCTTGCGTCCGCGACTTGGCGGGCGACATACTGAGCCAAGAATGGCGACGCGTTTACACCGAAGACTAAGCGGTTGAACTGGTACTTCTTGACCGGACCATCGGAGGCCGGGTCCTGCCACAAAAAGCGGTGGTACGGCCTGTCCTCGGGGCGTATTGAAACTTGCAGATACATCTCTGCTACGTCGCAGGCAACGGCGATGGGCTTTCTTCGGAACCGGGTGAGAACATCGCAAAGGTCTCGCTGCAACTTCGGGCCGGCGTGGATGGCGTCGTTAAGTGAGATGCCGTGGTAGGAGGCGGCTGCGTCAAACACAATCCGGACCTTAGTTGTCGTCTTCTGTGGCCGCACAATGGCGAAGTGTGGCAGATACCAGCATTGGTCGGTAGGCGCTTCGTCAGTGACGTCGGTGATATATCCTTTCTCGAGGTAATCTTGGATCACTCTGGCGTATGCTCGGGCTACTTGCGGTTCACGTTGCAGTCGTCGACGTGTTGACTCCAGCCGCTTAGTCGCCATATCAACGTTGTTGACTAACTCCGCCTTACGACTGTTCCATGGTATCGATACTTCATACCGGCCGTCTACTAGCCGCGTGGAGTCTTCCACTAATTTCACCGCTGCGGCCTCGTCTGCCGATGTTGGTCCTGGAGCCGCATTGTCCGTCTCGACGCCACAGCTGTCGACCTTCCAGAACTGTTGCAGGGCTTGCTCGACTCCTGCAATTGACTTGTCTCCACCGACGTAGTACGAACGGTTGGGCTGTGGGCCCTGCGTCTGCTTGGAGTTGGGTGCTCTGAGCTTCCCTACGCAGGTCCATCCGAGCGGTGTTAACCTAGCGACGGGTTGCCCAGGTTCACCAATGACGTCACGCGTC